ATGCTTCTTTAAGTTTTTGTCATTTTCTAATTGAAAAGAACAACTGAAATTCTCAATGTTTCAATATTTTTAGCTTTGTTTAGAAATCTGGAAAATGAACAGGGTGTCAGAACCTTAATAATTCCAAAACTATGATAAAATTACCGTGGTAACATAGTACTTTAGTATCATAACATTGACTATACATGTTATTATAAATAATGATGATGTTATGAACCTAGGTTGCAAGAAATCAATTGGATTGTGAAGTTATGAGTGTTATTTATCATTTCATGTTAACGTACTCTACCTTTTTCCTTTCTTTAATAATTAAAGACTGTTAATTAAATTTAGTTTATATGTTAATGTCATTGAATTAGAGGACAGTGTGATTAAGGTTAATATTTGGATTAAAGGAAACGCTTATAACATAGAGTGTAATTAAGAAATTTCTAATAGGGAATAAATAGAATATATAATGAGTTACAAATTATCACTTTAACTTCCATTTAAGAGTTATATAATATTTTTATAGGTAGTTTTGAAATAATATTGGGAGTGGAAGAGCGAAAAAGGAATTTTCTCAAACATGTCTTGTGCAGGTACATTTAAACGAAAAGGAAAAAGTGAAGCACATTGATTCACACAAATATATACACATGGAACCAAAGCTCACTGACACTTCAATTGAGAAGATGGTAATTGGGTTTTGAGTAGCAATTGAGAGCCCTAAAAAGTGAGGCTTTCAAACAATTTACCTTTGCATTTAACAGAAATTGGGCGAAGAACCTTGGCACTTCTTGAAACCAAGTCATTGCTGAAAAGGACATGTTTAAGGTTTTATGATTGTTTTCGACCAAAAAATTTACTTTATCATTCTCCACTATTTTCAATCAAACATGGCTTTAATGTCCCCAAGAAGCATTCCAATCACCATCACCAAAACGAAAAATAGAGCCAAGTGTGAGTAAAATAGGGCTACGAAAAAGAAAGCCTTTTGTAATATTTGTGTATATACAATTATAAAATCAAAATTTTACAAAAATTAAACAATAATCAAATCATATATGTCTCTTTCAAATAAATAAACAGGTTAAGTTTAAACCTTTTTTATTTTATTTTTAGAAATTAAACCTAAATTTGAAATAGTTGTCTTGCCTGCACTTGTTTGATGTTGATAATGATGAGTATGGTGAGGAAATGATAAGTTGATAACGACTATATACTGGCAATCAAAAGGATAGCGTAGATATAGACGTGAGCATCCATCCACTAATCTTCACCTACCTCATTATATTCTCTATATAATTATTCTCCATCATAACCAAACATTTAGGCACAATTTAATTAATTTACTAGAATCTATCATCATATTGTTTTAAAACATTAATTCACAAATGATGTGAATGAGGAGAAAAGAAAATATAAAATGAGGGTAGAAATCCATGCGAAAATGTGTGAATGAAAAGAAAAAAGAATGGGAAAAAGGAAGAAACTCATGATTACAAAGGAAATTTGGATGCAAAAGGACAATCTAATTGAGGGTCCTTTGCCCCACAAAACATACACATCACATATAAATGAGAGGGCTTTTGGTTGAATGGATAAAATAGGAATGCATGGAGAGAGAGAGAGAGTGATAAAGTGCTTTAAACAAAGCCTCCATGTTGGACCCAACGTGTCTGAGCAAAACTTCTTTGCCATTTTCCCCCTTATGATGGGTGCAATTTTTTGGAGCATTTACTTAATGGCAATATTAAAACCACAATAATGGCTTTTTGTTACTCGTGTATTCAAAAGTTTCCAATGCATGTGGTACATAATAATAGAAAATAAACCCTCTTTTTTTGCCGCTAATCACTCCACATGGCATCCATCAAACTGATTGTGTTCATATCGTTTCATTAAAGTTGGAGATTCTACTCTCTTTCATTGCCCTTCACCCTCAAATATGCTCATCATTGCGCATTTCTTCCCCAATTTTTGGCTTCACTTGAGCAAGCTTTTTTATGTATATATGTGTATTTCTTTTCTAGAGATAATATAAAGCATGCACTTATTATACTCAAACCAACAAATTCATACCTATCATAGCCCTTGAGGGTTTAGAGAGGACATACACTTGTATGCACATGTATGTGTAGAGTGAAGGAATCCCAATGGAGTATGTAAAGTTTGGCATGTTACTAAAGCAAGACAAAGAGGGAGAAATCTAGGGATACCTTCCTAGGGATTTATAAAATATTCCAAGAAGCATTAGGGTAGCCATTATTTTAAGTGTACAAGACCTACATTACTTAGTGCATATCTTGAAAATGCAAAAGAGTGGGATGAAATAAACAAAAGAGGGAGAGTGAGAGGAAGTATAGTTGTACGTTTAGTTTTTGTGTTCAAATTGCATGAAAATCATCAGTGAAATAGGGTTTTGAAAGTTGAAAGGATAGGGCAAAAGAAAAGATGATGTTTGCTTTTGGTCCTGCCGCTTTTCCTTTTTTGTGATAAAGTGGAGAGAGACACTTGAAAGGATTTACAATAAAGTGTTTCCACATGCAAAAATACATACCATATCAACCAACAACACCATCCTTCGCCTAAAATTTCCCTTCACACTGCTTCTTGTCTTCTTGAGACTTGTGTTCCTCCTAAAATTTTGCAGCATACACAATCAAAATTAAATTTCTACACTTTAGATATTAATATTAACAATAACTATTAGAGTTATAACTTTATTTGCATCATTTTTGTAAGAAATGGAAAAGGTATAGTTGGACTAGCAAAAACCAAGATAATTTACGACTTTGGTGTGTTTTTTTACCTTTTTTTTTTTTTTTTTTTTTTGCTTTCTTCGTAAGCATGGTTTATTTATAGGAAGCGGGTGGAGAAAGAAAATCAAAGATAAAAAGTGACATAAATGGGAAGAACTTTCCTCATTTATGACATCGTTTGTTTAGTAAAATGTTCGATGTATGGCTTTCACTTTCTTCTCACGGCTCTTTGTTTTGTTTGTCTTTTCTTATGGTCGTAACTTTTTTGTTTTGTTTGACAATGATGTTACATGGATTGAGGAAGTTTGGGAGTACAACTTAACACATTTATTCCAATACACTGCTGTTTGTTAGAAACTGTATTTATAAGCGAAACCTATTATATAACATGTGAAAAATAAAATCATGTATTTTATTAATAAACTTCAATTTATAATAAAAAAGTGTTAAATAACATAATATATTTAGCATTTTTCTGGTTATACACGCGGGCTTGTATGGACTTTTAATTTGGGAACTAAGCCCAATAAGCAAAGCACTTCCTCCAAATATGGTCTTGGGTTTTGATGGGCCAATTCAGTGTGGCCCAAATTCTCAAAAGCATTGAATGAGATTAAATACGATGTTTTGCCAAAAACTTTGTTTCAATATCATATCATGGTTAAGCTAAATTGCTACAGCTGTTGAATGATATTTGTACATGAAGAATGCAAGATAAAAACTATCCGAAAATTTTCTAACTTTCGAAGATCCCTAGCTTTTTGGATCGTTGTCACTTTTCACCATTGGTAGCCAAGTTTATGGAAAACTTGTATGGATCTTTCTTACATTCTCTTACTCTTTACTCCTTTACAAAGAACTTTTAACATGCCATATTAAATTGATGTACAAACTTATCAATCTTTCTCATTTCTAGTTAATTTTTTTCTTGTATGAGATCAGTACATCTCACATATCCTCGTTACTTCTACAATGTGCTTTGCCACATTCATTTTTATGAAAAACCATAAGTTGTACGATTACTTTGCACCCTATGATTCAACAAAATCATGAAATTTGTGAGCAACACTTTTGGATGATTTTTTTAAACACAGTTTTGTGGGTCATAATTGAGTGTAATAGAATGAGCTTGTTTAAAAATGTGCAATTAACACTGCTCATTTTATTATCAATTTTATCTCAGGTAGAAAATTGTGTATTAGTTTGGTCTTTCCTAAGTTTCCATCACCTCTATTAAGTGCGAGAACATGACACTAATAACTATTGCTTGACACTAAAGTGGTTGTATGGTACGTAGTTAACTATTAAAAGATAAAATAACATTTTTTAAATCCGGTGATTCTTTTATTTAACTACTCACTTGTAATTTTATTCAATTCAATCATTTGTTTTCAATTTATTATTTTGCTCATGAATGAATGAATTAACTTGTCACATTAACCATAATGAAGATTTCATTATTCACTATAGCATTTAATTGAAAATATTGTCATTCATCAACCACTTGTCTGTGTTGAATTTGATTTGATTTAAAACTCAAAAAATCAAAATATGGATGAAGTTAGATTTGATTCGTTTTTTTTTTTAAGGAATGCAACTTAACCTTAATTTGATTTATTCAAGTTAGGTGATAAACATTATATATATATATATATATATATATATATATATATATATATATATATATATAATATAGTACTTAATTGGTTCGATTCCTTTAAATCAACCCATTCAAATGTGTAAAACTAGCTAAATAATAATCATGCAATCTCAATTCTTGAACAGTTCAATAAAAATGACATCTCGTATTAGTTCGCATTGCACACATAACATACTAAAAAGTTAGAATAATTATTATTTTAGAAATGATATTTTGTGTAAATTGAGTTCGGTATCGTTAATCGTGTTTAGAATTTATTTGACGCCCAGCTCAATTATAAATAGGTATGCCAAGATAAATTTAACCAACATCTCACTAAAATATAGTTGGGCTGGGTTGGTGTGATCGGGTTCATGGGTCGATAAAGGGATGTTTACACTCCTAGTTTCAGCACCACTCTTAAAGGTCATGTTTAGTTTCATGATTAACATTCAATGCATAATATTTTGCTCTCTTGATTTCCAGTTTGTAATTAGTATATCCACTTGAAGCAGAATGCATATTTGTTAATCAAAGAAAATTCTATTCTTTGGAAGAGAAACTCAATGAAATATATTTAATGAGTGTTCCCATCGTCGTTTGGTATTACCACTATTCTATCTGATCATACCTTCGGCAAATCTATCAGACTGATCCATTTCTGGGACACTTAGTGTACCTTCACACTTACCCTTCTTCCTGCATTGCACCATTCTGGCAACAGCATTAACTTTCTTAACAACTAGAGGAAGTAGCTCAGCTGCTTCGTCTAAAAATTGAGCTCCTACTCCAGTTGCAACCTCTTCCCCTTGAAACTTTTCTAATTCTGAATATAATCGCAGCGCATTCTCAGATGCGACATCCAAGCTACCAAATGCTTCCCTGCATGCGGCTATAGTTTCTCCCAGTTCACTCCCTTTATCAAATGAATTTTCTTTGACTGCGAATTTGATTAGTTCACATGTTGAATCTGCTGAAGGTTCCGAATTCTTGATGTCCTACCATAGGCATTTTGAGCAGTAAATATTTCAGCTAAGTCATTCAAGGTGTTACTTTCATTATAAAAAAAAGGGGCTTTTCAAAATCCATTACGAAATATAAAACAACAAAAGATCACTCAAGGGATCGCAATGCATATAATAATATATTAAGGAAACAATTAATTTACTAGTGCTGATGTTAGTATATTTATTATAAGAGTTTAAAAAAATCTAAAGAACTATGTAACGATGTGGACTCAGCAATGCTCAATGAGACATGACCCCCCTAAGGGATAATTGAAAGAGCAAAAATCTGAAGAAAGTGATTTTTCATCTTGTTCCATTTAGGGTTTAGGGTTTTATAAGCCTGATATTTGATTGCTAAAAGGATGGCATGGTTTTATAAGCCTGTATGATGCCCTCATACATACCTCTTCCGAAGAATTTCGCAATTCCTCAATTTGCTTCATCTGCAAGGATCTGTCTTCTGGTATGTTATGAGTTGCACCGTCATCCTCAGTGCTCTTTCTACCACTTGTATTCAAAACAGGACTGCTAAACAGTTTCTTGCAATCCCCTGGGTAATCCCATTGCACAATATATCTTGCAGAAAACCTTCTAACTAATGAATTCCTTGACTCTGCCTGCACAGATAACAAGCTGGGTAAGATTCAGAACATTACCTTACAAACTCAAAAGAAAATCTACGCAACTGTCGTCTAAATCAATCATAATAAGATATCTTCCTCCCTTAAGTTTTGGAGCAATTCCACCTCATCTAGGTAATCTTAATTTCCATTAGTTGTCACATTTCCTCATGAAGAATTGGTAGGTAACAAATATTTTCATTTAGGGTAGCCCAATTAAAAAAAAATATGATATCAATTCATTATCCACTAGCCATTTCTAATAATTTGCCACGATAAGATAATGAATTACATGTTAATATAGAAGCACTTTTTTAAAGCAAAAGAAAATATTTATTTTTGAATAAAAGTAACATCATAGACCAGCTTTATTTCCAAAATTATATTTTGAATTTCATAACAGCAAGCTTAATTTCCCAAAAATAAGTAGGACAAGAAATATTGAGATTCATTCAAAGTTGTAGAAACAAGACTTGCTCGTTTTATAATTTCTTCTTTACACTTCAGCATACAACACCAACCTTGTGTGTATTTGATAAGCTACCAAAATGTTGCTTAAACAAGTCGCTGTCTTCTTCAGACGGTAGACTGCCCAAATTGCCTTCAGTAGTTGGTTTTGACAAACTTCCAGAGTCACTCAAATACAACGTCTCTGCTTTACTCTCAGAAACTTCTTCAGAACACCAAGAAACATCATTATTGTTGCAACCAACATGTTGGTGTGGAGTAACACCCATATTTTCATTCTTGCTACGGTTACTAAGCCCAAAGGAGTTCTGGTCCACACTAACCAAAGCCCTATGTTGTCCTGCAATAAGCAATTACTTATAAGGTTAAAGCATACTTTTTCATATGTTCATGTCATGGGTTTATTTTATTGGAATATGGGGTTTTAGATGTTGCAGAAGGAAATTGTGCGAGGAGACTTTCAATGATATTCTATTTATTATTTTGTTAAGATGAATTATAATGTGATTCTATGATCATAAAACTCAGCACTAACCTTGATTCATACTAATCATATTCTAAACAAATCTCTAGTATTCGAAAAATATGAAAATTAAGAAAATATGAATACTCGTACTACGAGAATCTCTAAGATACCCCAATTAACTTGAAAGGAATTTGGATGACAGAATTTGTCTTCTTAGCTATCATCAATAAAGATGAAAATTCGGAAGAAAAAAAAAAATGAAGTGAGAACAATCATTCAACTTACTTATATTCAAGGGAATCTCGGGAAACTTTGTCTTACATAAATCAAGCATCTCAGGAGAGGAAAGCGCCTCCATACAAACAGTATAAACAGAGTGCCAATGGTTGTCTAATGGAATGTTGCTGAAATTATAGTGACTTCATGAGCAAGGAACAGAAATGCCACCACCAAAAGTTCATGACTGAGATTTGAGATTCAACTCTTACCTATAAGTTCCTCCAAACCTTGAAGAATCTTGAGCGTTCACAGTATCAGGCAGTGGAGAAGCATTATCAGATGGAATTTGAACTTCGGGGGATAAAGGAGCATAAACCTAATCATCATAAATGCAAGAGATATAAGAGACTCGGTTAAAATCCTAACACTACTGTGTTGTTATTAAGGAGCTAAGATTTTTGTGTTGTAGCACCTGTAAATTAGACACCAGTACAATAGACTTCTAATTGTTGAAACGTTGACACTCTAACAGGATAAGCTTCAACAAGAGTTGGCTGGGCTATCATTCAATGACATCTGACAAATATGAATTCTCACTCAAAAAAGTTATCCATAGATGTGGCTTTGTGCTTAATATCTTGTTACACCAGAATGGCAACAATAACCATCAGATGCAGACACAGATTACGTAAACACTTTAATTGCCAGAAAAGCGTTGACAGTGACTCTATTTTCTCTCCAATAAATGACTAGGAACCCACACAACTAGCTTAGCCCAATTTCATTACAAGGAATTAGTTCTCTTGCACATTTCAAAACTGAATGTCCGCTAAAACACCAGTTTCCAACCAAAAATAATTAGCTTGTACTCTTCAATGATGGATATAAATATCTTTCTTGAACATGCTGACCAATAGATATAGTTCTATTCAAGTATGGATCTCCAAATTCCAAAGAGGTTTCCAATAAGATATAAACAAGCTTCTGAATCTTCAAAATACTAGTGTGGGTAGGGGAGCTCAGGATTAAATACAATAGAGTTTCTAAAAACTAAATAAATAAATGTAGATATAGATATTTATTTAAGAGTACACACCTCTGACGAAGTGCAATTAAGATTCGTGCAGACACCGTTTGAACTGGTCACTTTTGCTTGTGCCCATTTGGGAAGTCTTGACACACTAAATTTAAAAGATGAAGCCTCTTTATGACTGGTTCCAGGATAAAGCATTCCATCCCCGTTTCGGCTGTTGTTCCTCATTGACCAAACTCCCTCAGCATTTATCTTGGAATGTTGGAATTCTTCTTTACAAAATAATAGGTAACTAAGAGAGGGAGGCTGAACAGAGCTTCTTGGAGACAATGGATCATTTTTTTCCATTATTCTCTCCAATATTCTAGAAGACAATGAAGCAGGCAATTTCCACACAAAAACACAACCGTTACCGTCCACCTGAATATGGATATGTCAACAAAAAAACGTTGATTACAAAAGAAAGGACATCAACATCTTTTTCTTTTCAAACATGATGAAAAAGGGAAAACCAACTTAGGCCATATTTGGCATAAATATTTGACAAGTTAGCTGAAAAACTAAATAAAATATGAAAAACTAGAAATTTTCTTTATATAAATACATTTTTATTTTATAAACAAATATATTTTCATGTAACCACATAGTTTTAGGATTTTAGGATAAGTTCAAACTCTTCATTTTTTTGTATAAACATAAAATGTTTTAGAAAAACATAAAATAGTGTAAAAATATTAGACATGGGATATCTTATTTGTCAACAATTGTTTGAGCCAATACATGTTATATTTTAATTTAATGTTATACTAATATTGTATGCATTACTAACTCCCTAAGAAATATAGAAGAAACCGACAGGTAAGAGTAAAAGAAGCTCACAGAAACTATATGCTTGCAATCAGGCAAGAAGATGACACCAGTAACAATTTCAGCATGCCCCGTTGCCTTTGCAACCATCTCCCCCGTGATAAAGTCATATATGCATATGGACATGTTAGAGAATGAGCAGACCACGTAAGTGCAGCTTGGGTCCATTATAACCTGTTAAAGAATTTAGCTTCTGGTAAAGAAGGTTGATATCAACAATCCTTTTATAATAATGAAGCTCACCTTTATAGGTTCTCCAAATTTTTTATCATGGTTGTACGACCTAATTAGTTTCTGAGCAGCCATGTCAAACGTCTTTATCTTCATATCCTACAAGCATGATATAATATTAGTAATCAGGTGCCGAATCTTCAAATTGAAACATGAATAATTGAAATAGAATTCACGTGGAAGGTCTTCCACAACAGGCAACCCTCCCTTGAACTTTGATGATTCTCAATGTGAACAAGCATATATCTCACCTGCCCAACAGTGACAACAGTCTCACATGTCTTATCCACAGCCATGTCATAGACAGTTCCACGTTGTAAAGCCCTTTGGCGATGTTGTTGCAAAATTTTATAACCATTATCTGCTATCACCACATCTCGAAGCACCAGGAAACTGTGTGAAAGAAGGGATTATGTTATTGTTAATCATTGAGGAAATCATTCAATCTCAAATAATGTTGCTTTCACTGGTTATTGTATATTATAAAGTAATTTGAAAAACAAAAATATGATGGCCACATAGAATAAGTATATAAGTATCAAATAGTAAAACTTATCACAAAAGTTATTTGTTCTAAATAAATTTGTTGACATTTCCATGCAAAGCATTGGCTACCTCAAACTGCAGATTATATGGGTTTGAATTGGCATCCAGGAAAACTACTTCACAGAGAACAACATTCAAATTTTTGGGGAATGAATTGTTTGTACAAATGTTTTTTATTTTTTAATAATTAGAAATAGAACAAAAGCAAGCAAGTGACATTTATATATTTTTGAACATGCTCCAATAAACTTTCCGAACATGTGTTAGAATCCTATAGATATAATAGTAGGATCAATTAAATGATATTAGAATCAATTAGATTGATGATATATTCATGTTATAAGTCTAAAATAGGGAAACTGAATATTATGCAATTATGTTACCTCTCCTATAAATTGAATAGTTTAATTTTGGTCTTAACACAGAATTTATCATATGACTTCTCAGATTCTGCCTTCTCAACAGTATGTTTGAGTGCAAAAAGTTACTTTTCACTTTTTGTCTTTCTTAACTTCATTTTTGAAGGGAATGGATTTGCTTTCAGATTATTACAATCCTATTGTTCTTTGTAATTTGCGTATAGAAATAAAGCTAAAAGTTTAATTTTTGAAATTATAATGTAAAATCAATGCAATTTTTGGAACATGAAGTGCATTGTTCCAATATACAGCGAGTGGACTACAAAAACCAATTAAAAGTTGTATTTACCTGAATTTACTAGTACAAAACCAGCCAACCTATAAGCTATTGCATTATTGATATTTCAATAACCAGATAAATACAAAAATGAAGAACTGTAATTAGTTTTGGCATCTAAGAATGTCTTTCCAGTACGTTTTGACTCCACTACAATATTTCCTAATTGCAGTCATTTTCCCCAAGCGATTGCTAATGCTTAAATTAAATGTATTTAAATTTTTCTTCCCAAAAAGAATCAATAAACTAAGGTGGAAATTTTCTGTTTTCTATTATTCAACTGTTAAGTAAAACAGACATAGTCCCTTTTTCATTCCAAGTTTGTTTGATGATGATGCCAAATCTACTAGCATACCTATCAGCACTACAACTGAGGATCCTGCAACCGTTGCTGCTAATTTTAATAGAAGTCACTGCAGCCGAATGATCATCAATGCTGTCAATAAGATCAAAATTTCTGCCACATGAAATAAAAAAGTCATTGAAATGCATAACCAACCAACTAGGTTGTCCTTAAAAATTGCACAAACACACCTTTTCACATCATAGAGATGGATCATACAATCTCGCCCCCCTGATGCAAGAAAGTAATTGTTTTTTGCAATTTCCTCAGATATATCTACGGTGGACAAGGTGAAGCTCAATGTAAGAATCTCAGCATCATGTGCACCCTGAAATAATATGGTTTAAATGACCAAATAAATGTTGTGAAGCTTCAAATATGGTTTTTACAGCACAATAATTTCTAAAATAAACTCAGGCGCCTGAGCTCACTTGGAAACATGTGTAATCTGATGTTTGAAGGTTGTATATATGAAGGTTTCCTTTGCAATCACCAGCTGCAAGGTAATTTCCATCTGGACTAACAGCAAGTGACCGAAACTCTCGATTGGTGAGATCTGCCTTAACTGCATCACGTTCATATGTCCCAGCAGCTACTGCAGCAATAGACAAGAAGAGCACAACTTTGAGAAAAAAAAAAAAATTAAAAGATGAGAGAATTGAAATTTTTTTTCCAACAATCGTGAGCTACCTAAACATGAAGAACTCAATAGTTCAGTCTTCAAATCTTCAGCATCATTTGAAAAATCAGATTGCAAAGCAATATCCCATATCCTGATTGTACCATCAGCAGAGCAAGTTGCAAAAGAAATCCCCCCCAAACAACCTCTAGCAGTGCATGCAAGAGATGAATCATGCATGTTTTCACAACATAGATTTTTGATATCCCATATGCAGGAGGAATGTGAAACTAGCACAAAACACTTTGTGACCTGGAAAAAAATGACATTTTTTTCGCATTAACCATTCACAGATTCATACAACACCTTATGGCCAAGAAAATATGAGTAATAAAGCTTGCTGCATCATCCAGTAATTTGCAAGCGAAAGACTTAACAAAGAAGGATTCTATCTGATTGCTGCGTTGTATGTTCACATGAGTTGTTTATAATCAGATATTAGGGCACACCAAAAAAAACGTAAGAATAAATTAAACGCTTGGGTAATTGCATCCCTAGTTTCTAGTAACAACGATTAAAATATTTAACATTCTAAATATGCTATCTAAAAATCATAATGACAAACATATTATATAAAACACTAACCTGATTCACATTATGGATGTCATAGATGTAGAGACTATGATCTCCGTAAACAACAACTGTAGGGAAAACATAGAATATATATCAGTGCACAACACAATATTATGTTAAACAGAACTAGCAAAACAAGTAGAAGATTTATCACTTACCAATCTTTTCTAAGGCTGAAAACTGACAGGCAATTGCATCAGGCAGGTTAAGCAATTGTTCAGAAGCCTGTTCGGGAGCTATAGTGTGGCTAACTAAATTGCTTTCTTCAAGTAACCTTTTTGTCTTTGAATATAATATACTACCCACATATTCTAGAGAGATGGGGGTAAATAATTGGACTGTTCCATTATTGCATGCACAAGCAATTAGCTTTCCTGATGTTGATAATGCAAAAGCTTTTCGAACCTGAAAACGAGAATTTGGGAATAACAAAAATTTTCAAAGAACTAACAATCTAACACCAGAATCCTCAATCAAGTAACAATTCATAATTAACTTTAAACTAATACAACATAATATCAAGATCAACTTAGAAACTACAAACAATATAAGAATGTTCTATCATGTACGTAGAACATCATTTACTTTTACATGGGAAATATAGTTTTAAGTCTCTACAGATCCATTACAACATAACAGTTCATCCATTACGGTTTCCTGTTTGAAAAGATACTTTTGGCATGATAAGATATATTACAAAAATGAGAAGGCATGGACATACCCTCAATGTCACAGACTTTTCAACTGACATCCCAGAATTAATAAGGTATAAAATTCCTGTAAACAGAAAGGAAATGAATAAGGAGCAAAATACCAATAAACAGAAAGAAATGAAGTTGAACTAATAGCTAACACATCATGGCAATCAAGAAACACGAATGCCTCAAAATCTAAACAAAAAATATCTCAATCTTAGACTCTCTGAACTGAATCAAACCTGAATCAGTCAATGTATATATGGGAAAGCAATCACCAACTTGTTTGCAATTATCATAGCCATTACAGCCCCACACAGAACTGATAGATGTAACAGAGCTTGCTTTATGAATAGAAAGATTGGCAGGCTTTTCATATATTGCTAATGATGTAGTCTTTCTCATCCCTCCATTTAGTTGAGTCTTTCTAGAAGATCCAAGTATCCAGAATTTCAAGTGCTTCTTCCCAGAAGTTACAAAAAATTTTGCATCTGAGGAGAAACTAACACTTGAAATCGTAGAACAAGAAGAAGTTGCTTGAAGCTTCGTTACCAGATCACCACTTCGCCAGTTCCAAAGGTAAATATATCCTCCAACAGATACCAGATGTTTACCTTGGACAGAATACTATATAATGAGAAAGAAGCAGTGAGTAATAAAATTAAAAGCAAGCATATGGATTGCTAACGTGTAACCAACCATTCGGTGAGAGACAGATGCATGTAACTCCATATAGATGGCCTTTCAATTCAGAGACAACTGATGAAGTAAAAGAATCCCATACTAGTACTGATGACTGGTTTCCTACCTGCAAAACATAGACTGATTACTATAAAAATGTGTAAACAGTGAAGCCATTATGTGTTATTCAGTTATTCTCAATATTTTCCATATCCATACTATTACTGAATGAGGAATCCTCCAATCACACATTAATAAAGTTCATTTAATGAAGATATAACTGTGAAAGAGATATTTTTACTGAAATACACAAAATAAAATTCTAATCATAATGGTTATTAAGTTATTGTGTAACAAGTTCAGTATTGACCTACTAGCTTACCTTACCTATTGACCAATTCACACCCATTGAACCATATAGATACAAACACATCAATACCTAGCCTCCTACATATGCATCAGTTTATGAAATCAGTGAGCCATATGACAACTCCATATGCTAAAAAGAAAAACACATTCATCAATCTTATTCGTTCAGGGTATGTTCAGATGAAGTACTTGGGAGGGAGGACAAGATATCCATTTTAAGTAAATTCAGATATAAAACATTCATGTAATTCCACCCAAAAGCTTAAGCTTTTGAAAAAGTTGGTTCATAATAAGAATTAGTCTAGTCAGAGTTCAACTCTTGCTTAGTCTATTATTCTAAATAAACATTAAAATTAAACACAAATATACTGTAGTTCTACAAATTGCCTCACTTCAATCCTAAAAGGCTCTTTCATGAGAGGATTTGTTAGACGTAAAATCATTCATGTTTTTTACTCAACAAGCTTGTTAAGGTTAAAGAAACAAACTTGAATGACGCTCAGTAGCTTCCTATAATTTTGTTCTCATACACAGGATAAATTATATTTCTCTCCCCTCCTGAGATGATATGTGTTACATTTAGTCCATTTTAAAGTAAACAAACCTGTTGAATTTAAAGGGGGGTATTTAGAGGAAGATAGAAAAATATGTTTTAGGGAGAGTTTAGGGAAGGGAAGGGGAAAGTCTTATTATTCAAGAGAATGTAGTCCATAGGCTATACAAGACATCAACACATGTAGGCTCTTAATAGATTCTTAGGCTAAAATTAACTGAGTGCAACTTTATAGACATTAATACCCCCGACCACTAAAAGCATTTGAACATGAGATACAAGAACATCTACTTCTTAAGTACATGCTATTGTTATTTCCATCAAACCTTTTAGAGAAGGTGAACAACTATGAACAAGCCTCTTAGGTGAATTTTTCCTCTCTATGCAACTTTCACTATCAACTGCCACCAGGAACTAATTTTGATTTTGAACACCATATAAATTATTTTAGGTCTTCAAAAGATGACATGAGGTCTCCAACTATGAACAGATTTTCTCAAACAGCTTCCTTTCTGCATACACAACTGAAATGAAACTTTTAAGCTGCCCCAAACATGCTTAAAAAATGACTGTGGTGGCTAAAAACTTATAGACACATCATTTTTAATTAGACAACAGCTGACAAGCACATAAAGAGTGTTATCTAAGCCTTTTCCTCTCTCTCTACCAAAATTGGTTGTCACAAGCATTAGTAGCTTGTGTCTAACCAAGTGGTCCAGGGTTCCAATCTTGATCTTTCTTTAAATATAGAATAAACCATGTTGAGAGGAGAATGCCCCACATTGTATGCACTCAAGGTCTGTGACAGTGTTAGTCATTGATTTTGGTAATGAAATAATTCATACCAATACCATGGTTCCCAAAAAAGGTCTGTGACAATTTTATTTTGTTTAAGTTAAATTGAAAGGTGAAAAAGAATTAAAAAAAAAATTGAAGTAGGAGTACTGGTTAACAAAGTAAATTACAAATTTTATAAAAACATGATGCTGAATAGGAAATGATTTATTGTGAGAGTTTGTCCCACAAAGTGGTCTTCCAATTTGTCATCTAGGTCTTCCATGTGGTTCTTGGATATGTCTATGTCATGGTGATGCAATAGGTCCATCATTATCATTGTTATAATCTTCCTCTTCCTCACTTGCATTGTCAAACATCTATGTGGGCAAGGGGGGCCCATAGTAATCCAATGATGGTGTTCCATTGTATGTTGACTATGATGTCATCAAAGGATTGACAAATATATTTGCTTGAGTGAAAAAATATGTATAAGAAACTTACACGAAGTAGGGATGGCCCAGATAGGTTTAAGGGATGGTCAATATATTTGTAGAAGGGAAAGGGTTAAAGACTAGATTTATCAACATTTTGACGTCAATGTTGGTATATAGTTGATGAAAAGCCAACATGTTGATAAATAGATTGTGGTGTAGGGATTTTGATTAGCTGGTGTTATTGTGTTTGATGGTCATGTTGTGTATCATATTGTTCAAAAGAAAATGTAAAATTAATATTAATAAAATATTATAGTATGTACAACATTTTATGCTTACTTCGCTTTGTATCTTATGCATCTTGAGAAAAAATGTATCACATAGTGCGCTAAAAAAACCTTATGCATGTATTGTGAATTTTCATGCAAATTGTCATTTTCATGGAACTTTTTTCCTTGAATTAAATAATTATGTTGACTCTTCCACATTGCGTCCACTTTTGAACATATTGTGACCAATATCTATTTGTTCTTCTTCTCATATCTTCTTTATGAGACTGATCTAATATCATTGGGTCTTTAGGGCTCAATAAAGACATATCAATATGGTTGAACCCCAACTATAGTTTATAAAAAATAAATCAAATGGACTCTAGGCCCTGATGTTTTTGTCATCAATAAGCTCCACATGATCATCATAATTTCATCCTTACATATTGAGCTATAACAGTTTTTTTTTTTTTTTTCATTTTCTTTGAACAAGTTAGCAATATATTCGGGGTACTCATGCCCTACCCAAAACTTGCAGCATCCTTTCATGTCTCGTTCATCTTTCTAAAATAAATTTAACTATAATTTACAAAATAATGACACAAGAGAAAATGTTATAGTTCAACATGCAATAATGCGTATTATGATGATCATAGGAAATTTAATGATGCAAGATTCGTCAAGGTATAAAATTACTTGATGCATCTTTTATCATTACATTACCTAACTATTGTGTCAAACTATATTTGGAGTTCAATTGTATTGACGTGTCTTTATCGAGTCATAGATTATGGAATTTACAACAATCAAGATTTAAAGGTCGCAAATTACTTCTGCACTCATGGGCATAAGACCACATTACATGCATTTGCCTTTGTTGGGAAGATTTAATTAATGAAAAGGTTGTTGTAAGAGTAGGTTTTCCATTAATAAAAAGGTATTATTCACATACACTTTATACCTGAATAGTTTAATTGTTATTTTCATTATTAAACTATTGTACATTCCACACTTCATCATCTACTACCAAAGGAGGTCACGGGTTCACCATAATTTTTAAAATTCCAAAAATATTTTTTAATTTCAAATGTTTGTTACAAATTTCAATTTTGTTTGTAGTTTTTATGAATTTGTTAGAGTAAAACTGTACTCAAATGCTTAATAAATGTTGATGATTCTCATTTAAGTCGTATTATTGTAACTCTCTATGTTTAAGAACCCTTCATTTCATTAAGTTTATTGGGTTTTGAGACATTTGGCCTTCATCAACATATTCCGAAAGACCTAATGAACCTTGACAAATTTCATAAAAAAATGAGAGGAAGAATAGGCATATATTGGCCACATTATCAGCAAAAGTAAATTACAATGTAGAAAGATTCTCATAATTGTTTAATTCAAGGAATCAAATTCCACGAAAATGACCATTTGTGTTAAAATACACAATACATGCAATGACATTTTCAGCACACTATAAAATATATTTCTCCTCAAGAGACAAAACATATAGATGATGAAGTAAATATAAAATGTACATACAATAGTATATGTATATTAATACTAATTTTACATCATATTTTCAACAATATCATATAGCATAAGAGCATCAACCACAATAGCACCGCACACTACAACCTGGCTTATCAACACGATTGACTCTTCATCAAATATACATCAACATCAAAATATTGGTCATACTAGTCTTTAATACTCTCCATTCTATGGATATATAGATCATTTTCAAAACCTACCGAACAATCCTAAATTGAAAATTTTCCCCTCAAAATATTTTTCTTTTCCAATGAAATATACTTGTCATGTCATCATTATCAACAGACAAACAAATATCATCTATGGATTATTATTGACTTACTTTGCATACATATACATCTGACAATAAGTGAAGAGGATGAAGATAATAAGTCAAACATTACGACAAAGACCTAGACAACAAATAAGACTATATTGTGAGACAAGCTCTCAGAAATAAATTATTTCCCATTTAATATCTTGTTTATCTTTATTCATTAAAATTTCTAATTTGATTTGTTCACCACTACTCCTACTTCATCTATTTTCTTTTTATTTTTCTTTTATACCTTACAATTTAATTAAAAATAAATAAATTTAACTAAAAAACCAAAATTATAAAATTTTAAATAACAAATAAAAATAAATTAAAACCAAATTCGTGTTTTTGGTAAATTTTAACCCTAATGACATGTTAACAGTACAACTTCTAACCATAGAAGAGAAAAAAAAAATAACAAAGTCGTTTGGAGGTACGACTTCTTTTTGGTGAAGTCATACTTCCCAACGAATTACTCAAATTTGTACTTTTTAAAAAATTGATCTATTTTGGTAATTTGAAAAAAAAAAATGCACCAGCTTGGTGCTTGTGGCAGAAAAAAATTTGTCCATTCTATAAATGAGAGAACGTTAGATAACCTTATAATAATTTCTTATTCATTCTTATAAGTCACAATTTGTTGAAAATGAAAATCCATCACCTTCCCTGTCAAACTCCTTTGTCGAATTTCAAACAAATCCTCGGACATAAAATCGAATAGCATCAAATATTATTAAGAGAATACCAATCAATATCCTCATGAATTTGAAAATCAACAAGAAAATATAATTCACTTCACCCTTAAAAAGCACCATCCTTGTGCTAATTCAACAAGACGAAGCCATTTTATTTATAGGTTCTAGAACTTCTTTCAAATGGGTTACTGTGTGAATATGCACAGAGCAGCAATATTATAGCCAAGTTATGAGAGTTAATACTTACCTCTCCGGCCGCGACAAAGTGTCCATCTCGTGACAAAGCTACGCAACTCAAAGGCTTTGGGGTTCTATTAGACACCATGAGGTGCGACTGAGTGCCCAAATTCATATCATAAATCACCACCACTGAACCTGCCAAATAAGCACATTTGGAGCTCAAGGAATTTGAAGCTAACCCATTGTTATTCTTTGTTGTCAACCCAATTACCTCCTCCAAAACCAGCTGAAAAGGGGGTGAAAATTCCAAACATCAGAACACTGGGAGGAGCGGTTGTGCATTGGTTAAGAAAAGAAAAGAAATCATGATTCAATAAGCAAATTAAGCATCAAAATTCAACTTAACTTGCAGTTTTTAGCTCAAATTTTTAAGGAAACAGACAGTGTTAAGGTTTGTGATCCTCAAAACCAAGATGCATATCACTCAAAAAAGTTCAAACACAAGGAGCACTCCGAAGAGCAATGACGCGTTGATTTGGGGGAGAAAATACTATTCGGTACTACGCACTTCATAAATTTACCATGAACCAAATTTTGTTTGTTAAAGTGGCCAAAGCAAGTTTTCATATTACAGACTTTATATAAAACAAAAAACACAAAATCATTGAGCATGAAGTTCTCCACGTCTGACTTCAGAGCTTTGAACCGAAAAAACTTTTCCTTCCACAGTTTCTATTTGTCGAGAAACAAACCATCGTTAGGGTTTATAGTTCTAAATTCAAAGGCGCATTGTTGCGTGACACCCAGAAGAGCCATTCCGAATGAATTGGGCTTCACAGTACTACTCATTATTTCTTATTTCTCAAATTAACCGTGAATTTGTGCTTAACTAACACCTTCTAGTTTAATTTTACACATACACAGGTTTAAAAGGTTGGAAAATGAAAAACGAACTTTGTTTCGAAAGTGAATAAATAAAATGAAACCTTTGAGACTGGATCGGGCTTGTTGAATCTGCGAGTGGGTTTCATTGTCGTAAGAAAACGTAGCAATCCTCAATCAATTAACTTTGAAGAACATCCACAGCTTCGTTGCATAATGTCACTCAGTTTGAGTGAGAAATGGCGACTGAGAAAAGAGAGAAGCGGGAATTTTGCACAAATGAAAAAATGCAAATGAGTTTTCATTGTATGGATAAAGACTAAGACTTAATAAAAAAAGCTTAGTTTATATACAAATTAAAATTTAAGAAAATTATAGGACAATTTTTTTATAAACTAATTTATATATAAGTTAATTTTAATTTTTGAAAAAAAAACCCTTACAAAATATTTTATCAGCTAAATCCTAAATGAAAATTAATATAAAAATATATTTTGGTCAATGACTGATTACTTTCAGAATTATTTTATTTGCATAATAATAACTGCAAAATCAAATAGTACTAATATATTTGTATTTCAACCAGTAAGTGGTATAATTTTGGAAAAGATGAGTGATTTGGAATTTACTGAAAATGTAACTAATATTTAGGCTATATATTTTTTAAAGGTTAAATATATTTTTGTCTAAATATTTTTTATCAAATTTAGTTTTGATCCCTGTATTTTAAAAATTATTATTAATTTACAAATTTAAAAAATATATAAGTTTCATTCTTTCATTAATTTTATTACAATATAAAATATTACAGAAATATATAAATTTATTATTTTATTACAATAAAAAATGTTATTACTATATAAAATGTTATTATATGAAAATATTTTTTCTCTCCAAAATTTTGTTTTTTTTTAACTATGTCAAATATTAACTATTCTCATCATTGCACTTAACTAACTTTTTCTCTAAGAGATGAATATTTTCTTCACGACTTTTTTTTTTTAAATCACATGTCATCGTCTCCACCTTATGTTGCAACTATCAAATTTTTATATTTTTATTAATTAAAAGGCGATTTTAAATCAATGAATATTTATTATTGCTCAATATGGCAATATTTTTCGACCAAAGTTATTTTTTTCCAAAAGTTTCAATAATAGATTTATCAAGAAAAGTGTTCAAAACCTAACATAAAAGAAAACTTCCTATTCAAATCATTTTTCTTGGTGGCGACTTTATTGACAAAAAAGTTAATTCTTGTATTAAATATGTGTTGTATTAAATATATGTTACGTGTAAAAGATAGAATAGACCTAAAAATCTTGAAATATCTTTCTTGTCTTTTGAATAATAAAGACATGATTTCCATCCCTTATGTTAAGATCAAATGGATAGATTTGCAAAAAATTATGATTATATATTTATATAAGTTTATCACGTTTTGTCAAGTATTATATGTGTATTGATAATGTTGTTCTCGTATATATATTGTTTATATATGTTTGCAAATAAACAAATATTATAGTAAAATATCTTACATAGTTTATTGTTTTATTTTTTTAATATATATCTATATTATGTCATATACTCTATCATAAATGGTTACTTATATTTCTTTTTAATATAGTTTAATGTTACATATGATATTTATACTTTTTGATATAATTTATTGATATAAAATAATATTTGACTTCTTGTAATTTTTAATATAGTTAGGTACTACAATGGGATGTGTAATATATCTAACTGTTTATTTTTTTAATATAATTTTATGATATAATGCATTCTATCATGATGGTTGTTATAAATTTTAATATAAAATTTAAAATCAAATCAATTGAAAATATAATATTATTTTCAATTTAAAATCTTAAAATATTATATTATAATTTATAGGTTTTTCTATCTTCTCATTTCTATTTAATGAAACTTGAATTCTCAATATTTATGATTGTACTTTATTTTAAAAAATTATTACTAAGTGAGAAAATTCTGGATAAGTGAGAACTTCAAGAGTTTCCCTTGTTTGCTTTGTTTACAATTTTCGGAAACATTAGGTACATACAAAGCTTCTTCATTCTTTTAAAACTTCATTGTCTAAATTTGACAATTATTATTTTCGTTTTACAAAGATTGTAATTTTGCATTTTTATAAAATAATAATAAATATGTAAAAATTTTAAATTATTTTATTAAAATGATATTACTCTTTCGATAAATATAATATTTTTAATGGACATGGATAGTAATTTAGAGTTAAATTAAGAATTAAAAAAATATTTTATTAAAAATGGAGAACATCAATCCATTTGGAAATTTCGAAAATAGTTATATAAATTTTACGTTAATCAAATAGTAATGTAATAAACTTTATTTTTATTTCATTAAATTTATAATAAAAGTATTTTTATTACAATGAAAGTTTTATCTTAACCCAGAAAAATAGTTTTCACCTTATATTTACGAAGATATTTACCAATGTTTTACATCAATTAAAAAAAACTTAATTTTTTAATTTAATTTAAACAAAAATAAACTTGATTACAAATCCAAATTTTAAATAAAAAAATTAAAAAAATTAAAATAGTCTTGCAAGACTTTGGTAAACTCTAATCCTAAAATCGTGTTGATAACATTTTTAATACTATCACTCTTACCACAGTCATAATCAATTATTTTGATAATTACCGTATTAATCTTATCATGTATAATTATAAATTATATTTAAACACTTTAATTATTCCTTCAACGATATTATTTAAATAAAAGTTAGTTTTGCTTCTTCTTATTATCGGTTTAGTTACATGTATCTTAAACACATATAACAGATTAATTATTCTTTATTTGATTGATTTATTTAATTTCTCTTTTAATATCATTTTATTAATTTATTTACTTATTTTCTCTTTTTCATAATTTTCACCTACTAGTTATGTATATTTAAAAATAAAATCAAGAAATTTAAACAAAACAATATAATAATAAAAAATTTAAACAAAATATTATAAAAAAGATATAATAATTTTATTTACTTATATCATTATAAGAAAAACAAAAAAAATAATAACACCTTGTAATATATAAATAGTAAAAAAAGAGTAACAAATACAGATATATAAAAAGAAAAACCCAGTTAATAATATTTTTAATAATTTTAGTTTATTAATTTCTCTTTTAATACTTTTTTATGTCACAATATAATGGAAAAAAGATGAATAATTAATGATTTAAAAACCGTTTTATTATTCTCTTCTTCCATCTGAATGTCAATTTAAAAGCACGTTCACATTTATTGATTAAATGTGTCTGAGGGAAGAAGTGAGGTTTTACAGCACTGGGACGTTGGGTCGCTGCTGGTGTTTGGTGGCACGTGCTCACACTCCCACACCTGGTGCCACGTGCTCACCTTTAAATTGCTTAGTTGCATTTTCACACGCAACTTCGATGCCCCATTTTCAGATGGTAAAACCGATTAGTTCCTGCCTTATTAATGTCTTTAGTCTGTCTTAGTTAGGAATAATAAAAAATAACTAAACCGTCCTATTTTGACCATTATATATTATAGATTTCAACTTGTTCCATTGACGAATATTAATAATTTTTTATATTAAATTTTGTATATATATTTTTAATTATATAAATAATTATTATATTTTTATTTTATTATTTAAAATTTTAAATAATTATTATATTTATATATTAAAATAAATAATTATAATTAATAATTTAAATTTAATGAATAATTAAAATATAAAAAATATAATATTTTTAATTATAATTATTTATTTTAATTTTAATATATGAATATATTTTTTTAAAATCGATCAACCGTCCTTGACTCACTAAAATTAACGGATTAAATAATACAGATTAAAATCACTAATCTATTTTTAGATGGACAGAAACTAATCCATATTACCGTCCTAGAAACGGGACATCCCTACCATCTTCCGCATGTATTTCATTCTTCTAAATGATTAATGAAACAACTTCAATATTTTTAATATAAAAAGACTAAACATATTATTTTAATTTGGATCGAACAACGTAAACAATGCTGACTTTAATATTTAGTTGTCCAACGCGGAGTTACCTTATTTCCAAATGTCTAATTCCACAACGTTCACGCGCTAGTTTTAATATTTGGTATTGAGTTATGCAATTTCAATTGTTTTTACATACGGCCTCTTTCAATTTTCTCACCAACCCCCTGAGCAAACTGGTTTCTCTTTCTTTAATCTTTCTTCACCGGCAATTCTTGTGGATTGCTTATTCAACGCAATTGTTCCCACCAAACACACCCTTTGGTTTGGAGATACCTACAATGTTTCAAGTTGTGACCCAGTCTTACACCACCAGAACGAAACCCTTCATCATTTTCCATGCCACAAACCATTGATATTCAATTGTAGCACTTTCTCTTTTCCTTTAATGGCTACCTTAAATTCAGCACCACCCCTCTTGCGTTTTTCATCTAGGAGGTCTTCATCTTTGGCAACCCATTTGAGTTTTGGCCATTCTGGGAAATCCCAGCTGGGATTTGTGTCCAGAATCTCACCAACAAAGTTGCAATGGAAAGGTAGAGAAGAGGAGTGGCAGAAGAAGAGAAAGGCACAATGGGGTGTGAGGTGCACTGCAGATGGCATAGAAGGGGAGATGTTTGTGAGAGGTAGAGAAGAAGGTGTAGGTGTTAGCATCCCAGAGAGGTTGAAGGTGGTGTCTTTGGTTGCATGTGTCATGTGTCTGTGTAATGCTGATCGTGTGGTTATGTCTGTGGCTATTGTTCCTCTGGCTGATAAACATGGCTGGTCCAATTCTTTTCTTGGCATTGTTCAGGTACTCCACAGGCCATAAAAGTAGCAAAACATGTGATCATGAATAGTAAATTGATTAAATTCATCTCTCTATCTGTGTCCCACATGCATACACAAAAGGCACAATTTGTCATCAATGACTTTTGGAAGAAATATATTCTTTTTACAAGAATCCTGCTTTCATGTTAGTTTCAGTCATATTGTTTGACCATAAAAAAATGATATTATTTCTGCCTATTGTATACTTGATATCTTTTTTATATACTATGGTCTCAAAAATACTTCCCAGAATTAAGCAGGACTACTTTGTTGGTCCAATTTGATGTTCACTGAAAATTTTCATGTATAAGAAAAAAAATAGTTAATTCGTTAAGACTAATGAAAATGTTTTAGTTAATTTTAGCTAGTAATGAAACAAATTTAAATTTTATCTTGACAATACAAATGGAATAAAATTGTTATATATAACTAAACTCTTTGAAAAAAGAGTGTGTCTTGTCAATAGACTTTACAGTAAATTAAAGGTATAAGAAAATTAGTAATTATTACATTGAAAATAAGTCCAGTTTTCTTTTCATTTGAATTAATTTGGTTCCTAGTTACTGAAAAAAATGTGAAAACGAAGACAAGTATTTATCTTTGTTCAATAACTTGGCTCAAACTGTTATATGTCTGTTTTAAAATCAAAACAGTTTGTTATGCATCCATTTGTTTGTGGTGGAGCACTGGCTAACATGAAGTTCATACCCCATGCAATATCAGTCATCTTTCCTGTGGGGTTACATATTCTCCTCGGTGATTGGAGGAGCTTTGGTAGATAAATATGGAGGAAAGAGGGTGTTGGCCTGGGGTGTGTTTTTATGGTCTTTGGCAACTCTTCTCACACCTTTGGCAGCCAACCACTCCATAGTGAGCTTGTTGGCCATTCGTGCTGTCTTTGGATTGGCTGAAGGAGTGGCTATTCCATCCATGAGCACTCTTTTATCAAGGTGATGCCTCTAGAATCCTCTTAGACATAATATTTAGTTAGCTCAGGTCAAGACTTGTGAAACCAATTATTAAAGATTTAGACATATAAATTTGTTTTAGAAATGTTAGCAAAACACTCTTTTAACAGACCCTTTTGAATGTATAATCTGTTATTGGTTAAACTTTTTAGAAATCACTAATTTTTGTCAGTCTCCCTCATCATTTTGTAGTTTTCAAAATTTTAATGAACAGTAATAAAGAGTGTGTTTGAATGAAGGAGTGTGTTGCTAAAGGTCCTCATCTTATTTCAGGTGTGATCAATAAAATTGGATTGCCTAACCTATCTCGTTGTCAAGCTTTACGAACTCAAAGCCCTATTTATTAATAGGCTTCTCTTATAAGCATCTCATTGCTGTGGATGCAAAGCTATTTCTCTACAATTTCAAAGCTGATCTAATCTTCATATCTTGAACAGGTGGTTTCCAACTAATGAGAGGGCAAGTGCACTTGGAATGTCAATGGCTGGATTTCACCTAGGCAATGTTGTAGGCTTGTTGCTGACACCAATTATGCTGTCCACTATAGGAATTTCAGGTCCTTTCCTCTTATTCTCATCCCTTGGGTTGCTCTGGGTGATGACATGGGCTTATCGAGTCACAGATGATCCTATGGAAAGTAATTTTATCAGCAGAGCAGAGCAAAGGGTAATCCAAGCTGGGAAAACTGGTTCACCAAAGAAAAGTAACAAGTTCCCACCAGTACACCTACTGTTATCAAAATTACCATCATGGGCTATAATACTTGCCAATGCAACTAATAACTGGGTGAGAGTTCTATTTTGAGAGAAGATAAGGACTTGCTACCATGAATCCAAATTTAGGCATACTAATGTTGACCTCACTTAATTTGCAGGGTTACTTTGTTCTCCTCTCATGGATGCCAGTTTATTTCAAAAGCGTAATTACTTTCTTAAGCCATTCTTAGTTTTTATATTAACAACTTCATAATCTAGCTTCCTATTGTTGTCTGAAAAATACATATAAGACTCCTTTAAAGCGAACTGCTTTGTAAGTACAAGAGTTAAAGTTTATTTGTCCTTGATTTTGTTAAATGTACGTTATGATTTTGACCCACCAAAATTCAATGGTAGATACACCTTTACTTGTGCACTTTACATAAATTCATTTTAGAATAGTTTTTCCTATCTACCAAGTAAATAACTCTAGGTTTTCTACATGGTATTCATCACATGTATACCATGCTCAAGCTAGCTAACTTTATTAAGAAAGATTAGACAACTCATCATTACATATGATAGTCAAATCAGGTGGTTGGAATGCATTCCTGGCAAGATGATATTAACTTTCGAAAGTTATAACTGAACTGAAATTCATGTTTCTAAAGTTTTTCCCATTTTGTCTAAAGATAAATAACCTGGTGTTTAAATAGAAAGAATATAGGGGAAAAAATCTCTTCTGCCTACAACTACAAACTTGTGGAATTATGAGGGTTTGCACCTTCCTAGCCCAAAGCGCAATCCTCTCTCAAACCGCAACATTCCTCCTCTCATCTCTATTATTTTTATTAAATGTATCCTACCCTTTCTTTCTACTCAGCCTAACTTACTAAGTAGTCTTTTCCTATTTCTGAGGATTGAACCAGCACAAAATTCATTGATATTAATTTTCTCATAATACTGGAAGCCTGGAACTTTCAATGATGATTAATTTTTCTTCTTCTCCTACAGGTATATAATGTGAACTTGAAGCAGGCTGCTTGGTTTAGTGCGGTTCCATGGGCAACAATGGCTATGTCGGGTTGTCTAGCTGGTGTTGCATCAGACTTCTTAATCAACGCAGGGTACCCCACAATATTTGTCCGGAAGTTTATGCAGGTAACCCTTTCACCCCTATCATGGAGAAGGATGTGATTATATTTATATGCTATTGGCCAGTTTCAGACATAAGGATCAACCAGAATGCTTGATAAATTGACCACTGAACTGCTATTAACCAGCCATAAAGAAGAAACATTAAGATTGTGAGCACTCTAGATAAGCTGTTTACATTTTGAAGCAATTAGAGATCAATATCAAAAAGAATTTCATCTAAAAGGATGAGCACTAGTACATTCATGTTGATTTTGCTTTTGCATGTTGATTTTAGAAATACATGTGAAGTACAAGAACATTGATCTGCATTCTGCAATCTAATCTGATTCATATTCGGTAAATTACAGACCATTGGATTCATCGGTCCGGCAGTGACCTTGCTCTGCTTGAATTATGCCAATACACCCACCATTGCTGCAACACTCTTGACTATTGCTTTGAGCCTGAGTTCTTTCAGCCAGGCTGGCTTTATGCTTAACATACAAGTAAGTTCAACTCAAAATTTGGACATACCCTTAAAACATGATGATTCTATTTGTATAAGTTAAAATCAGCTTATGCTTTTTCATTTAACTTCTTCAAAAGTTGATTTTATTAACTAATGAATAAGTTAATTTTACATTGTAAAAAAACTCGATTCATTGTATGTTCGTATTTTCTTCTCTTAAAAAGACTTTTTGACAAGTTTATACAAACAAGAACTATATTTAAGACATTTTACATGAACTCATGAATATGTCAAATATATTTTACCCTCACATCTTTCAACATGTTACATGATCATCCAGGATATTGCCCCTCAATATGCAGGAATTCTACATGGTAAGAACCTGAGCAAATATGTTGTTTGGAATGTTATCTTTTTTTCTTTTCCCTTCTGTTTTTCTCATATTGGTTATTTATTTATTTGACAATAACAAAACCATTACAGGAATCTCAAATTGTGCTGGAACTATAGCAGCAATCATAAGCACAATTGGAACTGGTTATTTTGTACAGTGGCTGGGATCATTTCAGGCATTCTTAACTGTAACAGCTGGTGTCTATATTGTGACAACTATTTTTTGGAATCTTTTTGCCACAAGCGAGCAAGTTCTGTGACCTTTTCCCAAAATTCTTCATCTTGCTTTCCATATAGGCCATTAGACGCAAGGGAAATTATAAATTAAAAAAGTTATACACAATAAATGAATGAAAAATATTTTTCAACTCTTGTTTCTTACATGAACGAAAATTGTAATATTTTCAGCTGCTATCATCATTTTGATTAGCCCTTGGCAAGGATTATGTTATATTCTTTTAACAAAGAATTATTTAGTCGAATTTTTAGGCTTTTTTTTTTTTATATATATTGTGATATATGGATATAATAAAGTTTTTTTCTTATACATATATCTCCATATCTTAGTAATGTACTTGTATATTTTGTATATTTTATAGAGTAAAAATATAACAAAATATTATGAATAATATTTTAATTATAACAATCTAAATTAAAATAATAATGAAATTTTTTTTCTTATTCTAGATAATATAAAAATATTTTAATACTTAATTTAAATAAAAAAATAATAAAGATATTCTTAATATTTGTTTTTGTTTTAATACTTGTTTATTTAAATTTAATATTTTTTCTTTTTATTTTGGTTTTCTTTTTTCTTTTTATTTATATTTTTTAACATTTTTTTCTTTTTTATGTAATCATTTTTTCATTTGATTTTATTGCTTCATTCTTACATTTTTTCTTCACAATCACTAACAAATTACATTTTTTTCTTATAAGACATTTCTATATTGACAATTTTGACATGTTAGAATTTGTTTTCTTAATCTCATTTTATTTGTCTTTCATTTATAAGATGTAACGTGAAGAAGATATATCTTTTTTCTTAAAACATCTCTTCTTATTATTGTTTTTTGTTTCATTATCTTTCGATACACACAAATTTTTAATAAGTTTAAACTCTTTTAACTTTTATAGTTTTTTTTGCTTAACCTTAATCTTTTTTATTTCACGACCGGATCTTCTTTCAAGCATTTCATCCTTATGCTTTAAAGCTTTGTCTTTAATATTTAAGAGCTCTTTGGTCTTCTTCTTCTAAATATGTTTTTTCTTAATGATTTGATCTAATTAGTCGATGAAATATTTTTTATCAAGACTTTTCTATCTCTCTTTATGGGTATTTTGTAACACTCTACCTTATAAACTCTCAATCAGAAGAATTAATAATTTTTAGTAGAATTTTTTTTAATCGATAATAATCATTCCCTCGTACATAATATCAATATATAAATTTTCAATAATCCATTCCTGCATTTCATCATTTTAAAAAGTACTAAAAGTAAACATTCATAATTACATATAGATAAAATACTAGTACAGATCCTCCAAAATATTAAGGGCAACATTGGGGATACTTCCTACGAAGCAGCCTAACTACATAAAAGAGTAACTACTACTCAGCACCATGTAGGTCTATATACTACAAAAGACTGTCTATAAAAGTTTAGATATGTTTATCCCAATACATGTTGTCATCATCGTGGCTCCCAACTAATGAGTATAAGTGTCATATTCATCGAGTGTGAAATCTATGTCATCTCCCCTCTCTTCAAACAATGACCGATCAGGTCCAACGAGTACCGCAAGTACAAAGGAAATAAAGAAAACAGAAAGACAAGAGAGTGAACAACAGTTCATACATCATTTTTAAATCAACATCATAAACATTCATAAGTCAATCAAATTCCAAATGATTGATGTTAATGATGCATGATCCTAGTATGTTTTCTAGAATGTTTATGCATGTGGGCCCGAATCATTTCTCAAATCAGTACTAGGATAGTCAGGAGTTGACACTACTAGGCATGAAAAATCCACCCACGGGATTGTTGAGACTCATGCTCAAATATAAACCCAATAGCTCACTGACCATTGATATACGATAAAAACACAGTCAGGTACATGAGAGTTTGTACAGTGGGATCCCCGACAACAGGTAGCGAGTCTGGGTCTTTTGGGACCTCCAACCACTACCCTTCCTATCCTCAAGTCCTCCATCAGGGCCTCCCTATCGTATTTTCAGAGTCCATAATCTCTGATTCCCCAGATTTCACAAATCACCATTTTCAAATGAATAATGTATGAGTCCCTAAGTGATTTTTCTTAGAAATTCACATTTTTCAAAAAAATTTGACAGAGTTTCCCTTGTAATACGAACTTCCCAAAAATTTCCAATCACCTGTTACAAGCAGAAAACTTCCAATACAGTTCAAAAAGGATTCACAACCCATCATCCAATTCTTTCAATTTAATTTTCAATGAACTTTCTCATGAAAAACCACCATGCATATAAATGCTCACTCAAAGACCATACATATCATAATAGAGTACCAAACATGTATTTTACACTATCATACACGTAAGCAATTCATGATCACTTTCACAACCAAGCATATAATGAAATCAAAATTATCAATCATAACAAATTTAGACAAATTTAACAAATAAGGTCAAACAAGTTTATGATGTAATCCTTACTATATAGCTCACCCCTTACCTAATATGTCCACACTTATTCCTTTTAAAGTTTAATGTTATGTTTCAGCAAAATCTATATACGTAATAAAATACTAATTAGAATCTTATATTTCTATGATTCTATCTCATGAGAATTTAAATTCACTTTGTATTGCTAATCCATTTCTAATAATATTTTAAGCTCACAACTTACAATTAACTTAAAAGATTATCCTATTTTGTATGCACTTAGAGTAGGAAAAATCCTAATAGCAAACATGAACAAGGTTCAGTATTTTGGAATTTTCTAGAGTTATATAAGCTGTTTTGGCATGAGACTTGAGTCAAAATTTCAATAACTTAATTACCTACAATATTGATGAAGGAAATAAATTCAAATACCCTATAGAATAGATGCAGTTTTCAGTGGTTATTTCCAACTGGGCTCAATTACAATAACACTCTGAACATGCCTTGGTAATTTGACTATACCTCATGCTACACATAAGCTATTGACATGAAACAATTTTCTAAATTTCGGGGATATAATTTCCTACAACTTTTATGATGGAATAAAGTCTTAATTTCACACGTATCCATCTCAGTAATTCAAAAACCTAGGCTGTTGAAACAGGGCTACCTCTTAACATCATAACTAGAACAATTGACAGTAAAATGAGCATAACTTGAGCTACAAATATCCATTTAATGTGAAACCAGTTTCTAAATTTCGACAACCTAAAGGACTACAACTTTTATGGAGATATCAATACCTAATTCTGTTCACAAAAGTCCCAAAAATTCAATGAATAGTACCTACGAATTAGGGCTGTTAAAGTTTTTAGCTTAACCACTTCTAATCCTCAATTTTAAACATTATTCTAGTATCCTAGGTGTAAAACCTAGGATAACACTCTTCCAACTCTCATTCAGGCTCATTCAAGTGAGGATAAAAATAGAAAATGCACCGTTTTTGAAAAATAAAACGGTAGAAATGTAGAGGAGATTGAGATAAACCAACTTACCTCTTGGAGTTCCTCAAGAAAACCAATATTTTAATTTGCTGCGCATTTCTGATGCGCCCAGCGGATTACAGGCCGCATGTAATAGAGATTTCAAACATAACCCGCTCAGCGCATTTCTGATGCGGCCAGCGGATTACAGGCCGCATGTAATAGAGATTTCAAACATAACCCGCTCAGCGCATTTCTGATGCGCCCAGAGGATTACAGGCCGCATGTAATAGAGATTTCAAACATAACCCGCTCAGCGCATTTCTGATGCGCCCAGAGGATTACATTAAAACAAAATTATCTTTATTTTCTTCTTTTTACTCTAGGCAAGATTTGAACTCACAACCTCTAAGACTCCAACATCACTACAAACCATATCAACCATACATAATATCTTTCTTGTCAATTTATACACATAATAAACTTTTAATATACCCACACTCAATGCATTCAAGAAAACAATAATTTCTAAATGTGACAATTAAAATTGTTAAGTCCATACTCATTCAATTTCAACCCTAAATCATATAATTACTATAACGCGCCCAGTTGCCCGCGAAACGGATTAATTTGAAGTATTTTCTAAAAATTCCAGAAAATCATAAATAATCTAATAAACATAAAACTCTACATTCACTTTACCCAATTCTTTATAATTTAATTATTAAAATTTTGACAAACATTTTGTCAAATTTTAACAAACCAGGGGGTTATTGAGAATGAATGTTACATATTTCATATTCTTCTTTCAAAATCTAAAATTCTTTAAGTAACTTTATGATTATAATTCGATGAGAACAATTTGTGAAATACCTAAGCATGATTTCGTTTTTATCTACCTTTTTTTTCCTTCTAAACATTTTTGCCTTTAAAATTATATTTTAATTAGATTTATTAATATTTATTAAGTTTTTAATTTATAAATTTTTTAAAATTTATCTAATAAAAATATTAATTAATAAATAAAAACTTAAAAATTATTCATGTAATTAAAAGTATATTTTTTAATATATATATATATATATAAATTTTATATAAAAAAATTATTAATAAATTGATCCACTAACTCATCCATTCATCTTTTGATAAGACGGTTAAGATTTATAACCTGTCTTAATTATAATAAATTAAATTATTTTTATTTCTTTTTTGACAGATCATAATTAAGATCGGGAAATCGATTGTACCATTTTACATCTTAAAAAATTAGTTATAAATTTACAAGATGTATCTGTACCATACTCATGAAAAATTTACTTGATAATTATTTTTCATGCAAAATCTTGAAATGATTTTTAACATCAAAATATACTGTGAATGGTAAAGACTCCAATGCGTAAAGTCAATAATCATTATAAATTATACAACAAATATGTATATTTTCTATTTTATTCTTGTCTTATATTATCATTTCTTTGATATGGGAGGTGTTCATTAGGAGAATTTTGTTTATCAGTGTAGTGTCCAATGTAGTACTTTAATTGTGTTTTGTTGGAAACATTCTTAAATTAGATATGTATTGAACTATTTTGTATTGCTAATAATGTGGATCTACCATTCCATCATGGATATAGTATGGATGCTGCTATACATAAAGTCAACTTCAATGACCAACATAAGTGAAAAAATTACATTGCCTCTTAAAAACACGAGAACTTGAAATCGAGTTAAACAATCATACGTGGTGAGTTAAAGTTAAAAGTTATCATGTGATCACATGATCATTTTAAAAAACCACGTGCATGTGTTCTTTTCATTTTGATAGTTTAAATGTGATATAATCTGAAATATTTAATTGCAAAGATTTTAAAATTTAGCATGAGGATGTCTTCTATTAGATTTTTATACAATGTTATTTTGTTTACTGTCTATGTTCGGTTAAAAGTTAATTCAAATTGGTGAACTTACACGTTGTAAATAAATTGTATAAAGAAAAATAAAAATAGAAGATACGAACAATGTTTTATTCCACCAAGTTTACCAAACAAACAAAAAGAAAGAATACAAAAGAAAAATAAAAGAGTCCAACAAAAATGTGAGACCGGCATACGGCAAAAAGATGGCTAGCTTGGCGTTCAAGTATTGCCTGCAGTGGGCGCAGCACAATAATCAAATCTTAACCGTTGAATAAATATCAGAATTTTGTTATTCAATTATTTATAATTTTTATTCCTACATCTTCCAAGATTTATAATTTTATTTCATAATAAATTATATTTTTATTAATTTTGATTCTTAAATTTTCTGTGCACAACTTTTATTTAATTTTCAATTATTTTAAACTTTAATTAATGTTCAGTTTTAAAAAATTCAGAACTTTTAAATGTGGATGATATGATAACTTGGAAATTAAAAATAAAAATATTTTATTTTTAAAACTTAGAAATAATATTTACAAATTATTCTAGAAATCAGGGTAATTTGGTAAAATACCTCTTAAAGAAACAGTGGAATCTAACAAGAATAGAACACTAACTGCAAGACACTGTAATTTGGCACTGCACTGAATCTGTTATATTCTCTTCAACAACAAACAAGATAGCAATACAAGTCTAACAGCAGAACCAATCCTTACCCTTCCTCTTCTCAACAACATCCCAATTCCCAACACAATCACAATCTTTCTGTCCCTTCCTTCTGTGGGCCTCTCTATCCACAGCACCCTATCAGACCTTTGCATCCAAATTCTCCTTTCAGGAAACACCCTCTTCGTCTCTTTCACCCCAATCCCTTCAAACTTACACCCCCAACATACTTTCACCTCTTTCCCCAACTGGATTCTCTTCAAAATCTGATTTTTTTTGCCCCTGCTTTTCTGAAAGCCATGAATTTCAGGAACTTGGAGGATTTCTGGGCCTTTTATGTCAACCAGCACTCGAAGCCATCCACGAGAAGGTGGCACTTTGCGGGCACGCTCTTCAGTATTTTCTTCTTGCTCTGTTCATTTTTCTTCAGCTGGTGGTTTTTGTTCTTTGTGCCCTTTTCTGGGTATGGTTGTGCCTGGTACAGTCACTTCTTTGTGGAAGGGAATGTTCCAGCAACTTTTGGACACCCCTTTTGGTCGCTCTTGTGTGATTTCAAGATGTTTGGATTGATGCTTACTGGGAAAATGGATAGAGAGATCAAGAGGCTTGGGAAAAGACCTGTGTTGCAAGTGTTCTGATTTCTAATGATCAGATTGGCCACTTTTGTTTAAGGTGAATTTGCATGTGAACCTCTATGTATTTTTACTCTTGTTATTTAGTTATTTTTCTTGAGTTTAATTTCTATGCATTTTCGGTATAAATAATTTATAAGGTCAACAAATCAGAAAATGTTACATTATTTTTCATTATTTTTGTGTGTATAGTCAGTAGTTTTTTTAACTTTATTGGCTATGGATGACTTTGCTGAAATATATTGATGATTTCATTAACTGTATGAGTGCAACCTACCTGTGCGTGAGTGTGAGTGTGATGCCGCATTTGCTGGACTGAATGACTTTATTAAAGGGTCATAGTTGCTAAAGGGTATCATTTTGAGCTTTAAATATCTTTCTATGAAGGTTGGATAAATGTGGAATTCTGTTTAGTATGCTTTTAGCAAAAAAACCGATTTATCGTCTATTTGGATAGGTTCATAACCAATTGTCTTTAGAGCTACTGAATTTACATTTGAGCATCTATATTTGCCTTCAAATTGGGTTAGGATTGTATTAAGGCCTCTCTTTGGTGTTTTTCCCATTGTTTTTTCTTTGGTATCCAGATAGATTGAAGATATATTTAGTGTATTAGAAGATATATTTAGTGTATTAGAAGATATATTTAGTGCATTAGAGTTAGTTTGAGTTTGGAAGAAGAATTTGAGTTCTAAAATTGTAACTCATTCTATTATTAGTTGAATGAATGTATGACAAATACAAAACATACGATAGCTTAACATAGAGTTCTAGAATGTTATAGAGGCAACTAAGTCTATTACACATTTACTTTTAACACTGTAATTCGGCTCAAATACTGTGTGGGTGTCTGCAACTGAGTTATTGAGAACATTGGCTTGTTGATGAAGCCTGCAACTGAGAGTTATTGAGAACTGAGTTATTCAGAACATTGACTTGTTGATGAAGCCTGCAACTGAATTATTGAGAACATTGCGTTGTTGATAAATATCATTCATAAATATTATGAATTCAGGAGCTAAGCTAGTCGATTGAATGATAAATTTTTGGTTATTGGTTTAATTACCTAATTCTTTATTTTTAATTTGATAAACATTCTCAGGGAAAATTCCTATTAAATGATGTTCTTTATGATAAAGATGGCTTTTATAAGCATAGACAACATATCTATATCTATGTTAAAAGATGTTATATTTTGTGTTCCTAACTCTTTAGTGCATGATTCATAGCTTAATAGCATGATGATAGTAATGTTGTATAATAATTCATTTGTAAATGAAACATGCTATGGATGGTGAATAGATTGAACTTCAAGTTGTTAGTTGGTCGGTAGGTGTATTTTTATAAACTGTTTTTGATATTAAAAATAAGTTTCTTAGATTAATTTAATTTTTGTTAGATTAATTTAAAATTTCATCAGACACTGTGTTGTTTGTGTTTTGTTTTTAGATAATAACAAAGAGTCAAAGTTTAGACCGAATCCGAGGGCTCATCAACAATAAATCAACAAGAAGTCAAACATGAAGCCAACAAGTATGATATGAAATGAAAACCTTTGTTTATACAAAATTTGTTTGATATAAAATTTTTATTTATTAATGTGGACTAGGACTTGTGATTAGCTGTCAATTGAACACATCCCATTAAAATTTTTTTCATATTTTGTGACAAAAATAAAAAGAGAATTTTGAATTAACTATTGAGTGTCTAAACATTCATATTCTGTAAAAAAAAAAAAAAAGAGAGAGAAATTTGAATTAACAATGGATTCTAAACAATTTGAATTCATTGAAATTTAAATTTAGGTTACATAGTGAAAAAACATTGCCTTGGAACTCTCTCTTAGAGTCTATCTTACTTCAAGTAAATTGTGATTCAATCTTCGAATCCAAATTTTATTATGTCCTCATATTCATGACTGAATGTATGATTTAACATGAGTATGAGTATTTTTTTTATCATGGATAATGTGCAAGAATATCATAGATAATGGGAGGTAATGAAATTACAGTTCATAATATAAATTAACACGTGAATTCATACATATATTTTCAGAAAATTAAAAAAGAAATTAAATATTTTTTTAATTATTCGAGAATCTGGAAAATAATTTTTTAACTCTTCAGACAATGTGAAAAAGAAATTCGGTAATTTGTTGAATAGATTATTTTTCAATTTTTTGTTTAAATAATTAATAATTAAGTCTAATGATTGATTATCGTCTAATTACTTGGGTAAACAGTTTTTAGTTAAAACAATACTCGTATGTATATATATATATATATATATATATATATATATATATATATTAATATATATTTTTTGGTTGATTTGTTCAATATTTTTTATAAATCATACTTATTAATTTCATTTTAATTATATTCACATCAAACTGTCATTTTTTACAATTTAATTTTTTTTTACAACTTAATTTTTTTATTCACAAAATAATAGAACCTTTACTTTAAAATTAGTTATTATATTTTTAAATATTATTTTTATAAAAAATATTTTAAAAATAAAATAATATAAAATATTATATATTTTTTAAAATTTTTAAAATAATTTTTTATAAATTTTTTAAACATATTATTGAAAGTAACTATTTTTGATATAAAATTATTTAAATTAATAAACTAGATAAGTTATAATATATTTGTATTAATCTAATTTTAAGTTTTTTTAATATTTTTTATATTTTTTAATATATACTTATTATTTTTTTAAATTAAAAATATTAACTTGTTAAGAAGAATAGTTAAAATTAATTGTGAATATTAAATGAAAATTTTAAAGATATATTTTTAAGAAAATTATTTTAAAAAATCAAATAAATATTGAATAGTTAAATTTATATTTATAATATAAAAAATCAATTAAATATTGAATAGTTAAATTTATATTTATAATATAGAAATAAAATATATTTTAGTAATAAATAATTAAAATGATTAAATATCTTATTAATATTAGTCATAATTATCAATTTAAATGAAAAATAATTTTTATTTAAAATTATTTATTATATTGAAATATTATATTACTAATATTTAATTTACAGGTAATATATGTAGATGTATGTGATACTTATAATTTTTTTATTGTCAATGTAAAAGATAAGATAACTTAATATATAATAAAAGAATCTAGTAATAATAAGTTGAAGTTTAATATAATTTTTGAATATTATAAATGTAAGATTGAAAAAAAATGTTGTTTACGATTTTACTATATATCTCACGTTCACATGAGTGAAGTGTTAGTGATAAAAATAAAACATTTGATATAAACACTAAATTTTAGATATGAAATAACAACTGTGTGAATAGCATTAGCTATTTCACAAGTGGAGTAAAAGATGATAAGTTTGTTATGCATGAAATTGAGTTGTTGGGCTTTTTGTTTGCAAACAAAGAAGGTGATAGAATGTCTATGTTATCCATTAGACTTTTTTGTTTTGGGTAAAGCTATTCTCACCCAATATTTTTTTATTCCCACCGTAAACTTGGTAGGTTAATTTTAATGGTTGAAAATATATTTGACTAAAATGTATTTTTTTTTGTCCACCTTCACAACAAAAAATCATTTACGTTATATATAAAAGAAAAATATATGCATAACTCATTTTGTTATAGCTTTATTTTTTTTTTATTTTTCTTTACCATCTGTGTGATATGGATCTTTGTTTAAATTTTTTATCAGTTTAAATAGTTCCTAAACGGTTGAAGTTGATTTTTATTAGTAAAATTTTATTAAATAATTAATAAGAATGTATGGAGGTGTAATGTGACATTAATGTATATAGATTTGTAAAGAAAAATATATAAAATATTAAAAAATAAATGAATTCTTCATATTTTTGTCTATTTTATTTTTATTTGAATATTTTTCATTTTTAAAATTTTGGAATATGTACAGATCAATGTCACCTTTTCCCAGCAATTATTGAATTTTATTTGGGTGTTGATAATGATTTAAAATTCATGGAATTAAACTAGAGTAATTAAAATTAAAAGACTAAAATAAATTATATTATGACAAAAATGAAGCTGAGCAAATTAATATGTCAATGTAATCGAGGTATTATTATTATTTTTTAATAGAAACCTAAATTATCCATCTACTATGAATCAAGTGAATCCGTCCAAATCTAACAAATTCATTTCAGAGGGTTACATGTATATGTGTTTTGTGATGGAGTTAGTGGATAATTAGTCCAAAATATGTTTCATACCAGTGCCATACAGTTCCTCTTGAAGGGATTAGCAAAACTAAAATTTATGGTATGGTTAGTAAGGAAAAGAAGACATAAAAGAAGAAAAGCCCAACAATGTGAATTAGTATGTATCTCATATATACATAATAAATAAACAAAGAGGGTGATATAGATAACTATTGAGCATAAACATAGGAAAACATCCTAAAAACATAGAAAAGAAAAAAAAAAAAATCCCAGTTGTCATTAACTTCTGTTTCTTTACAAGTAAAAGTTTAATAAAATGTAAAATTCCCTAAGCAAATTGGGAATTTGGCATACATTCTTATAACGTAAAAGAACCAAAATATTTGGAGAGCCTAATCACATTTGTATGCAAATTCAGCCATAAACAAAAAGAAAAGGTGTTGCTATCAAGATAAGCTAGAAATTTTAGGTCCTCCAATAATGACAAATCTTTCATTCACTACTTCAAACTTTTTGTTTATTTCATTTGGATGAAATAATATACCAACGTTCACTATAGAAATACGATGGGGTGAACCGGGGAAATAAGATATCCATATTCTACAAGAAAAGGGCTTAATTTAACTTTAGATCCCCATAGAACAAAAGTGTACGATTTTAATCCCTAATATTTCAACTGTATCAATCGAGTCTTCCAAGTATTATGCAATTTTAGTCTCCATACGTACATAAATCATTGTTACATTATCAAATTTCAATTATCTAAGGAATTAAAATCGAAAATTCTATACTTGGAACATCTAATTGTCACAAATGAGTGGATATTTGAAAAACCGAAAGTGCAACTAATCCCGAGAAAAATTGAAAGCATTAAAGGGATATTAAAAAAAAGTTAACAATACTGTATAATCTCAAGAATATAACATTGATGAAATAACAACAAGCACCAAAGAGAATATGTAGATGCATTTCTTTCCCAAATAAAATGGCAATCTGAATCCTAAAAAATTCCTCTCCAATCAAACAGGACTGTAAAGATAATACAAAAAACTTTTTGCTACATTCAACATTGAAATGAACAAGTGAAATGAAGGGATAGACAGCCAATATACATCAAACATGCAAAAATCTTATTCCAAAGGAATTATACAACATTTTACAGCGGAGAGGACTTGATGTTTTGTAAACTAATACACTTAAAAAGATTTATTGTATTACTTTTTGTATTATTATTAATTTTGCTTTTAATTTTAAGATATCTTATCTTCCCCTTAGTACATGAAATAGCTCAAATTGCAAGTGATTGCTTGGTATTTCATTTCCAAAGTTTGTCTATGTTAGATATGAATGCAAAGTTCTGCTAGTACTTTGGTCTACCTTTCTCTTTTAACCAGAATCATCCGTCGTAAAGATATTTTGCAAAGAACTAAATCACATTGTTATCGTGTGTGGTTGTTGGGACAACAAGCTTTTAAATTCACTGCTATATTGCATTTTCACATAAATCTGTCTTTAAAAAAGAGCGCAAATCAGTAGATTCAAATTTTTAACATAGCCAATTGTTACCTCCTACTACAGGTCATAAATCATGGTCCACAGGTGCACCATTTTATTTAGATTTCACTCAAGCCAAACCCTCTCTTTAGGCAATAACGAAGACTTTATCCCTTTCAAGATGGAGAAATCGCCTGAATTAATAATTATACAAAAATAATTCTGATTATATCAGTAGAACCATGACAAATGCCTCAAATGAAGGTTATGTGCTTCAAGCTCAAACTAAACAGTTCAAATTGAAGTTCAGAGAGATTTGATGTCTGTCATTCCTCATCTTATATATAATAAATTTACATTGTTCATTTTGTAAATGTTCTTAAGTTTTATCCTACATGTTATGTTGTCCTTATAAACAGACTATCAAGTTTTTGGCAGCACAAAAGGCTAAAATAGTGGGTACTAAATGGGCCATCACGCTTCACCTCACCATAAAAAAAATTTATAAGGAGAGAGAATCAGAAAGAGAATTAGTCAAATGCTACCTCCTGAAGCACTTCAAGTGTCTTCTTATGAACCTAAAAAGCAAGAGTAAAGAACAAGAGAAACACTTATTAAGATGATAATATATATGACAGTTTACTTAGAAGATATTTTAATCAGAAAACACAAACATACATTAGCATCATGCCACCAACCATCATAGCGTAACAATAATGCTCTTTAGGAGAAACAATAGATTATTTGAGACTTTAAGAGTTCTTTAGGCACAATCAATTCAGGTTTAATAAATGGGGATGGGGGAATAATTGTGTAGCAAGTTTGCCCTCAAATGTAAAACTTCGGATCTATTTGATTTGAGAAAGTATTTTCAGTGTTCATTTTCTATTTTCACAATATAAAAGTATATCACCTTGTTTAATTTTGTTATATCAAATGGTGTTTCTGTTATTGATTCTGAACAGCTATCTGTTAGTGTAGTTGTTTGACAGTTGTAGTTTGTTAGAACTGATCTACCACTCTTTATGCAGTACTCCTTTGTATATATGTAGTTGTAGTTGTTTACTCACTTTTGTACTTTTCCCTTAATAATGAACATATGTCTTGTGGGTCAGAACTAGTTGATCCTCTTTCTTGGAATTTGCCAAATCTTTATTTTCTTATTCTATGGTTTTCATAGATCCTAATTCTTCTTATCCTCCTCCAACCCCAAAAAGTCTCTTTGCATATGTTAGGTAAGGCTGTGTACAATGAGTTACAAAGGAAGATATTGGGCTAAAGCTCTGTTAGTATATCAAGGCAGAAGTCTAATAGAATGGGTTGTTATGACAATAAAAGTGTTTGTTAGAACGTCAGGTAAAGGAGAATAATAAATACACTGTTGTGAGAAGTGGGGGGAATTCTTAATCTTTTGTAAAAGGGAACAGTTTCCGGTGTTGAACTAGATAAGCTCCTTGTGTAAATACTGTTGTATTTCCTTGGTCAATAATGTGAGTACCATAATTGAGCGCTGAATATCCAAATTATGATTACTTTTCTTTCCTATTTCTCATTTGCGCATATTGTGAGAGAAGATTTCTAACAAAATGATCCTCTCCCAAACCTTCACATAACAAGGAGCCTTCTGGCATGGGAATGTGCTAGTTTTTATAGTAGAGACTCGACAGGGCCATTCACTATGAAAATAAAAATATATATGAACATGAGGAAGAGAATGTACCCATTCCAGATGTTGTGCAGTGATGCCAGAATCAGTTCCAGCATATAAACCAGATAAGACCTGTTCAAATAAGAATTGAAAAAAATATTAGTTTGAGATGCATAAAGATCATTCAAGTCTAATGTGACAAACAGAGTGTTCTATCGAGAACTGAGTATGGGAGACAATATAATGGTAAAAAAAAGAAGAGGTGTCCAAAGTATGAAATTCTCAACTGGACCAAATATTTTATTCCCACTTGGCTTCAAAGCAAACCATTCAACACACAAAGAATGTACCTTGGAGACAGTCTCAAGAAACATGCCAGGGCGTACTGGAAGTGTCTTTTCTCCTGTTACAAGTGGCTGCATACCACCAGAGACAAGTTAACTATGCGTTTTAAGTGACTATAACTTGCATGCATAACATAAAACACATCCCATAGTTAAATATTACACAAGCACGATGCGATTCAACCCACCCTTCCAAGAAATTCAATTGGATCCTGATCTGTAGATTCATCCTCGTCGGCCTTGTCTGCACCTTCATCTTTTCCTTGCATTACATTTTTTATCATATCAAGCACCTTTTTCCCAGGTTTTAGAGCCACCAATTTGGTCAAGAAGTCCACCTGCACTGTCAACAGTCTTAAAGATGCCATGATAGTATTTCTGAGAGTGAAAGATGAAATCTATGTAGTTTTGATTTCCCAGCCCTTTAACCAAAAACAGTAATATCTGGTGATACAGAACTGTTGTGCTCGGTAATATTTCAGTAGATGTGACAACCAGGCTAAAGATCAAAATATGGAAACTACAATTCAACATACCTCAGGCTGGGGAAGTGTATAGAATCCACGGTGGTTTCTTTCATCCATAATTCCCCCTCCCATCATATCGCGAGCTTCTTCTCTAATCAAAACAAGCCTTGCAAGTAGTTTTCGGTCTGGGATAACAGAACGAGTTTCCATTGCCTGCAAAGATATGAGCCAGCACAAAAATTAACCAAACAGAATCAATAAGAATTAAAGAAGCTGTTCTTAAGAGACATGGATATAATTTAATAAAGAACAGAAATGGATAGCAAAAAAATAAATAAATAAGAGAATATATTATCATTAAGGCCCCCAAAATTTAGAATCTTCCAAGTCAACTACTCTATCCCATAAATTGAGAATGCATACTATATCAAAAAAGTAGTAAGGAACATCACAATAATATGATATAAAAAACAAAATCTATCGTAATCAAACATTTGATTCGTACAATTTGTGGATGCAAAATGAAAATACAGGAAGCTAAGATGGTATAGGGCAATTTGTGAATCATGACATGCAAAAGAGGATAATGTAATTTAGACCATTCTCATGTTATTTCAGCACAGTTTGCCCACATCACAATATAAAGACAACCAAATCATCATCCAAGTACGACTACTAGACATGTAAAGTTCAACAATCTCATTGGATTTATATAAGTAATGCTTGAAGTTTCTATAAATACCTCCAACAAATCATCAGCTTGATTAGCTATGTCATTTAGATTTGCCCCTGGGATATGAATCTTCAAGTCATTCTCGCCTTTAAATGCACCACCACCAGCTGCAACTCGGCGCATCAACTCATGCCGACTATCTTTTTTTGGAGTTCTACATAGAAGACCAACTACTTGAACCTAAAAGATGAAATGGAAAATTCCACATTAATGTAAAACATGTAATATGGAGCTGCCTTTTGGTTAGAAAAATTATCAAGAAAATGCTCAAAGAAGTTCCTTACATGGGGTGGACATTTTTTTGTTAGATGTGATAATATAGTCTCTTTGATCACTTCCAACAGTTCTTTGCGCTAAAATGCAATGATACAAAATAAATGAGCAGTTTATTCCCAATCACAACTTCATCAAAGTTTCATTGCTCACCAGGATAGAAAATTATGCAATAGCAATAATCAGCTAAAGGATACTACTTACTAAACAACAATCAAGTAAAATTTAAATGGCAGTATGGTTGAAGGACACAAAATATCATGTTGATATGTTCTAACTGGAAGGTTGAACATCTATCTACTATATTTGTGTTCAAATATGCAGCAGCAGAAGCAACTGCAGTCTAAGACTCATGGTAAAAAAGAATTTAATTAAAATGCATTGTCAGCGTAAAGGTTTTTCACACTATTATCCGATCATGATTACCATGCATGTTAAGATTGATGATTTATGAATAATTACTTCAACAGTACTTAAGGTGAAATCTAATTGATTCACAGTGTATAAATCTTTATACTAATAGTGTATCAAAATTAGTTTCTGAAAAAAACATGAAAACATTAATCTGTTTCCAATTACAAGTGATTCTTCTGTACATTTGTCTCAAAATATAATTGCAATCAAAGACTTACTTGACAAAACATAATGCGTGGATTTCTAACTTTCTGAAGACAAATTATAATCTCTTGTTTGAAAACCATACCTTATCATCCTTGTCCTTTTCGGCAAGTTGAATCATATAGTCAAGAGCCGTCATGAAATCAGACTCCATCTCATCAACTCTCTTTCCTATAACTCCTTGTGCAGCTAACTCCACTGCCACTTTCTCAGATTCCTCATCCATATTCATGTCATCCAACTGAAAAAAATTTTGTACCCATAATACAAGCTCATGACAACATCATCATACATTCCGATTCAACATGTATCATGCAAAGGACCAGAAACAATAAATATTTGCAAAAGGAAGAAAAACTACACACTTGCACATAATGGTGCCAAACTAGCACAAACACACACACACACACACATATATATATATATATATATATATATATATATATATATATATATATATATATATATATATATATATATATATATATACATAATCAGTTATCTTGACCAAAAAATGTGACAAGCATTTATATATTCCTTCTTTCCCTACATCAAGAAAAAAGGGAAAAAAAAAAAAAAAACCACTGGAAGCTTCTACAATACATTAATGTTAGAAACCTCCTAAAAGGAAAGTCGCACTAGTAAGTCACGAGATAAAAGAAAAAATGGAATCAAGAGATCTGTATAAGTACCTTAAATAAAAGAAATGTATATTCAACACTATATGAATGAGAAGTAACAATAGAGGAGATTTCGGTTGCTTATTTGTTGTGGTAATTCATGAACACAATCATATAGCTACAGCATAAAGATAAGGACCAAAAAAAAAAAAGTAATACGAACATATTAAATTTAATGTTGTTACCAAGAAAGCTCTCGTCTCATGAGAAGAAACAATCAAACCAAACTTATAGGTAAACAAGTTTAACTCTAAAGAATACAAATGTAACATCTTTCCCTTGTAATGAGTGTAACAGTGGTATTAACTCACAAGGGTAACCATTTCTTCCAAGACAGAGATGACTTGGTCCCCTCCCCTGAGAAAAGAGTCCGTGTGAGACGTGTCTGAATGCGACTTTCTGTTTCTCCTCTTTTCGTCCTTCTTCAGTTCTGGATATCCTCCACCCACCTCATAATTATCAATGGATGCCCAAATGCGATTCTTTCCAGTGAGTTTTTTCAGCCTCAACCTGCATGGGTGGTATAAGGAACTGAAATTTAGACAGAAAGATTGGAAAGAGCTAGGAGAAGTATAATAGCAAGAGGGCGAAGCAACAATCATTGTATTGATTTCACTCCAGAATAATCTGTTTCGAAGTGGTAGGATTTTGTTGAGGTTTACGTCAGAGGAGAGAATTATATTTATAAAACAAATAAACAAATATTGTAATTTTTGTTCACAGCCGTCTTAGCTCAGCTGGTAGAGCGCATGGCTTTTAACCATGTGGTCGTGGGTTCGATTCCCACAGACGGCGATTTTATATCTCTTATTTTTCTATTGTGTGATGATGTCCTTGTAATCTTTTTAAATGTTCAAGTACTATTAACTCAACCTATTCAATCTTAAGCTGCAATATAATGCTAAATTATTACTAAAAGTTCACTCTATAAATAAGTTGTAACAATTTAAAGAAAAAAAAAGGATAAATTAGTTTAAAATAACTTTAAATAAAAATATGTTAATGACAAATAAATTTTTATTAATTATACATGCACACAAATATACCCTTGTAGTTGTAAGTATCATTTTCATTTGATCAAATTATAACAATCCATATATTGCTACAAATATTTTAGAATTATATATCAATTTCTCATTTCCAAATTTGTTAATATAACTTGTATATGATAATTAAGTTATAAAGTTGTTGCTGCAAACTTGGAAGGTATTTCATGATCCACTTTTGAGTGCGTACGAAAATCTGAAATTATTTTCAATAGTCATAAATGAATAGTATTTGTTCCTTTTCCACTTCCCCTGTTAAATTTTATTAAAACACAAGTGTCTCTCCCTCTACTAGAGAAGAATAAATTTTTATCTCATCCTAACATAATTTACACTGAGAAGGCAAAATTCAGAATAACATCCACAAAAGTGGAAATAGAAAGCTCGTTAGTATTTCCCAACTTAATATTTACATACAGGGAAAATTCTAACTAATGCAATGGAGCTTAACTCTAAGAAACAGCTACCCTTTGGATACAACTCTGAGATAATATACACTGCGATCCTAAACCTAACTCTACATTTGGATACCATAATAAATGGATTCGGGACTCATTAGAGCAGTACTAACGACAGTATCAACTAAAAGACTAACTAATTACATAATATGAATAACCTTCGGATGATGGCCAGGGGCAGTCATCAGTGGACATTTGATCTTGTTTACACGTGATATAATACACTTTCAACATACGATTCTCCAACCATGGGAAATGTTACAGGTCCAGAATTTCTGATCGATTACCTTCTCCGTGCCAAGTTTGTGTGTTGATTGGCTTTGCTATCAGTTCTTATCCTGTCGGCATACATGGGAAGGCGAATTATCTCATTTATTTCATTTAATAGGATATCCTCTATATGATATTGTCTCTTATACTTCGCATCACCTGTAATAGATCAACCGAATGGTCTAAATCAAGTACAGACTGATAGATGAAGTGAAATTAAAAGGAAAAGTGTTCACATAAAACCTTTCTACATGTATTAAAGTCATTCGGAGTTGATTTATCTGTTCTGATTCGCTTGTAAATCCATTCCTGTCTATCAGAAGCCCAAGAACACTCAATGATCTTTCCGGAAAAGTGCAAGGGATCCGAACCTTATGCAGGTTTTAAAATTCCATTATTAGCAAGCAATGCAACTAAGAATCGTCAAACAAGCTGCAGACATAAAAACAGACCACAGAATCTTGGATGCAAAACTAAGACACTGCCTCCTTTTCTAGTGGGTGCTAGAATTTGGGTTATAGTGACAAAAAATACCAACGAATCTAGACACCAAATTGGCATAGGAACTTTTATCACACTGTAGCAACTAAGGCCGTGTGACCCTGGCTTGATTTTAATAAAATTTGAGCCAATGATAAACTTCTCCAGAAACACTTTAAGAAAAAATAAAAATAAAAATAACAATAAAAATAAAAATAAAATTAACTTTTCTATAAGCTAAAATTAACTTACGCCATAAACTAATTTGTAGAAAACCTTTCTCATAACTTTTTTAAATATGTGCAAAAACTAATTTTTACTTATTGAGACAACTAATTTCATTTTTTCTTCTAGGAGTGCTTGTGGAGAAGCTTGTCCAAACACGCCCTTTCCTATTCTACAATGACACCTGACATATCATTGTTGTTGAAATTGTAGTGCTTAGGTCAGTAGGGAGGCAAAGAGAGAACAAAGAATTCAAATAATATATTGATATGCTGTGTTAGCACTAGAGAGAATAAAAACTAAAGTTTCTGAATTTTATTGAATAGGTTGTTACATGATATGTAATAGAAACAATATTTATATAAAGGGACTTACACGAGAGGAACTTGAGTTAGTTAGTGCAGCTGTACAGAACAGATAAATACACTCACGCAGGCTATTATAAGGTACTACTGAGACAAATGATCCTATTTATATAACAATTTAGGTAAGCTACTACAATATTACAATAAGGAAATAAAAAGAAACATGATAAAACTAGGGAATAAACATATTCTCTCCTACACTAGATATTTTGTAGATATTCTAACTAATATGGCTGAACAAGATGGACAGATATAATGAAATAATGAATGTCTTAGTGACCTTCGAATGCAACCCTATACCCTTCCATGAGTTTCTTTTTTCCACGTTCATATAGAAAAAGTAGCTTACAGTCATTCTCAATCTGTCAACACAGCTGGGAATTAGTTGGGGGGCATGTGCAACAGCTAGAAGTGACCAAACCAAACCAAACTATAATTACAGCAAGAGACATCAAAGGAGTATTATCCAACAAAATACAAAATACGTTGATGATACCACCTCAAAAAGAAAATCAACCAAATTCAGATCAGCATATTTCCACTTTAGGAGGCCTTCATGAGTGCTAGGTATGTAAGGATCATCCCAACCCTGGTTACAACTTACAAGTAGTGTCAGTAACAACCTCTCTATTCACTTCGATAACAAAAGGAAAAGAATAAGAAAACACTCAGTTTTCGTACAGAGGATTTGAATGGAAATAAAATGAACGGAACAATGTATCTGGACTATGACCTACTCTAGGTAACCGTTATTATCCTCTATGACCTAGTCTATGCATATTGTCCCTTTTCGCAGACATCGTTTTAAGATCACCACAGAATCTAGAAGGATATCCATTCTCATTGAATAAGTCAGCAGTATGTTGTAGACCCTGGTTCGAGAGAGAATTAATCAAAAGAAATATCTTAAGGCTACAAACACAAGACAAAAAATAGTTGACTTGCCAGTTGCTGGCATGCACTGTGCCAGAAATAAGTTATACACCTGGAAAAGCTAATCTCATCCTCATGTTTAATACAATGAAAGAGATTAAACCCACCTGAAATATGAGACCATCTGCATCATGCGAAAGTCTTGGAATGAATTCGTTTAAAAGTTTTGTGACAGTAGAGAGCAACCAAAAATCTTTTCTCCTCACCTGACAATCTTAAACAAATCAAATAGCCCAGCTAGCAGAGGAAAATGAAACTTAAAATATACCCAGTTTTAAGGTTAGAGATGAATACCCGGAATGACTCAATGTCATATCTATAGTAGGGATTTCTGCCCTGGAACCGTTCCTGATTCCTAGGTTCAATCACTTCTTTCTCAAGCATCTTCCATCGTTCATAAAATGGTCGCTGCACCTAGTTTGGACTAGATCATACATTGCTGGTGACACTTTATATTAAAGAATTGGCAAAAGCGAAAAAGAGAACAGATTATTGAGGATAACAATAATTTGGAAAGCATGGTTAATTAGATAATCTAATGTTGAATAAATTTAAGAAAATTTCATCTTTTCAAAAAATGTGACTTAAATATTCATTGCACCAATTATTTATAATATATAAACCTTTAAGTGCAAAATGTAGAGGATATCAACATTTCCCATCTTTACTTTTTGGCCATCATTAAGATCGTTCTTATTTATGCAACTATTTCCGTAAATTATCAACATTCCTGAGTTGCGATGGAGTAAAATTCCACCTCCATCTGCATCTCTATCTTTTCTCTTTGCTGGATACATCCAACCCTCACTTTATTTACACCTTCAAACATTTCAGCACTTTATCACTTTGCCTATTGGTTCAGTATTTTTTATCTTCTCAGTTTCTTTAGCTTTTCTCAGTCACCCTTGACAAAAATATTCTTCAATCCCTTCTCTTCTCTTCTTTCGGAACTAAGCTCCACAATTTTCTCCTATGGTTTGTTCACACCATCAGAACTACTAGAGATATGTGGACAACTTCTTGAGAGCACAATTGGTAATGGGTTGCCTCTTCTCTATCCTCATTTCACCTTAATCCGCTTCTGGCCTTTCTCACCTTTAACATCTGGAACATTTCTTCCATAATACCATCAATAGTGATCACAACATGTCACTCAAGAACAATCAATCTGCTCCATTAGGTTCATACCAAGCAGACATGGCTCCAAAATTGCTCTTTGAAATACCCATGCCAATAATTCTTACCATGCTGGAGATGCACTTTCTGTGAGGTTAGAGTAGATGACCTTTCCAACAACGATTTTGTTGAGCTGGAAATATAATGGTACAAATGAAGGACACTCACTTTCCACGATTATGTATGAAGTAGTGTACATGGTGGTGAGTCAGAATTGCCTGAAGGAGGGTTCTGTGTCTTTTGCCAGACATTAATCAAACTGCAAGCAAACAATATTGTTAAGAAACTATCTTTCCGCATTGTTATCTCCTAATTCCAACACCCTTGATCTCATTGAATTCTATGCATCTCTCCTGCTGTAAAGTTCCCCGCAATTGTCAGCCAAATTAACAAAATTATCTTCCCTGCCCTCTATTGGCAATTTAAGGTACCATTGTCAACCAAAACACAATCTTTTTATATCAAGTCCATTTGACAATTTGAAACCCCATTCATAATTTAGAGTCATCATTAATTAGCCTCTGCTATATTATTGTTAGGCATTTTTTAGTGTTTTACTTTATTGGTTAACTGACCCCGATTTTAATACAAAGTAATGTCAGTTTAACAATGATATGTTTGGAGTCTAATGACATTTGTGAAAACCGAAGACACGAGTAGCTCTTAAAGATCGTGATCATGATGAAGATCTAATTGATAAGTTGAGTTGCATTATAATTTGATTATTTTTCAACCCTGCAAATTAATTAGAGCTAAAGGTCAGCACAGATGAGCACAGAGAATGGAACAATATTAGTCAAACCCTAACTAAAAACATCAAGCATTCTATTGTGCAGCTACAAAAGGAATCAAACCTCTATAACTGATACTCCATTGACTGCCATCAGATCATATATGAGGTATCTCCTTTCCTGCTTTTTTGAATCTGGCAATGTATCAATAATCATCTCCCCATCAAGTAAAGTGAAGTGGTGCGTCTTCTCAGCCACGCCCTTAGAAGCCAAGGATATACATATCAGTTTGTAGACCATAGTTTCAAACGACTTAAAACACTATCAGAAACTCCTATAAATTAGCACACATACATCAATTGTAATCCTGCAGGGAAACCTCATTTGGACCCTTCGAAAATTGAAACTTCTATCAATCAAGTAACATCCATCCATAGTTATTAGCATCATATATCTTGTTCCATCAGCTTTCCATGTTGCATAATAATAATGCTGTCGTAATAGTTGTAAATTTTCTCTGTATACCAAGCAATCAAATTTAACATTTAAAAGTATACAGATAAAAGAACAAACCAATTAGGATCTGTCTTGAAAATAACTCCAGCATTCAATAGATGATCACTATATTAACAAAACTACAAAGTGTAAATAATGACAACTTAAGACGCATTTATATTTTGATAAATTCTGCAATATTCCCTCCTAATCATAATTTGGTTCATTAAAGACTTACGTATATAACTGCATAAATGACAGCCTCCTAGGAACCCAAAAACAAGACACATATAAAACGTTAAAGAAACAAATAGTATATTCTCAAACAACTATATTTAAAGTACAGAGCATCAAAATCAGATTTCCCCTTCATAGGTCTGGCCATTGGAGCAATGGTTTGTAACTCTAGCTATGAAGAAACACATGCAAATGATACAGTGGTCATTAAGGATAACCAACTAAAAGGGGCGATCCCCAACGAAGCCAGAGAAGAGATGCCAATGCCCAACTGAGCCTCATGAGGGAACAAGAAACATGACTCATTATAAGACATTAAATAAAGAGGACAGCACATAAGAAACCCAATGCTAACCACCAACATAATCATATGATTGGTTAGTATGAAAATATAGTAGCTAAAAAACTAGCAGCCTAAGGTTTACAGTTGGATTATTATAACATATCACAATATAACGCATTATTGGCACAGATAAGTTAGACCTGTTTAAGGAAACTGGGTGTGATCCTGGAAATTGCATGTGCCCTCTAGCCTGGACCAGAAGAAATAGTGAAACAGTAAATATAAAAGAAGCATGAAAGGTACAGTAAACACATAAAGCCAAACCATAAAGTGTAATGCTAATCATGTTATCTCAACTACTGGGATAAACGTATATGAAGCATAATAGAATAGAAAATGTAACAAGAATAAAGATACCTGATTGACTTCATGAACAAGGAAGACTTAATAATGTTAAACCTACAGAAAAGAAGAAACTTTCCTTTTTAATAATTAGTTTATTGAAAAAACCATAAAAAAAAAACATTTTAGGAAATAGAAAATAATTTGGTCTATAAATAGCTTCTTTTTTTCCGTTAGTGATTTTGTTTCCTCGAAGAAAAGCACTGGTTTTTGCTCCATAACTAGATTATTTGCATCTGTTATCTTATCTCACCTGCAAGTGCTTTTGACCAAGGGCCTTGAAAAATATAATGCAAATATTCTAACTAAAAAGCTCTTATTGATTTCACAGCAAGGTGAAAGACGCTCCAAGTATAATAATCAGAAATATTCTGGTTCAAAATAATATTTTTTGACAAAAGAAGTAGAAAAACTTCTACGTACGAAAAATGTCAGAACTGATTCAGAATAATATTTATACTGAAGATCTCACTCAAAAGTTTGCTGTAACTGTTTAACTAAAACAGTTACACTAACTAGAGTTTAACTAAAACAGCTACAATTTCGGTCGCAGTCACTCCAAATTCCATTATGTTGCGGCCAAAATCACGGTTGCAGACCATTTTCAGAAACCCTGTCAAAATAGCATAATTATCGAATACTCCTAACCCAGCAAAAAAAAAAAAAAAATACTCGGATAATTTTTTTTTTCCCTCCTCCAACTCAGTGAACTATACACCAAATTTAAAAAAAAAAAATCAAATAAATACTCTGCTTCACTCGCACATGCAAACACACTTATAGCCTCCTAACTCCAAGGTGCAACACAGTTTCAACCCGAAGTTGGCAAAATTCAGCTCAACATTCTGAACTGAAGCACATGAACTCGCAAAATTGAGCAAGAGAATGGAAGAGTAGCCACCGCAACGCACCTCAGCAAGCCAACGAATTCGACTTCAAATTCCCTGCGTGAAACGAAATTTTAAGCACCAACAACCAACCCCTTGTTGGCGCGAGTGAAAACCGAAACTAGCTCGATCACAATAAGTAAGAGTTTCAACGTAACTCGGTTTGTTAAGCGGTGAATGGAATTTGCATGATGGAAGAGCAAAAACCCTACTAAAATTGTGGCGTAAAAGGCTTCTCCCTCGTCATGGTGTGGAAGCTCCAAACCCTAGAGAGAGAAGCAGAAGAGGAAAAAAGAGACGCAGGTGATTGTTTGTTCGTTGATTAGAGAAAGGTGTTGTTTTGCTTCGTTTGCTGGCGCTGCGAGAAAGAGAAAGACAGAGACCAGAAAGCGTAGGAGTGGGCTCAGAAATGAGAATGCAATTCGAAATTTGTCAGTTAGAAAGATTATTATATATTATTATATTGTATTAAAAATTATATTATAGATTAATACTATCAATATATATAACCTTAAAACCCAAGCATTTCGGAGTAGGCTTTTCCAAAAATAAAACAAAGTTTGTCACTTTTACTTTTACATTAAAATTTCATTTTTTTAGCCTTTATTATAACTCTAATTAGTTTATGATAACATGATTAATAAAACAAAATTTTTTACTTAAATAATTAAAATAATAAAAATATTTTAAATTAAATCAATTTTTTTATGTGCTCGTTAAAATTTGTATAAGTGACACAATTACGTATAATTTATTTTTATATGACTATTTGGTTCGAGTGATTATAAAAGAAATAGTACTTGATATATTTTTTTAGTTTTTATCATTATATTCAATTACTTTAGGACAAAGCTAATAGAAGAAAAAAATATTAATTAAGATAATAAAAAATGAGATAATTATATTATTTTTAGTTCTATAACTCTACATATATTTTATTTTATAATTTATTTTTCATATATTTATTTACAATATTATTATTGTTTTTCAATTCCCCAAATTACTTTTAATATTTATAAAAATACAATTTATTTACATTCTTATAATTTATTTTTAAATATTATGTCATATGTGAATTCATAAATTTCTTTTATTTATAATATAATGTATTTTTAATATATTTTAAGCAGTGACTTTATCTCTAAATATAAATATCGTACTTAATTATAATCGTTTATAAATTATAACTTTTAATATATATATATATATATATATATATATTATCTTAATTTAAAATATTCTTCTTTATATAAATAACATTTTATTCACTAAATTCTAACTTATGACATTGTTTAAGAAGATTGAATCTTTCTGACCAACAAATTGTAAGTTAATGAATAATGTCATAAATATATATAGAATTAATACGTTGAAGACCAATTCTATTTAATATCACCATAGGTTAAGGTAATTGGATTCCAGGAAAAAAAAAACTTAACCAATAAATAAAACTTACTTTGTACGGAATATGACTCGTACTGTTAATCTCAATATATAAAAGAAATGAGTAAACAATTTACTTCCAAAATTAAGATTACCTATGTGAACAAACTAAAGGTTGGTTTGGTGGTTGTCATAGGATAATATATCAGATTAAAAAAACAAAATCAAGAATAAAATAATAATCTTTGAATAAGAAGATGATTATTTACTAAATCAAGAAATTCTTTAATGTCATCATACGGAAACTCATGCATGAGTTTATCATTGAATCTTAGCAAACAACACGAAAATTCTAGGCACATAGGGTAAATTATATTACATATTTCTAGAATTTGAAAACCTCCTCCAACAATCCTCCATAAAGTAATAAGAATTTAAGAGGATGAACTCCATACAGTGAAACCATGCTCGCCTCCAATAAGGATTAATGTAGAGAGTCACAACCATTACCAGCAATACCGATGCGTATGACACTAAAAAACTTACACAAAACACATTCATGTCCACTGAACTGTCATTGTCTTCGTTTGGAAAAATGGTAGGTGATTGTGCTTGAGGATAACAACTTTTTAGCAATGGAGGTCCACAAAGAAGAGAATTGCCTTCATAGCTGCTTTCATCGAAGGTAATAAACTGGCCTTTTCGTTCGGGTGTTTCACCAGATAAGTTGTTGTGTGCAACGCTAAATACAGCAAGAGAGTTCAACTCGTTTAGCTGAGGAGGAATTTGGCCACTCAACATGTTAAAAGAAAGATCTAAACTCTCTATTTCTGATAATTTGGAGAATGTAGCTGGAATTTGTCCAATCAAATCATTGTGAGACAAGTTCAATGCACGAATTCTTGTCAAGTTTCCAAGCTCAAATGGAATACTCCCATTTAGTTTATTTGTGGATAAATCAATTCCAGACATATAAGCAAGGATCTTCCCTGAATATATGTAGGATATTTTCTTCGTAGTGAAGTTTGCTTTCTCGTGTATATTTGGTACAAAAAATCCTGTACCGCTATTGTCTTCACTAATAAAGCCATTAAATGCAGCCCTTAACAACTCAGGGTGAGTACTCTCAAAAGACATTTTACCCAAGCAATTGGGTATTGAACCAACAAAATTGTTATAAGAAAGGTCTAGTATACTTAAACCTACCAATTGGCATAACTGCCTTGGTAGATGCCCTGTAAAGCGGCTACCTTTCAAAATGAGTACGTTCAACCTTGTATCAGAAAGGTCTTGTATCATATCTTGAATGCTGTTGGTTATTTCATTGTAACTAAGGTCGAGCACCACTAAGAAAGAGCTTTTGCTGAACATTCTTTTGGATAAACCACTTAACCTGTTGTTGTTCAAATGGATGTAATTCAATGAAGAATTGACAAAAGATGGTACAGAACCTGTCAAATTATTGTGTGATAAATCTATATACGCTAGATTTACAAGTTCCGCAAGGCTTGTCGGAATAGATCCTTCAAGATGATTGTTGGACAATGAAAGGGTTTGCAAGTTTGACAAATTTCCTACCACACTTGGTAGCTTCCCCTCTACATTATTATTGCTTATATCCAAGCTTATGAGAGATGAGTTTAAAAAGCTACTTGGTATGCTACCATAAAGGCTATTGTCATCTAAATACAGCTGCTCCAAGGATTTCAAAGTTGGAAATATCTGCCCATCTAGCTTATTGTGTGAAAGTTTCAAGTATTTGAGCAGAGACCTGTCCCCGGATATGTTCTTTGGAATTTCTCCATATAAACGATTTTCCGAGAGATCCAATGTATCCAATAAGTTCATTTGCCCAAACTCAGGAGAGATTGAACCTTGGATGTGGTTTCCAGACAAGTTTAGAAATTGCAAATTTGGTAAAATTGAACTGATATTGTTACTGGGGATTTGGCCAATAATGTTATTGTCAGACACATCAATTCTCCTCATGTGAGGAAGGGGATGCAATGGTAGCTGGAAAACACTTGTGAAAGAGCAATTTCTAACGACAAGCTCCGTCAACTTTGTGTTGTTTTGAAACAACGATTGAGGAAACTCTCCTTCCAACCTACAACTACTTAAATCTAAGCTAGTCAAGCTGTTTTGATGAAGAAGAAACCTGGGGAGAGGAAGAGAATTAGTCTCAGTCATTGAAGGCAAGCTCAGTACTTGTAATTGAAATTTAGGAATCCAAGTTTGCAGACTAGGTTGTAAGTCCAATATGACTTTGTTGCCTTCACCATATATGAACTTTAGGTTTGAGTGATTGGCAAATGGTGCAAAAGAAATAGGGACCTCAAATTGATTTCCTGTGAAACCAAAATGTTCAAGTGATGTAAGGCTAGCAATTTTTGAATCAAACTGACCAATGAAGTGATTTTCATAAAGTTCCAACTTCCGAAGAGATGTCATGTTACCAAAAGATGAGGGAAGCGGTCCATCAAATCTATTATAGCTTAGATCTAACTCTTCGAGATTCTTCAGTTTAAACCAATCTGAATAATGAAATTTTGAAAAAAAAAAAAAAAAAGGAAACCATCATGTAAGGTACATAATGAATATTATGAATAACGTAAAAAGGTAAGCTAATAATAATATAATTACCGGCATGAGGAAGAGTGGCATTCATGTCAGAATATGTAACAGAAAGAAGTTTTAAAGATGTCAATTCCCCAATACTGTTGAAAAACTTGTTTTCCATGTAACTAGTTTTGTCCAATATCAAATTTTGTAGGTTACTTAAATCCTTAAAATCTGCACAGTAGAAAAACATTGAAATGAATGTTAATGTAACAACAATTAGATTAATATACCCAGAGAAATTCATGAATATTACTACCTCTCGCAACAATTGTTCCATTAAATGTATTGCGAGACATAGAAAGGACCCGAATAGATGATGATAAAGCTCGTAATGAGTCCCTGAGCTTGTTTCCATCTATCATATTCCCATCTAAAGTAAGTTCTTCCAATCTACTTAAACTTTTTGAGCCTGAAAGATTTGTAACATCTTACTTAGGCAAAATGCGACAGAGCAAATATTTTCATGGCTAAACAACAAATTAAAATATTTTAATTTATTTTTTTAATATACCTTGACGCGCCAGAAAATTGTGGATATTATTATCGTTTAGATAAAGATTGGTCAAGCTGGTCAAAGTCGATAATCCTGCCGCAGGAGATAAATAAAAAATTGTACGATATAATTGGTGAAGGGTAATATTTTTGTTCACTCCTAAAAACACTGACCACTGATATCTACCGATCCTTCTAACTGATTTCCACTTAAATCAAGGGACTTGAGACTTCCAAGCCCACTTAGAGATGAAATAAATTTGTTGCCCAAACTGCATTCCCTCAAGCTTAAGACTTGTAAATTGGTTGGCCATTTAAATCCGTCGTTCTCTGAAAAAAAAAAAAATTGAAAGCATGTGTTTATGAGTGTACCAAAAAAGAATAAGAATCATCCATTAATTGAGTTTATTAGGTTAATCACAACTAACCTAAACGCCACAAGATACTCTGATTCAACTGGTTGGAAGATAAGTCAAGGTTCTCTAAAGAACTCAATTTTGATATATCTGACAATATATATTCCGATTATAGACCGTTAGACATAGTTTTCAGTAAAAAAACAAATGTATACGACGAAGATTTCTAATATGGAAAGTATGGCGTACTAAAAGTTGATCTCCAACTCAATTGACTATATCCTAAATATAAAGACTTGAGGGATGAGAGTCCACTAAGAGCAGATCCAATATCACAGTCCTTGAAGTTGTTCTGGGACAAGTCAAGAACCTCAAGATTACTTAATTTCGAACATAAACCTGGAAGGAATATATCCTCATTAATTAAGAAGTAAAAAACCCACTGCTTAGGTCTATTAATTAATGAAATGGAAATATTATATGCTACCTTCAATGTGAAGATCTGAGTCCAATTCAGTCTGAGACAAATGCAGCTCCTTTAAAGATGTGAATCCCTCGAGGGATGGCAAGATGTCATTAGTCAAAGTGTTCCCACTTATGTCAAGGACCTCCAGATTGCTCAGCTTTGATGAGAGAGTTTCCAAAACTTATATATGCACACGTGTATTGAATAGAACCAAAAATTGTGTAAGAAGCCAGAAAAATTGTTAAAAAAAAAATAGTGTAAAAAATTTAGAAGAATCATCATATCATAACAATCAGAAATATTAAAATAAAAAGGAGAAATATAGGTAATCTCACCGTGGTGCAAGGAAGATGTATTGAAGCTGTTATACGATAAATATAGAGACTTGAGATTTGAAAGGCCATCCACACAAGACAGAATGCTGGCAGCATTATCCAGCTTCAATTCAAGGACCTCCAGATTTGGCAACCCTGCAAAGTGTGTAAAATAAAGTTGAAATAATGAGTATTCCGGAAAACATATAACACGCATGTTCATAGAAATTTTACGGATTAACCTTCATCCCCCACACAACCAACTATATTATTATCAAATGACAAGTGGAGGTTCTTCAAATCTTTGAAGACAGAAAAATCCGAGTAATTAATATACTGTTCATGTGATGATTTCCTCCACAACTTGAGTTTGGCCACTCTCCCTGTGGAGGAGTTGCACTTCACTCCTTCCCATTCACAACAATCTGAGTTCGAAGAGAAAGGGATTTGGAAACTTGAAGATAGGACCGACAGAGCAAGTCTGTCTTGCTGGGAACATGATTGAGAGGAAATGACTTGCAGTAGAAAGAAAAGGAGGAAAGAGAGTCTCACAATCTTCATTTTCCTCTTCATGACTTCAACCATTTGCTCTCCATCCTTTAAATAGAAAACCATGCATATTAGCCATTCTTTCACGTCCTTCAGAGTCTAAAATATTTATTTATAAATATGACGCGGTTTTATGCTTTATTGCCTTTCTGAACACCTTTTAGAAAAGCACCCTAGTGGAGAGGATGTGGATATTGCATGCAATGCAGTGTTCGATTATTTAGTTGTCGACGAAGACTTGACTTCACCCTTTTATGTTTTTTATTCTTTTTGATCAAGACTTCTCGTCATGATTTTATTTTCATTATTACCCAAAAAGATAATTCAATTTAGTTTACTCAAATCATCAACCCACTATGGTAGTGGCTTCTATTATTCTAATGGATGTATGTCCTACAACAATCCTCTTCTTTGGCATGAATAAAAACAAATCAAGGGATTTATACTAATCTATAGATTCTTGTGTCCATTACACCAAAAACAGACTCAATAAAGAAAATAAAGAGTGTATGAACGAGAGTAGCGTGTTATTAGGGGTGTTGCGTTCTAACTAACCCGTGAGTCAATTCGGCTCACCACGGGTTCGAGTCGGGTTGAATTCGATTTTTTTTCATTTCTACTTATTATGGGTTAAAAATGAACCCGACTCCCTTAACCCACGGGTTAAACGGGTTCGAGTCGGGTTATGGTGGGTTTGCTCGTAACCTACCATTAATTTTAAATTTTAAAAATAATTATAATAATCTACTAACCTTAATTAATCATTTATTTTAAATTTTAAAAATAATTATAATACTTTAGTAACCCTAATTGATGTTATCCTGTCTTACCTCTACCCTACATTGTTGGTTGTCGCTACAAGTCAAACCCTCACTTAAACTTGTTATCGAGTTGTTCGTTGCACCATTACGTTTGTCGCTGCACTTTGGTCACTTGTCTTATTATCTGTCCATCGCACCACTACACCATGTCCACTATATTGCTTTCAAAGGTAAGAATTTGTTTCATAACCTAAACCACTCGTATTGCTTTCAAAGGTAAAAATTTGTTTCATAACCTAAACTATTGAATTGATGAATCTTTATTTGAAAATTGTAGCATCTATACATTATTTGGTGTTTGTTAGTGATTTATATGTTAATATATGAATTTTTGACTTCTTTCTTTTAAATTAATTTACTGGAATCGAAACAATACATCAAAGTGTCAATGTAAATTGTATTGGTGATGATTTTATTATTAATGAAAAACCTAATGAGTCAATTTTAGTTAATAACGAAGATACTGATGTTGAGAAAGAAAGGAAGAAAATATAAGTTTCTACATCCGAAGTTTCTATATAATTTAAAAAATTAAAAAAATATGGGTTAGTGAGTCAACATACCTAACCCACCAACCCGTGGTGGATTGAGCTGGGTTGTAAAATTTCTGGCTCGCCAAAAAATGAGCCGGATTGAACTCACCTATTTTCAGCTCAACCCGTGGTGAGGCAACCCATGTGAGCCGGGTTGACTCACTTTGACACACCTACGTGTTATCAGGTGAATAATGGATCAAATATTAATGAAAAATAATGAACGATGACTTGAAGATTAGGATATTGATCTCATCATAGATATACACAGGACTCACTATGTTTCCATCCTTTCTTACCAACTTCTCCTTCAACATCTTAAAATATTAATGGAAGTTGATCTCTAGCCATGATCTCCCAACGATACATAACTCTCATTTTCAAGTTTAAAGAGTGAGGAGATTAAGAAAAAGTAGTGATTAAAATATGAGAATAATATAAGAATATAACGATAAATGGTATAAAAAAGACAGTTATATTTATTTAAAGTTAAGTATTATATATAATTAAATAATTAAATATATTTATGCGTTATTATACATTAATATTGAGAATATTGTTATTATTTAATTAACGCCATTAATTTAGGAATTTAGATAGATACATTACTTGCGGAGCTTTTGTGCTGATATTTGTATGGTTGGAGCTCGGGTTTAGGGATTGTGGTGGATGTTTTGCCAACTTTTAGAAGTGTTTTTAATTTCTTATTCTTGTTAAATATCTGACCTGCGTTTAATGAAGGGTTTTATGGACGACACATTGTCAATTAATGCGCGGTAGCAAGTAAAGGCCTCAAAGTGTTCATATTCTTCTATTTCTCCAACTTATAATTCAATTAAGTAATAAATTTACTATTATATAAATAGTATAACTACACGTATTTTATTTTTTAATTTATTTTTAAATATTATGTTAAAATTTCAATTCAAAATTTTCGCTTATTTATAAGATAATGTATTTTTAATATATTATAAGCAATGGCTTTATATCTCTCAATCTAAATATCGTACTAAATTATAATTATTTATATGAATTATAACTTTTTATTTATATATATGAATTGTTGATATTATAACAAAAAAATTATCTACATATATTTCTAATAAAATCCAAATTAATGTAAAGTAATATCTTAATTTTATTTGATTCTATTTTAGTTATTTTGTTTTCTTAAACTTTAATATTTTATTTATTTGTTACATAAAATTGTTTTATCTATATAATAATTTTTTGATAAAAATATCATACAAATTAATTGATTAGATACTTTGACCTAGAATTTATATTATACAAAATAATTGGTGAGTCATATAGAGTTAAAAGAGGAAAAATAAATAGTATGAAAGTTGGTTTTGATATTATATATGTCTCGTATAAGTATTCAGATTATATATATATATATATATATATATATATATATATATATATATTAATTTATTTATATGATATGTGCGTAGGGTCCAATTTCTTTTATCATACTGATAATAATCTAAAACTTTCTTGAATTGTTGTAAATAGGATTACACTGGTCTAACTTAAATATATTTCAAAAATACAATACTTTGATATTTATTTATTTATTATTATTTTACTATAATCCAAATTGTTATGGTACAGTCTTCTTTTTTTCCCTATTGTAACAAATATATTATTAGTTGATGTTATATCATTTGTCTCAATGATCTACATAGACAGAAGATATAAGATAAAGTCATATATTACCAAATCTTAATTGGTTTTAAATTAAAATCTAACAATTGAAAAAACATAATATTTGTGATGCTTGTAAACTTCAAAAAAGTTATGAAACTTTATTTTCATAGAAGTCTTCAAAGATATATTCGCAAATAATTCAATATTAAATAAGGAATTTTTCCTTTTTTAATTGATTATTCGTACAAATTTTATGATTAAAAAATAAGAAGCATAATCATACAACTTATATTTATATATGTTAGTATCATAATGTTATATAAAAATTATATCATACATACTTTCTTTTAAATCATCATGCAACATATCTTAGTTCAGATAAATTTTGTTGAGTTTCAATTTTCTCAAAATACATAAAATATCATTAATTCTTTTTTTTTTATTACTTGTGAATTATGAATGCATTATGTTCAATTCATAAATATCATTAATTTAATTTCATATGAAAAAAATAATCATTGTTTTTTTTTATACAATATTACCAATGATTATATAATTAAATTTCATAATAATATTATATGCTAAATATATTAGGGATCACATTATTTTCAATTAATATATATTACAAATTCAACTATATTTATTATATATATATATATATATTATTTATTACTAAAATTAAGCGATATTATAATTTTAAAGAAATTATAATAAAATAAACCCTATGATTTTAATATTAATATAATTTCAATATTATTTTTCATGATAAATATAAATATTTGTTACAAAATATTTAACTTTTTATAGAAATGTAAGAGAAACCCTGTAAAAAAAATCGTCTCAAATTTAAAGTGTATATATAAAACTTACTTTGTATTTTACCTTTTTTTTTTTTTTACCGAATATGACTTTAATCTTAGTATATAAAAGAAATGAGTAAACAATTTATTTCCAAAATTAAGATTACCTATATGAATACACCAAAGGTTGGTTTGGTGGTCATCATGTGATCGGAAAATATATCAGTCTAAAACAAGAGCATGCTACGGTAAGTAATAACAATATAAGAATAAAATAATAATCTTTGAATAACACGATGATTATTTACTAAGTCAAGAAATTCTTCAATGTCATTATACAGAAACTCATGCATGAGTTTGAATCAATCTTAGCAAATAACACGACAATTCTAGGCACACAAGGTAAATTATATTACATATTTCTAGAATTTGAAAACCTCCTCCTACAATCCTCCATAAAGTAATAAGAATTTAAGAGGATGAACTCCATACAGTGAAACCATGCTCGCCTCCAATAAGGATTAATGTAGAGAGTCACAACTATTACCAGCAATACCGATGCGTATGACACTAAAAAACTTACACAAAACACATTCATGTCCACTGAACTGTCATTGTCTTCGTTTGGAAAAATGGTAGGTGATTGTGCTTGAGGATAACAACTTTTTAGCAATGGAGGTCCACAAAGAAGAGAATTGCCTTCATAGCTGCTTTCATCGAAGGTAATAAACTGGCCTTTTCGTTCGGGTGTTTCACCAGATAAGTTGTTGTGTGCAACGCTAAATACAGCAAGAGAGTTCAACTCGTTTAGCTGAGGAGGAATTTGGCCACTCAACATGTTAAAAGAAAGATCTAAACTCTCTATTTCTGATAATTTGGAGAATGTAGCTGGAATTTGTCCAATCAAATCATTGTGAGACAAGTTCAATGCACGAATTCTTGTCAAGTTTCCAAGCTCAAATGGAATACTCCCATTTAGTTTATTTGTGGATAAATCAATTCCAGACATATAAGCAAGGATGCTCCCTGAATATGTGTAGGATATTTTCTTCGTAGTGAAGTTTGCTTTCGCGTGTATATTTGGTATTAAAACTCCTGCATTGCTATTCTCTCCACGAAGAAAGCCATTAAATGCAGCCTTTGATGAGGCAGGGTCAGTACTCTCAAAAGACATTTTGCCCAAGCAATTGGGTATTGAACCAACAAAATTGTTATAAGAAAGGTCTAGTATACTTAAGCCTACCAATTGGCATAACTGCTTTGGTAGATGCCCTGTAAAGCGGTTACCTTTCAAAATGAGTATGTTCAACCTTGTATCAGAAAGGTCTTGTATCATATCTTGAATGCTGTTGGTTATTTCATTGTAGCTAAGGTCGAGCATCATTAAGAAAGACCTTTTACTGAACATTCTTTTGGATAAACCACTTAACCTGTTGTTGCTCAAATAGATGTAATTCACTGAAGAATTGACAAAAGATGGCACAGAACCTGTCAAATTATTGTTTGATATATCTAGATATGCTAGATTTCCAAGCTCCACAAGCCTTGTAGGAATAGATCCTTCAAGATGATTGTTGGACAATGAAAGCGTTAGCAAGTATGACAAATTTCCTACCACACTTGGTAGCTTCCCCACTAAATTATTATTGCTTAGATCCAAGTGTTCGAGAGATGAGTTTAAAAAGCTACTTGGTATACTACCATAAAAGCTATTGTCATCTAAATACAGCTGCTCCAAGGATTTCAAAGTTGGAAATATCTGTCCATATAGCTTATTGTGTGAAAGTTTCAAGTATTTGAGCAGAGACCTGTCCCCGGATATGTTCTTCGGAATTTCTCCTGATAAACGATTTTCCGAGAGATCCAATGTATCCAATAAGTTCATTTGCGCAAACTCAGGAGAGATTGAACCTTGAATGTGGTTTCCAGACAAGTTTAGAAATTGCAAATTAGGTAAAACTGAACTGATATTGTTACTGGGGATTTGGCCAATAATGTTATTGTCAGACACATCAATTCTCCTCATGTGAGGAAGGGGATGCAATGGTAGCTGGAAAACACTTGTGAAAGAGCAATTTCTAACGACAAGCTGAGTCAACTTTGTGTTGTTTTGAAACAACCAGTGAGGAAACTCTCCTTCCAACCTACAACTACTTAAGTCTAAGCTAGTCAAGCTGTTTTGATGAAGAAGAAACCTGGGAAGCGGAAGAGAATTAGTCTCAGTCATTGAAGGCAAACTCAGTACTTGTAATTGAAATTTAGGAATCCAAGTTTGCAGACTAGGTTGTAAGTCCAATATGACTTTGTTGCCTTCACCATATATGAACTTCAGGTTTGAATGATTGACAAATGGTGCAAAAGACATGGGGACCTCAAATTGATTTCCTTGGAAGCCAAAATGTTCAAGTGATGTAAGGCTAGCAATTTTAGAATCAAACTGTCCAATGAAGTGATTTTGAGAAAGTTCCAACATCCGAAGAGATGTCATGTTACCAAAAGATGTGGGAAGCGGTCCATCAAATTTATTATAGCTCAGATCTAACTCTTCGAGATTCTTCAGTTTAAACCAATCTGAATAATGAGATTTTGACTAAAAATAAATCATCTTATGGAGGACATAGCGTAGAATAAATAAGTGATGAATAAGATAAAAGGAAATCTAAAAAAAAAACTATAAATTACCAGCAGGAGGAAGGGTGCCATTTATTTCACATCCCAAAACCGACAAAACTTTCAAAGAGGTCAATTCCCCAATACTTCTGAAAAACTCATTTTCAAGGTCATAATTAGAGTCCAGTGCCAAGTGTTCCAGGTTACTTAAATCACGAAAATCTGCTCAATAGAAACACTAGTTATATATACCTTAATATAACAAACGAAAGTAATTTAGTTAGAGTAAATTAAAAAGTATTTGTACCTCCTGCAGTAATTGTTCCTATAAATTCATTATGACTCATAGAAAGCACCCTAATAGATGCGAAAGCTCGTAATGATTCCCTCAGTTGGCTTCCGTTTATCATATTGTGATCTAAGGTAAGGACATCCAATTTGCTTAGAACTTTTGAGCCTGAAACTGAAACATGGAAACAACATTTAATTTTGCAAAATACGATAAACAAAGACATCAACTTACCAGAATAAGGAGATAAATGGCATGTTTTATTACAAGATTTTAAACTGTAACCTGAAGACACCCGATCAATCTATATCAATTGCTTTAAATACCTTGATGGACAACAAAACTGTTAATGCTGTTATAACTTAGATCAAGAGTCTCCAAACTGGTTAAAGCCAATAATCCTGTTAGAGACAAATAGAGAATGGATTGTTATATGTTACCCATAGAATTACAGCAATACTTATTCTTCGCTCATACATCGGAAGAATTCTCTGTTTCACAGTTTAGACATGAAAATGGTGGGCAGGTGATAAAGATGCGTTGAAAACTAGAAATCAAAGGAGTTTAGAAAGGAAAACAGTGAATAAATTAGAGAATCACTTGAAATTGATATTAGCTTTATTTTTTATTTGATGAAAAATGAGACCATGATTTAATTCTTCTAATATGTCAGACATGATTTTGTTGTTGAAAACAAAAATATATATAAAATAAAGATTTAATCTGTGGAACAACAGTTGATAGAAATTTTTTGGCAAGCATAAAGAGAGCTATTGATGTGAGTCTAAGTTCAACCACCATAAAAAATTATCACCAGAAGTCATTGCCAACGTGATCAACCAATATAATACATCAAATTAACTATACTGACCACTTATATCTACCGATCCTTTTAATTGATTGTAGCTTAAATCAAGGGATTGAAGACGTCCAAGCCCTTGCATAGATGAAAGAAATTTGTTGGTGAAAGTGTTTGAACTCAGCCTTAGGACTTGTAAATTGGGTGGCCATGTAAATCCATCATTCTCTGATAAAAACAAAACTGTCAGCATCTAATTATGAGTGTACTCACTAAGATTAAGGAGCATGCATATTGGAATGGAGTCATATCTACTTTCATATAATAAACTAAAGAATAATCACAACTAACCTAAACGCCACAGGACACTCTCATTCAACTGGTTCTTCTCTAAGTCAAGAATCTCCAGAGACCGTATCTTTGATATATCTAGCAATATAAAAACTGATTACACTCACATATTTAACCAAAAGAAATGGTGAATATTTGTTATATAGGAAGTGTTCCATACTAAAGATTGATCTTGGGGTCAATTCACTACTTCCTAAATTTAAAGTCTTGAGAGATGAAAGTCCACTAAGAGCAGATGCAATGTCACTGTCATTGAAGGTGTTGTCGGACAAGTCAAAAACCTCAAGATTCTTCAGCATCGAGCATAAATCTGCAAGGTATAGTGTGTTACATGAATATGTTATTTTATCCTTAAGCTGTTACCACTCCTTAGCTTTACAAATGAAATGGGAAAATTATTTCACCTGGGATATGAAAATCTGAGTCCAATCCAGTTCCAGACAAATACAGTTCCTTCAGAGATGTGAATCCCCCGAGAGATGGCAAGATGTCATTAGTCAAAGAGTTGTAACTTATGTCAAGTACCTCCAATCTAAACAACTTCGATGACAGAGTTTCAAAAACTGAAGGTACATACATACACACATGTATTAGTGAAAGGTTTTAGAAGAAGCCAACCAATTTTGAAAAAAAATTGAAGGGGCTTAATACGTCATCATTATACATACCCTCACCGATGAATGTTGCGTCGAACCTGTTGTATGATAAATATAGAGACTTGAGAGATGGAAAGCCATTCAAGCAAATTAGAAGGTCGTTGACATTATCCATATCATTGAAACTCAAGTCAAGGACTTCCAGATTTTCCAACCCTGCAAAGTATGTAAAGTAAAATGGAAATAATTATTCATATTTCATTTTTCAGTGAGTAAACAATGATCAACAAAATAGAATGTGTGCGAGAAAAACCTTCATTGTCTGCACAATCAACCACCCCATAGCTGTTGCTCAAGTTGAGACTCTTCAAATCTTTGAAGACAATAAAATCCGAGTAATTTATGTGCCAATCTAATAAAGTGATCCCATCATTCCACAGTTCATAAATGTCGAGTTTGGTCACTCTCCCTGTGGAGGAGTTGCACTCCACTCCTTCCCATTCACAACAATCTGTGCCCTCCCACTGCCAAGACAAAGGCAAGCCAAAACGGGAATTTAGACCCAAAAGAGCTTCTCTCTCTTCCTCCCAACACCCTTCACACCATATCACTTGCAGTGAAACAAAAATCAACAAAATCCCACTTACGTTCTTCATTTCCATCATCATATTTTCTAACAAATGATTGCCGTTTAAATAAATATGAACCAATTTAATCTAAACTAGTTTGTCGCCAAGTCAAACTTGGTGGCCACCACGGTTTTCTACTATATGGCTGTTATCAACACTTTCGAAAAGTAGCCGCGTTGGTTGAAAATTCTTGTCTTTGTATATCAATATTAAGCACTCAACTTGCTTCATATTCAACTACACACACAGCATTGTAAGCTTTTCTTTTTTGTTAAATATATAATTTAGTCTATGTAGGCCTAGCATATTAGGCATAAAGATTATTAATTTTTTCTCTCATGTAATGCATTTCTTAATTTCTTTTCTGCATGTACGAATGCTTTATTTGATGAATTGTAAGTTGAAAAACAAAAAAGCACAAGATTTTCTAGAAATCACAGGAGTTGCTGTGATACTTCCACTGTTTTGTATTCGCATAAATAAATTCTGTCATGTAGCTTTGTGAAGGATGGATGAGTTGAGGTCAACCCAAAGGCCGAGACTGCTGCAAGTACTACCAATCAGAAAACTTTCCTCGTAAATTTCGTTACAACATCTTGCATTTTGCCATGCTAGCAATGGCCTCCATCATTTTAGACATAACGCGCTCTGATTGTGGGAATTAATAATACCTTTAGATACCATTTTTTGGTGTACACAAAGGCTTTCTTTACAGGGAAAGGATTTATTAGATTAAGATTTTTCAAGGATTTTCTAAAAAAGGGTATATGATATTTAATCAAGACTTACAATCTATCAATAAGTAGATTAAAATTTATTCTGAATTTATTAAATGCGGGGGGACCTGACAGTGTGACCAACCACTTGTTGTGTCTCCAAAAAGAAGAGTAAAAAGACTCCTCACTCGATCACTCCCTTCATTTTACTCTCTCGGATCGCACTTTTTCAAATCTCATTTTCTCGTTGCAACGATGATCGAAGATGATTCACTCTTCCACTACTCCCTCCTCGCGCTCTTCCTCATCGCGCCCCCAACCTTCCTCTCCCTCACCTACCTCCAGGCCCCCTACGGCAAGCACCACAGGCCCGGCTGGGGGCCCAATCTCCCGCCCCCCCTCGCCTGGTTCCTCATGGAAAGCCCAACGCTCTGGCTCACTCTCCTCCTCTTCCCGCACGGCCTCCACTCCCACAACCCCAAAGCCCAAACCCTCATTACCCCCTTCCTCCTACATTATTTCAACCGCACCATCCTCTACCCTCTCCGCCTCCTCTTCACCCCCTCCAAAAAAACTGCCTCGGGCTTCCCTCTCAGCGTTGCCCTCATGGCCTTCATCTTCAACCTCCTCAATTCCTACCTCCAGGCGCGTTCAATCTCGCACTACTACAACCAATATGATCCCTCAGGCTTTTTCTGGCTCCGGTTTGTGATTGGGCTTCTGGTGTTTTTGTGTGGGATGGGGATTAATGTGTGGGCTGATAGGGTTTTGCTGCGGCTGAAGAGCGAGGGGAAGGGCTACGTGGTGCCCAGGGGAGGGTTATTCGAGCTCGTAGCGTGTCCTAACTACTTCGGGGAGATTGTGGAGTGGCTGGGCTGGGCTGTCATGACTTGGTCTTGGGCTGGGCTGGGCTTTTTTGTTTATACTTTTGCGAACCTCGGGCCCAGGGCGCGTGGCAACCGGAGGTGGTATTTGGAGAAGTTTGGGGAGGATTATCCTAGAAAAAGGAAGGGTGTTATTCCCTATTTGTATTGATTGATAATTCTTCTTCTGTTTTTGTTTTTGATGGATTGTAATTGGGAATGTGGAAAGGGGAAAATGATGAATAATTTGATTTTGTCTGATGAAGCAGATCATGAGGATGCATTGCACTTGAACTTGATTTGCTTAAATTGATTCTGAGATCAAGGGATTGTTTTTAATTTTAAATTACAATCTTGGTTTTTTAAAACATAATAATGTGATTTTAGTTTTAATTTTATTTCTCAGATTTCATCAACTTTACATTTTTACTCTGATTAATATGAATAAAGTTAAGAATTGAATCAAGGTTATAATTTTTTTAGGTTTATTTGAGTTATTTTTCTCCAATTTGAAGTTATTATAATGTTGATCCTCGAATTAATTTCTTTTAATATTAATATTTCAAAATGTCTTTTTTAGGGACAGTGTTAAGGAGATAAATTTTGATGACTGCTAAGCTTGGATATAAGCAGACTCCTCCCTTTGTTATTGGGTTCTAATCCGAGAAATTAAAAAATAAAAAAGTATTTCAAAAAATGCGAGAACTAATAAAAGAATCTTTTTTAATTGAAAGATCAACACTAAAGTACTTCGAATTGAAACATTAAAAATAAAATAAAGAACTGAAAAACGTTGTTGTGTTGGTGGTTGTAGACTTGTAGTTGACTATATTTATGGCATTGCTTCTTCAAAGGTCAAAAATTTGACGTAGGAATGTTGATGCAGTTGGTTATGGCCCCAATGCAAAGCTGCCAAATCTTGATAACTATGCTGATTAGCAGTCTTGATTACTGAACCACGCAAGAACAAAATTTGGATATATGGTCCATGCCCCTACATTAAAGTGGTATAAGGAAATGGCACCTGAATCAAAAAATGTGAATGCAATCCCAATTGAAAACTTAAATTTTTCATCTTTCTATGACAGTATCAACCTTTCCTTAGAAATTCTCCTTTTTGTGTATTTATCTTTTTTTAATAGATTTTTTCTCCAACTAATAATAGACAAATTTATTGTGAGATCATTTGATATGGTTTACTTTTTGCTGTGGTTAGTAACTTTGGTTTTGTCTGGAGATGGCACTTCGAAGATTGTTCAGTTAAGTTACAACAAAAAAGCCGAACAAGAATTTGTGTACCATTGTTGAGTATAAGTATTTTTAAAGAATTGTGAAGAATGAAATAAATGTGTATCAAAACTAACTGTGTAAATAAATCTTGGTTGCATAGTATTGAGTAGTTTCCTGAAAGTGCAAAATTATCAACATGTAGAATTGTCTTGCTGTATGTTCCAAAGAATGCAATAACAATTTACGCATGAGTTGAGGCAAGTTAACAAAATAAAATAACCATGTGTTATTTTTATACAAAACCCTTTAGTATCTGATGTTGTGAGGTGTCATTCACTTTAATTATTGTTTTCCACTTATTCTAAGATATTAAGTGAATGGGAATGGCATTTTGTAAAGTAAAAGATCAAAGTAAAGTTTTTTTTTTTTAACTACGTAAGTGGAGTAAAATGGGTGCTTATTCCATCATGAACTATCACCAAATGACACAGTAATATTGATTAGTTGAACTTTTGAATAGTGATTTCACAGAGGTAGGGTCCGTCATCATTTCTCCAAAGGGACAAGACACAATTGCATTGTGAAGGAATGAAAAATTAAGATATGTGAATATTTCTTTTGTTCTTGTTAGTTATTTTCTGAGAAATTTAAGGGATTTTCTTGGGAGGAATTCACTATATGACCAGGAAAAATGACAAAAGTTCGAGATATGTTTACCTGCGGGGCATTTTTCTTCTGTTTCCATCTAACTAGTTAAAGAAAATTGTTGAGGTTTTGGTGAAGGTTTTGATTACTTGATTTGCACGACTCTTTCCTTTTTACATATCCCAACACTTTTTATGAATTTATGAGTGTATTAAATTAGTGTTTTAAAATAATTTTGTTAATAATGAAGTGTTGACGTATTCATTTAAAATTTATAAATAAAACAAATAACTTAAAAAAATAAAATGAAAATCAAGTGAAATTTAAATATTACGTTTTAGATTGGAAGTTTATATTTTTTTAGAAGAAATAAGAAATAGAAAACAAATAAAAAATTACATTCTTTTATAATTAATGTCCACAACATTAATAAAAAATATACTAACAAAAGATAGAAGATCTTTCATGATCAAAGGATGATTTTAGAAAACCTCTCATCATCTTAATAATAAGAATATTCGCTCCTACATTCCTGTTGCATCAGAGGAAAAAGAGTAAAATCTAATCAAACAACCTTGAAAAAAACAAATTGACTTTATAAACGTTCATGCTTTAGACCGAATTGTAGAGCAGGGCAGAGATGATTATGGCACTATAGTTCAAGCTTAAACAAAGATATTTTATATTATATTTTCTAGTTTTCTTAAAAAATCACAAAAGGGGAACATAGCCCTTTTATGTTTCATTGAAGCACTGGTCTGTTTAAAGCTAAATATATATGTCAGAAAATTCTGAATTCCAAAATCTGCTTCAATGAGTATTTGCTACAATACATTACGCAACACACATTCATATTATTAATTGGTTCCTCAAACTACAGCAACAATTTATACAATGTTCAACTAAGTCTATTTAGAGTGAATTTTAACTCTGTAAATGATTCAGAAAATAGCAAAATGAACAAGAAAAAGAAAATATAAGAAAAAACATAAAAAAGTCATTCTAGATTTAACTGCAACAATCTGACTCAACTAATACAAATTGGTTTTCAACTTTATTCCCCTGCTGGTCTCTATTGGAAGATTACAGAAAAATATATTAGCCATGGTATCTCCTTTCAATTATCAAAACTTTGTTTCTAAGAAATATGGCTATGATGCTAGATGATACACAACCAACCAGCTGATAATACTGGTATCGTATCAAGATCACTCACACTGGTGTAGTTTCTACTATTCCATCCATTCACTTGTTGCAACCAGCACCATATGAGCAGCATTTCTGCAGTTTGTTAACAAGGTACAAATTTTCAATTTCAAATGAAGTATAAAGAAAATTGTGTACGTATAAATCCAACCTCATTTATTCCCTGCAATAAATTTTAATCCAAAATAGCAGAAAACCATCTTAGAAGTTATAACTACCCTTTTCTTTCTGCATGTTAGGTTTCGACTTTAGACCAACAAGTACAACTTACTATGGCAAATGCTACGATCAAATCCTACCTAGAATATCTTAATCATTCAGAAAACACACCGCGAAATTATGTGTGTAGATTAGATGAACTCACATTAAGTGGTGCGGTTTGCATCAACTTTCACTCTCAACTTCTCATCGGTGAGACTGTCTTGTGCTGGATCTAAACTTTCATGAGACAGTAGATGTTCATACTGTTCTTTTAAGCCAGACGAATCAACAACCTCTGCAAGGTTTAGCTTAATTTGTTGCACCAAAGCATCAATTCTATTCTTTGATTCAGAACTTGGCGTCTCTCCAGCCTTGGCAACCTCCAATTTCAACAGCTGTATCTTGCTCTTAATATCATCTGATGAGTTAACCAAACTATCAATTTGCTTTTCTATTTCTTCTTTTAGTTCTTTTATACCTGGCTGGGGGGTGTCTTGTTTTACGATGACATTTAAGCCTGCTGACTCCAGAGCATCAACCAGATGCGAGTCTACCTCTTTCTTAAAATCAATGATTTTCTTCTTCAACTCCTCATCCAAATCACTTGCTGAGGATGCACCAACACCTCTAATTTCAGCCTTTAATGCTTCGAACTCTTTCCTTAATCTAGGATTACTCAAGACTTGATCAACTTTCATCTTCAACTCTTTCTTAACTGTGGACAGATGCTTTGCTTCAGATAATTCTTTGAGATAGTTAAGCATATTCTGCAGCTTACTATAATTAGGAGCTTCACTCAATTTCTGCTCAAACTCCACCCTTAGCATTTCTATCTTATCCTTCAGCAATGGATCAAGACTTTCATTATCTGCATTTGCTTTTGAAACTTCCTCCCGTAGTTGCGAAAACCTGTCTGCCAAGCCTAAAGCTTTAATTGCCTCAGAGTATTCTTGATTGACCTCCCTCTCCAGTTGCTTTATCATCTCATCTATATCTAGTTTTGGAGGAACGGGAGAAGATTCTTTAGCTTCCAAAATTTGTTTCTTCAGTTTCTCAACCTCAAGTTCAAGTTCAGTATCAGGCATCTTAGCAATAGACAAATCCTTCTTCTTCATGTTGAATTTTTTCTTAGGATCTATAGGAATACCTTCCTGGAACCCACCGATCTTTCTGAACTTAAGCATGCGATGTCTTAGTAGCTCTTCAGTGTTCATCTTGGAGAGTTCCTATATAATTGACGAGTAAAACATCTAAAGTTAACGCAAAAATAAACGTATCTGTTTCCAGTAGAACACTTGCTGCCTTAAAACTTACGTCCATGGTTTCATTGATTGCCTTCTTTATCTGTTGAGAGGTCCACTCTGGATCCGCATGTGCGCCACCAAGGGGCTCCTATTGAAAAGAAACATTTAAGTTCTACTTAGATTCTATTCCCAATAAAATATTGTTATCAATCTACGTAATTTAAAATGTTTATGTTGTACAAGAAAAGGTAAAATTAAAACAAATCAAATCAGGAGTTAAAAATTTTACAAATTTGCTTGAATACTGAAAAATACCTATTACCTATATATTCATATGTAAACCATTAAGATGATAAATTCCATGTATACGATCAAGATTTAAGAGAAAAAAAAAAGCATAATTAATAGGTTCTTACAGGTATAACACCATCTGCAACTTGCAATTTGCACAATTCAGGGGCTGTTATCCTCAGTTTTTCAGCAGCCTGCATAGGATAATAAAAATACAATAGTTGAATTTAAAAATATTATGAATTGAAAGAGTCAAAGTACTAGCATCATATATACCTTTGGAGCAGCTTTAGCACTCTTCCACAAGATTGCTGCACATGCCTCTGGACTAGATCATGTAATAAATAAAGGTCAAACCAGCAGAACAGAACATTAACACTTTTTCTATTCGTAAAAGTAGTAGTAACCATATCACACACGGAGGCACATAAGAGCACATCAAATAAGAACTCAGTGAGACATGAAGAAATCTACAAATATAATAGACCATTACAAGACATTTTAATAGTCAAGATAAATACAGATTCTGTTGCTGTTTTCTCATTGCTCAAAGTGAGTGATACAGTTCATATAAAACAACCATGAAGCTTGCAAAGCAAGCTTCGCTGATTTGGGATTAAACTCAACAACATATAACAGATATAACCACTTTGCTGATGTGGCAAATGTCACTCAGTCCCACAAAAGTACAAGTTTTATGCTATTAATCTACTACTATGTGTGTCTGGAGCTGCTTCTAGGAAGCAATTAGTATGATGGGCTATACGTTAGCCATATTTAAGTACAAGTAAGAAAAGATGAAATCATTTTTATGTTTTAACCACTTCAAACAAGTAGTCAATTTTGACATAGTCATACAAAATCAACTTTGCTAACTGCTTCACTAGTTCAAAATTTTGGTTAAAACTTGTGTTGGTCTTCATACCACTTGCTGTTTGTTGTCAGAAACATCATCCACATTACTAAATAAACTAAACAATTTGCAATTCATATAATTTGAAACTGGGATAAATATATAATCACATTCGACATGATTCTGAACTATCAAATATGTTAATACAAAATCAAAAATACAATTGAAATTTCGGTTAAATATCTGTTAGAGAGAAAGCTAGCAGTTTGAAGAAACATGGTATACTATAAATAAGATGGAGAGGTATATTATCATTTTATGAGAGAAATGGGGATTTTCATTGGGAGTGGGAGGTGCAGATCCTTGAAGTTCCTGCAGTTCTATATATTGTAATAGGGGGTTGTCCCAATTTCTTCTTAATAAGATATCCGGTTCTAGCAACCTTGAACCTTTAGCTACAGATAGTAAGCAATGTTAACATTATTGCAAGCTCTACTGCCCCATTTGTAGAGAGGAAAGATCTAGAAGGAATGGAAGAGAAAAGAAAAGAGAAAGAAGTAAAAAATGAGTGGCAAAAGATGTTGTTTGGTAAGAAAAAATGAGGGAAAATTTATTTTATTTGTTGTTATAGTTTTATTTATTATTTTTTAATAATATTGATATTACTTTAAAATTATTTATTATTATGGGTGCCCATAATCGATCATGATCATTAAAAAAACACTTCTTTTCTCATTCATTTTAGAACCATTAACCATTATTTTTGCAATATGATCAATTGCGTTGCTATACATGGTTGATTATGTTGCTACGTATGGCCATTTCTACACATTTCTTCGCAGTGCATAGTGGGACCTGTCTCCTTTTTCCTCTATTCTTCACACATAACCTCCTTCAAACCACCCTTCCTATGTTTCTCCTCCCTACCATCCTCCCCCTCTTTCTCTAGCCCTCATCCAAACAAAGGCTACAAGATTAATCCAACATGCACATGTAAAGGAAGAAAAGCATGTAATTGAAATACTTATTACAATATCATAAATTTTGAATATAGCAAGGTAAAAAAATAAATCACCTGGCAACATAAAAAACAGCATTTTCAAGCATGAGCAATTTATTAGCACATCCAATGGCTAGGGCACCACCTGAACCACCTTCTCCAATAACTATGGATAAAATTGGAACCTTCAGACCAAACATGGATCTCAAATTGTGAGCAATTGCTTCACCCTGAAAGTATGAAAGTTAACAAATTGATTTAGCCTTGTAACAAATGAAAGACAAAGAATCTTAGAGCCTAACTCAAAACATACTTGGCCTAGTTCCTCTGATTTAAGGTCAGCGTAAGCCCCAGGTGTGTCAATGAATGTAACGATGGGGAACCCATGATGATCTGCATATTCCATCAACCGAAGAGCCTTTCTGTAACTGTATGAATTGGAAGTTTACCATCATTGTCAAATGCAGATCAAACCAATGTAAATTACAGTTCATATCCTATCTTAAATCGAGGTAACTTGTTGTATCAACCAGAGTTCCTAGTGGACATACCCATGAGGAGTTGGCATCCCAAAGTTACGTTGAATGTTTTCTTTAGTATTTCTACCCTTTTGCTGACCGATGAACATGTATCTTCTACCATCTATAATCCCTATACCAGTAACAATAGCTGGATCATCATAACCCGCCCGATCACCATGGATTTCCATAAACTGAAACATGAGGAACATGGGAATTCAGTTAAAGTGGTTTAATAATTAACGACCAATTAAAATTTGAATTGAGTAAATGAAATAACTAGCATATTGAAGTTAATCACGAAGTAATAATTAGAAGACCTTTTCTGTTATGTTAGAGATGTGATCAAGGAAAGTCGGCCTGTTAGGATGTCGTGCAACGTTGACCCGCTGTATAGGAGTCATATGGGTATATAGATCCTTTAAAGCCTGAAATAATAATGTGAAAGCATGAGACTTTTACCATTAAAATTGTAGGTATTGGGAGGAAAAGTTCATAAACAGAAAAATATATATTTGAATTTTGAATAAAGAAACTCTGGGTAATTGTACAACAAAAAAATAAAATAATAATATGGATAAAGAACATATAAACAAAAGCCCAACTCAATAACACTCACAACAACAAATAATCTTCTTTAGCCAAAGATACCCTAATAGTTGCTTAAATATAAAGAGAATTATCATTTGGCAAAAGAGAAGCAAAACATATATCTAACCAACAGCAGAAACGCCTGAATCTGTATTTCAGAAACAAAGACTTACTATAAGCAACTATGAAATCACAGAGAATAAGAAGTTTTCACAGGGATTGCCAACATGAATGGCAATCAGGCTAAACTAGTTCGTTTAAGACACAACAAAAATTCAGTGTGGGTTCAAATTTAAAATATGTTATATATTCAATCTTGCAAGTAAAAATCATAGAGCAGCATGGTGACAATTTTTTCATGAGAAATCTTGTTTTAAGTATGAGACTGAGCACATAATTCAATCCAGTAATCATCAACAATTTTCACATTAAGTAGTTCAGTTTTCTTAAGAGAACTTATTTTTTAAGACAGACAAACCTGATTGTACTTCGTCTCCAAGGACTGAATCTGATCACTGAAGTCCAGCCCAGTTTCATTTGCCATCTTCTGTACCTGTTTTCAACCATAAATAGCACTCATATTAGCCATTAGCATTCAGCACAACCTCCATGAATCAAACAATTATAACAAATTCACCCTCACTCAAGCAAACAGAAACACACACACACACACAGCACAAACAGATTAATTAGAAGTTACATCAATGATCTTCTTTTGCAGATCAACAAGAGGCTTTTCAAAGTCCAAAGTGGTAGGCTTTGGCTTTTCCTTGAGTGGCTTGAAACGGGAAAGGTGGCTCAACACACCGCCTTTCACATTGGGATCAGGATTAGCAGGCCAAGGATAGTCATGCTTCTTCACCTTCCTCAGCTTAGCAGAAACACTAAAATCCCTCCTCTTCAAAACCAAGCCTTCCTTCCCCAAACTTCTCAAAGGTACACCATTGAAACCGCTGGTTGAACTCCTCAAAAGATCCGAAGCAGAAGCACCAGCGAGTGACGCGGAAGAAGCAGCCATTTTTCCCTTCAAACTCTATCCCCCAAGTCGGCAAATTCTAAAAACATAAGCAATAACACAAGAAACTAAGAACAAGGAAAAATCGACACAAAATCAACAAGACCAGTAAGGGAATTCGAAAAAACAGAGAAAAAAGAAATAAACTTTATCTCGATCCAGAGGAAAGAAAAGAAAAAAATAACGAATCTTGTCATGAACCCATTTGAGTTACTCAACTAAGCTCCATTTTCATAAAATCTAAGCAACAGTGAGCAAGAGTTTCAAGACCCAAATCAAACAAACCACAACCATTCATTCATAAACCATTTAACAAGCTCCTGGAATTGAGGAAAGTAAGCAGCACTTTGTAGGAGAAACAGGAGGGAATTTCCTAGGAAAATTACCAGGGAGAAGTTGAAGATCCAGAAAAGGAGGGAGAGGAGAGAGTCCAATCTAATGGTATGAGAAAAAGAATGCGGTACAATTAAGGGGTGTGTTTGAATGAAGGAGCTTCGAGGAGATCGCCAATGACAGAGAAGAGAAGAGAAAAGGAGTAGTAGTTGTTGGTTTGTTGAAGGGAGTGAAAGGCAAAGGAAGAGATTGGGGTTTTGTTGTTCAAAGAAGGAAAAAGCCAAACACCAAAGTGAAGGAGGCGATACTTCTTATGCTCAATGTGTGTCACAACCCATAATAATGAGCCAGCTTTTTTCGGTTTGGCCGTTAAGCTTACACACACCTCACTCTTCTACACAAACTCTTTGTAACATAACAAAATAACACACCAACTTCAACTTTAACATCAAATCAAAATAAAAATGTTCTTTGTGCTACTCACACAACACAATGCATCTTACACTACTCACAAGAAATGGGAATTTTGCGTCGCCTTGTATCATTATGTTTTAAGAGATAAGTTTGATACAATTTGAGTGTGGGTTTCAATTACAAGTTATTTTAAATATATTTTTAACCTATTTATTCTTTATTAGAAGTATAAACAATAAATGGTTGAATATAGGTTCAAACTTTTTTTATGTAGAGTGTATTCTGTAGGTCCATCAATTTTATGATAATATACATTTTAATCTTTATATTTTTAAAAATTTTAATTCTAAATCATAGTACTTTTTATAATTTTTTATCTGTGACAATTAATCTGTTGCTTGACATCAATTGACATGTATTAATGCGACTTTTTTGTGTGGGGAAGAGGTGGAAACTCTAACAAAAGAAACAAATTAAAATTATGAGAATACTAATATTATTTAGTTACATTTTTATCTATTTAAGTATCATAATTTTGAAAGGTAGTGATAATATGCTCATTTATGTTTCTAACATCAATTATCATTCTATTATTCACTTTAGTCAATAAAATTTATTAAATGTTTAACAAAAATAATATTATGAAAATTCAAAATTGTCCCATTATAATATCTAAAACACTTAAATTATTAAAATAATATTATTGTAATATGATCACATATTATAAAACTGAAATTAAGTATATTTTTTAATAATAGATATTATTTTGTATACTCATGACTCTTACGTGGCTTAAGAGTTGTTTAAGAGTTGAGGTTAAGAATAATTTATATATTATTTTTTCTTAATCCAAAAAATTATAAAACGGATAATACCATAAATATAAGAATTAATCTTAACAATATTATCATAATAAACATGTGACCCGAACATTCTCGTTTTTAAACAAAAAATTAACATTCAAAACTAAAAATAAATTTGTATTCTACTCCTATCCCTTAATTATTGATTGATTATAATCCCCATGATAATTATTCTCAAATTACATGTTTGTTTATAATTTTTTTTAATAATTCTCTAGTTCATAATAAAGTTTATTAAATTTGTGGCAATTCTTTTTTACCTTATTCATTATATAAAAAACAAACACATATTTGTTCTATACCGTTAAATTTCATTATCTTAGTGTTAAGGCAAGAGTTTGTTATTTTTTTATAACTAAATAGATGTTTTTTTTTTTAATTGATGAGTGTAATTAAAATTATAATTTATACATTTATTTTTAATAAAATACAAATCATTCATAGAAATTTTTATTATAGACCATCCATAAGAATAAAATTTGATTAAATAATAATAAAAGGTAACATATAAATAATAGAAAAACATCCAGAAAAAACAAGAAAATTGAGAGAAAATATTGAGGGAAAAATATAATTAATAGAAAATAATTTTATAATATAGAAGCTGGAGATCGATTAATAATTTTAAATAAAGAAATAAAAATAATATTTACTTAAATTAAAATTAAAATTCATACAAATTTTTAAAGACCAAAAAAATTTTAAAATTTTACAAAGATAAAAAGAAGTTTTTTATAGAAATAAAAGACACTTATTTTAATATAACAAAAATATACTTTTAAAAAATAATAAAAATAAATAAATGACATGTGAAAAGCCAATTTCATAAAATCTTACTTAGACAAGTGAATTTGAGAATTCATTATTACTATAACTATAAATTATACGTTTAGTCTTAAATTTTGTTGTGTGTTAAAATACCCATCATTAAACAAATTATATTCCCGTGTAAGAATGTCTCCTTGAGCATGGTTTACTTGGATAGATTAGAACCGTTGATGTACATTTGTGCAACTGCCATCTTCCCCGTACACGTGCCCGCTCCAGTATCTTCTTCTACTTTCTTTTCTAATTATACAACTAACTAAAAGTGCAACTAATGAATTCAATTTATTAGCAGCATAGATAGTGCTTTCTATTGCAACAGTATTTTCAAATTTAATAAATGGAGAAAAATATTTTAAGTTTAATCGCTGTGTAATTAAATAGATTAAAATTTAAAAACATAATTTTCATGATTTTTTTATAAAAAATTATTTTAATATAATTATTATTATATATATTTTCTTCTCTTATTTTATTAAAATATTTTTCAAAAATAAATTAAAATTTTGAATCAGGTGAAATCAAACTTAATAAAAATGAATGAATTTATTATAATATCCGTTATGATACATAACGTGAGTTAAAAAGAGAAAAATGGATATAAATTATTAATAAGAATTTTTAAGCCATATTCAACCAAGTGTACCGAAACAAAAGAGTTTCTTAAACGAAAGATTAAGAGGTGGAGAAACAAAGTGTGAAAGTCAAAATAAGTTGCTAAAGTTTGGTGCTCCGTTTGCCAATTCTATTTCGTTTAAACTCAAACTTCTTAATGAATTACTGATATTTTCTATTCATACTTCAAATCTATAGAAACTTGTACGATTTTAATGCTTTCAAAACTAGAAAATTGAATGGGTAAAGATTTAATAAGTGCTCAGTATATAAATAGAACACTCAAAATGAAAATAGAGGTGTTACTACAATTAATTTATATCCCAACATAGAAAATCAAGTAACTTTGTAAGATCAATTATATATTCTTTGGAACTATGAAATCATCAAATTATTAAGACTGAAGAAAGATATCCAAATTTCTGTGACTCACCAAATAAAATAAACCCATCGAGATCTAAAAAAAATCTTTTTTTTGGCAAGACATGATAAAAAGCGTCAAATCTATGGACTATTACAAGACATGTCAAACGATGACAGCAGTCAAATCTTACAAATTTCAACAAGATAAGTATTTTATCATATTAGATTAAATAAAATACACCAATGAACGGTCACTTTTTCTCTTCACATAAAGTTACAAACAATATTTATGAAATACTTCTCAATAAGCTCAACACGTCAAAAAAGAATGATTTCACCTTTATTCTTTATTTGTAATTCTTTATATTTTAGATATGCATGAAAGAAACTTGGGTCAGAACTTTTAAACATATTAGTTTGAAAGACGCTGAACCTAATCTTATTTACAAAACATTCTTTCTTTATTTAGAAAAACAAGTAAAAGAATAATTGAATTAAGCTATTAGTTCCTTAGAAAAGAAAATACTCATATTATAGTTGAGATAGTGAAATGTGGTGTTTTACTAGAACGAGGTATAATTTCAATTGTTAAAAGACAAATTAAAGTAAAATTCTCTCTCTTTTGATTTTACTATTGCCAATATGATAAAAAAAAAGTACTAATTATAAAATTCTAAACATAAGAGAAGAAAAAAAGTAAAATGAATTAATTATATTCCATAAGAAGTTAAATCATACATAACTTACTAAACTAATATATTTTTTTATTAAAAACTATAATTTATTTTATCTTATTTTCATTTCCTATAAATAAAAATTTATCCGCTGAAAGCATGGCCAGGGACCACAACCCATTCACGATGAATGTCTATCTATACATTGAAAGGAATGGATGATAAACATACATGAAAAACCAATTTTAGCGCTATTTCCGAATCCATCTTTAGACATTACTAGTTAATAACATGATTATCAAAATCTGACAGACCGGTCAGTTTAACCAAATTGAATTAGGAATCGATGTCATAACTGGTCTGGAATTCCCTAAAAACGGGAAAATAATAAATAGGTTAAAAGTCAAAAAAATTGATGAAACATATAGTTTTTTTTTCTTAAAAAAAAAAAGCTAAATATCATTATTTTATCTTATATTTGTTTTCTTTAGTTTAATATAAAGATACACCAAAACTTGATCAGAAAAAGTTATTTTTTTTATGAGTTATAATATTTTCTTTTGTTATTACAACTATAATTCTTATCCTGACCCACTATTTTGTTCTTGTTGTCGTTGTGTCTATTATTATCATTATCATAATTATTTATGGAAATATAATAACAGGTAAGAATTACAATTTTTTAATTTCTAAAATTAATTTAATGAATGAACAGTGAGTTATCATTATATTCTATACTCATACCTTAAAATAAAATAAAATATATAAAATTTAAAGTTAGATGCAATAGAAAATATGATGTAATTTTTATCTTTAATTATTTTCAAGTTAGATGTAATTTTTTTCTTAATTATTTTAGTTAGTTGTAGTTTTTTTTCCTTTTTAAATTAGGTGAAGTGGTGTACTCTAAATATTTGATGATATATTTATTTATATTACTTTTATTTTTACAAATTACTTATTATTATATAATATTTTTTCAAATAATATTTATATTGAATTAGATTTATTATTATAATATAATAAACTTATTTTCAGTTTAATATATTATTATATTATTAAAATATATTATTTTATTAAACTCGATTTAACTCTAATTTAATTTTTAATTAAATCCCTATTGAATATTTAAATTCTAAACTTGTCCATTTAGTGGTTTGATGACCGAACTGATTTTAATAAGCATGATAATAATGTTCGGTGCACGTAAAGTTTACATTACGAAAATAATACTTTTGGAGAACAGAAAACTGGACTGGACCCACTACGGTCAGCGTGGAGTAAAAACCATGAATGAACACATCCACCACCGTCACTGCGATGCGAATAAGCTGTTGCCACTGAAACTCGTGAGGATAATTACATCATCTGGATCAAACTGATTTCATTGCACATTAATATCGTGATTCTAATACCGAAGAGGACATAAAAAAAATTTCGCTGCCTTTGGTAAATGATAAGGGAAAAGCTCAGTTCAGTTAAATACAACATAGGGCCAAAAGAAAATGGTTTAATCGCTGTTTAGCGATTTGAATGATGCATGATCGGACAAATATGCGCAGAAACATCCTCAAAAGTAAACAAATCTATCCAATATAGTAATGATAGAAAGCCTCACAAGCCTTGGCTACCAAAGCTATCACGGTTATCATGCTGCCACCCATAACCCTGACCATCATGTCCAAGCTCCCCAGAATGATAGTTCTGTTTCAAATGTGACATGTTGGGTGGAGGCGGTGGTGGTGGTGGGAGGGGCATGGGCTGTGGTGCCAATATACCTTTGCCTTCCCTTGGATCCACAACCATACCACCCGGTGCTTGTTCAAAAGGCACACCACCCATTCCAGAATTCCAGGGCTGGGGATAATTTCCTGGAAAATTTGGGCCACCTGGGGCACCTTGTGGGAAACCCAATAATGAACTCTGGTCCCCACTTATATCAGCACCTGAGTCCTGTCTAGGCATATCATAGGGAGCAGCATAAAATGGTTGAGCTCGTTCGTTTGGGTAAGGGGGATAACCAAATGGCATAGGAGGGTTGAGCATTGGGTTTGAAGTAACCAGGGAGGGAACATTGGAAGGTTGTGCAGGGTGCATTGTTGGATACTCAGGAAATGGGGTCTCTAGACCAACTGCTTGTTGCCTGTCAGAAAACTGGGAATGTTCTTGTGGGGGATGCTGCATGTCAAAACTTTGTTGATGAAAACCCTGTTGTCCACCTCCTACAGAGCCAGACACGTTATCTCTAGGGTGTGGTTGACCATAATATGGTGGCTTTGGCTGCAGGGTTTGCCTTGATGGTGGTTGCTCTCTAGGTGTCTGTCTACGAGATTTGTCTTCCAGATCATGTTGCTGGGAATTTGAACCGGGAGAAAAAACTGGTCTTTGAGGACCTCTAGCAGTGGAATCCGACGCTGTAGATTGCCTAACGCTCTGTGCCTCTGACTCATTTCCATCTTCTTTATCTGCACTGGGTCGAAGAAGGTTGGCATGGATGTCTTGGATATGAGATTCAAAATCAGCTTTCTTTAAGAAAGATTTGAGACAATGAGGAGCAGCACAAATGAGGATTCCTTCCATCATTTTGATTGTTTGAATCTTCTGGATTCGTTCATCACACCTGTGCTCCAAGAATGTAGAAAAACATTGTTTACATAAACATATGATATCAGACAAAAAGGAAGAGAACGTTTATACATGGTAGCTATCAATTGAAAAAGACAAATCCCTTGGGTTAATAATAATGTTCATCATGAAGTGACTACCAAGAAAGTTTCAGCCATTGGGTACAAGCACATGTACGGTTTTAGATCCAACATACTCCCTCACACCAGGACGATACTGACATTTTATGAACCAAAGGCGTAATATTAAATAAAGACCCCTAATACTTTTTTTTATAACTACTGTAATTAGAACCTTTGCCTCTTCAGCTGGACTCCGAAGTATCCCTAAAAGCTTTGGTCTTATAGACTAGTTATGACACTTATCTTTGATTCGAGTTTTATCACACCACAAAGCTCTTCGGAAAGGCCCAAATGTATAAATATTTTAAAATATAATACGTATTTGATATATTTTATTGCATATAAAATATTTTCTCTACACGTAAATACAAAATAGTACATGTGAAGACAGGTTCAATCATTTTATTCAAAAAGATGAAGTTAAAGCATCATTACAAAATACAAAATTTTCTTCTCACATTAAAGTTATGTAAATTTTTTGCACCCTCGTCAACCATGTGCCCAGGGTGATCACCCTGGCAGGCACCCCAGGCTGGCCCTGTCTCACACAAAAGCCCTTTCCAATTGGTGATGAACCTTTCCAAGTATTGAAAAAAGTAAAATATAATGCATGAATTAGATCTGCCACATGATTATACTGTTAGTTTTATGTTTGATGTGAGTGACCTTTCAATGAAGGTTTTAGTAATTTATGGATGATTTCTCTCTACGGAGGAGAGCTCGATCAGTACATGAATGGAGAAAAAGAAAAAGAATAAGAATGCACATGAAGAAGAATTACAAGAAACATGACTAGAGACAACATTCTTGCTCATAAAAATAATTCTTTATTTTCTTTCTTTTCTATTTCTTGGACTCATAATTGATAGGATTTAATTTCTTTGTAATTTGGGTTTTAATTGTAGAATGGGATGAAATCGGGCTTCAATTGAAGACTTAATCAAGCCCAAATTGGATACATAAGTTCAACTAAGCAAGGGAAGAGAAGGATTTAGAGAAGCAAGAAAAGCATGACGAAGAATGAGAAGCACCTCTCATCCTTGGTTTGAATGTGAATTTTAAAATTTCACTCTTATTAATTTGAATTTTCAGGCAAGAAGGCTATAAATAAGTGTCTCTTCTCTTTGTAAGAGTTGGAAGTGGCACATTACTTGCCTCATGTCATGTGGTATGATTTAAATACCCTGCTAGGCTATTTCACCTATTGTCAATTGGTTTTATGTTGGAATCTTAACATGGTATCAAAACCAATGGTTCGTCCAGTGACTGGCTCAGTTAAGTTGAACGACAGTATAAGTAACGTCACTACTAAATGCTTCCGCTCGTGGGGTGGTGTACCAATGTTTGAATTTGAATTTTCAAGCAAGAAGGCTATAAATAAGTGTCTCTTCTCTTTGTGCATGTTGGAAGTCCCACATCACCTACCTCATGTCATGTGGTATAGTGATGTGAACATGATCTATGATAAGGGCTAGAGCAAGGGAAGTAAATGAAGCTTTTCAACAAGTATTGTTGGTTGACCAAATTGTGTTTTGGATTAATCAATTAATGGACTTTAGTTTGATTTTGTTTTAAGTTGTAATAAGGGCCCAATTGGAAATTTAGTTATCAATCTTTGGGAGACCAAGAGGGTACATAACTGATTGACTTTTGGATGCTACAATTTCAGTTACAATAAATCATTAAGTAGTTTTCAATTCCTAGGTTAATAAATCATTATTAGCATTTATTTTCCTTTAATGAATATTTGTAACTCAGATGACAAAACTTCTTTATAAGCTAAACCATTCTTATCAAGAAATAACAAGTTGAGTTTTATTTTTGGAAATATTAGAGTTTATCTCTTTTATCTTAGTGAGAGTGATTCTCCTAAGTTCTTGAATGATTCAAGAATATTTGGCTGTATCAAAGGACTTTCACATCCTTTGTGTGTTGCCTTCCTTGGAAAGAGTGATTCTTTCCTTCCACCTTCTTTCAAATTCCTAAATTTCTTACAAGGTTCTAACCCTAAAGATCCTAAATTACCCCTTTGTGATTCATATCAGTTGGTATTCAGAGCCCCGGTTTAAAGGTTTGAACATCAAATTGATGGCAGCGGAGGATAAAAAGAAAATGAGAGAAAAATTTCTTCAAGAAAAGAGAGAAAAAAAGAAGAGTGAAACATTTGAAGTGAAGAAGAGCTATTTAGCCATAAAAAGTAAGTATAATGTTAGTTCTACATTCAATTTATCAGACTTATCTCTTTTTTATGTAGATGATGAATCCGATTTGAGGACAAATCCTTTTCAAGAGGGAGAGAATGATGTGAACATGACCTATGATAAGGGCTAGAGCAAGGGAAGTAAATGAAGTTTTTCAACAAGTATTGTTGGTTGACCAAATTGTGTTTTGGATTAATCAATTAATGGACTTTAGTTTGATTTTGTTTTAAGTTGTAATAAGGGCCCAATTGGAAATATTAGAGTTTATCTCTTTTATCTTAGTGAGAGTGATTCTCCTAAATTCTTGAGTGATTCAAGAACCCTTGGTTGTATCAAAGGACTGTCACATCCTTTGTGTGTTGCCTCCCTTGGGAAGAGTGATTCTTTCCTTCCACCTTCTTTCAAATTCCTAAATTTCTTACAAGGTTCTAACCCTAAAGATCCTAAATTACCCCTTGTGATTCATATCATATAGTTTAAATACCTGCTAGGCTATTCCACATATTACCAATTGGTTTTATGTTGAAACCTTAATATGGTATCAAAGCCGATGGTTCGTCCGATGACCAGCTCAATTGACTTGAACGGCAGTATAAGTAATGTCACTACTAAATGCTTCAGCTCGTGGGGTGGTGTACCAATGTGAAAGAAATCATACTTGAGAGAGATTATTAAGAATTCAAGTGAGTTAATGTCCCACATTGGGTAGAAATAGAAAAGTTGAGTAACTTATAAGTAAAAAAGACTCATAACCTAATGTCTTAAGGTTTTTGGTTGAAGGTGGTGTTAAGATTCCAACATAAAATCAATTAGCAATATGTGGAATAGCTTAACAGGTATTTAAACCATACTACATGACATGAGGCAAGCGATGTGAGACTTCCAATAGTAACTTCAGTTTTTAGATATATAAAATTTTAGAGTTATTTAGGAGCTTTGTCTCTTTTGTAAGAGTGATTCTCCTTCTTTGGGTCTTATCTTGATATCTTAATTCAAGATAAGATTCTTCATGGTAGTTGAAGATAAATATCAACTTCAAGCGTGATTCTACCATCTCCTAAGTCTTTTCCACTTTTCCTTTTCATTCTTTCAATTACTTGTTCTTCTTGTTTTGTTTTAGCTTATTTTTCTTGTCTTCTCTAATTCATTCAGTCATATAATTGTTTTAATTCAACCCATGTGTTAGTTTCTTATCTTGTTCTTATCTCTTATTTGTTCTTGTGTAATTTTATCAAGCCTTTCATGGATTCAATTCATGACTTATGGCTACGCGTTTATGTCATACAAACCTCCAATGCCTATACATACTCTATCAGTTTGTGCGTTTATGTCATATAAACTTCCAATGCCTATATATACTCTATCAGTTGGTGACACGATGTCAATTACTAAATATTCCAAAGATTACGTTGCTGTATAAAAGCTCCTAAGAGGTTTTATTTAGCAATAGACATACCTTAGGTTCTCAAAATACATGGAAAACAGTAAATAAATGAATAATTAAAGACACCTTTTTCATGCATATTTAAATATTTCTAGTATCGCCAAGTATTCCTACACACTGCTTGAATACACGTTTTGTTGTATAAAAGCTCGTAAGAGGTTTTATTTAGCAATAGACATACCTTAGGTTCTCAAAATACATGGAAAACAGTAAATAAATGAATAATTAAAGACACCTTTTTCATGCATATTTAAATATTTCTAGTATCGCCAAGTATTCCTACACACTGCTTGAATACACGTGATTCACACCTTTCAAGCTGGTAGATTTTGATTTGTGTGCAACTGGCCCCATATTAATGTACAAATCAAAATAATGCCACCCACCCCATATCAGATGCAAATGATGGGTAAACAAGAAGTGTCTGCAAATATTTGAGAATGAATTCTAAAGTCATATTACCAGAGTAATATCAAGTTCATTGAAAATAATGTAAAAGAAAATGTTTAATACAGCCCTTCAGAAATAAAACTTCAAAATGAACCTTTTAATTGAAAATTGAAAGGCACATGTAGTATAACATCAAATTCGTTAATATGTGAAAAACACTGGTAAAAGGACAGGGAAAGGGGATGGAATCATCTAAAGTATGTACTGAGCAAACATTACGATCAAAGTTAAGTCCTATATATGAACCCAGACAATGATAAAAGGTTAAAACATACTACTAGTACTAAGGAAACATTATGATCCAAAGCCACCAATGTTCACTGATTTACTGTATGAAGATCAGAAAAATAAGAAATATTCTTACAGGTAGCACATTGAATCACTTCTAGCACAATCCAGGCAAAAGGCATGCTCACAAGGGCTCTGCAAGATCATAAGCATGTTAATTTACAGTAACCCAACATCAAAAAATATAACTAGTTGTATCACAGCTTCAGTAGTTAAATGATTCGGTGGTAAAAATTAGAGATGTCATAGCACATGTTTCTATGTTTAAATATTGCAAAATTGTAGAGAAATTAATGAAGATGTTACACATAGGACATAAATGGACAAAAGAGGTTATTTGTGATTGCAAAGTACCTCCCATGATCAAAGGGAAGTTTTATCTTACTACTATATGACCAACTATACTATATGATAGCGAAGGTCTTTGAAGGGACGAAGAAAAAGTACCAGTAGCAAGAATGTTAAGATGAATGTTTAGCCAACAACCAGACAAGAAGGGTCAAAGTTTGGAATGATTGTGCACAAGAAGATATCCATATAGCACCTATCTAGGAAAACTAACAAATATTCAGTCAAGGTATTTTGAACATGTGCAAATAAGACTACTGCAATTACTGGTATAGAGGAGATCATGTGATTTTAGCCCTATGAAAAGGGGGAGGGGGAGACAAGGACGTTGGAAGAAATTATTAAAAAGGACTCTAAGGTGAATAATATTGTTGCAAATTTGGTTCTTAACTAGTGGGATAAGACTATTGCTGTTGTTGTAGCACACTTAGGTGAGAATAAGACAAACACTATCTAAATTTTAAACATGACAACCATGTCCATAAACAGGGTCTGCTTCTGAGAGCATGCTTTACATTTAGAACTCTAAGTGACAACGTACTAAATAGAAAAAAAATGTATTTGGATGCGGTTATTATTAGATATACTTTTTTATTTCAAAGACAAAAAAGCAACACCATCAATGTAATAACCAGAGTGTCATGAAGAAATACCAAATCAAAGGCATACAGGAACATAAAACTTATATTCCATACAAGCTCTGGTCAATAAATCGTGTGTATATGAAAAATAAATGAGTTTCCACTTAATAAACATTCAGGCATTTCAAGTAGCATACTCTATTCAATAAATTAATCTTCTCTTTCTAGCATTATATATTTTGTAGAGGATACAGCTGAGACTACACCAAATAACATTTCAATAAAATAACACTTTTGAAACAAATCCCAAACAAAAGCTAAACTGGAATCAAACAAATTAGATCCTGCCATGATTCAAAGCATCGTAACAAGCAGAAATCTCGATTTAAAATCATGCCACCATGCATAAATAATTACCAGGCGTCCATAAATGGCGACAGGGAAATCACAGCGAACACAGAAATGGACTCGCTCACCAAGCTGGCGGCGGGACCTACGGCCCAAAGTCTTCACAAGAGAAGCAGCCGTGGCTGCACCAATGCCCTTTGCAACAGGAAGATCAGCAAGAACCAGATGATCAGGGCACGCAACTGTCACATTCTCAACAGGCGAAAGCTTCACCCCTCCTGACCCCTCTGATGCAGGAGCCTTACTAAGCCGAATCTGAAGCATGTTTGAATCAAAATTCTAACCCCAACTCTCAAAATCTTTCAAACCACTGCTTCAACTTGGGTCTAGGGTTATCACAAAATACGCCTCCTCCCCCTTTAACAAGTCAAATAGATTAAAAAAAAAAAAATCAGATTAAACCCTAAAAATGTTAATAACAAATGAGTGACGCATATATCCAGAGACAAAAAGTTATGACAAAAAAAAAATGAAAGAGAAGGATCACTAGCATTCGACACGTACTACGTAAGTTGTATATTTCATGTGACGTATATCACATTAATCAATTCAATGTATATAGAAGATCTAAAAGAACCCAAGGCATGCAAATTATTTGAAATTAATTAAACCACGATAAACAAGAATGGCGTGATTTTTTTGAGCATCAAATCTGGCACTAGCAGAGCCAGAGGCAGTTGTGCTCAAACAGGTTGAAGTTCAGGGAAGAAAAAATAGGGGCACTATTAAACCCTTATAGTAAAAAAAGCGGACAGGGGATTTTCAATCGGTAAGGAGTTTGATTAAGGAATAAATTTGAGAATACGGATTAAGAAGCATCGATTGAAGAAACAAACTCACAGTTGTCGAACCTAGGACCTTCTTGTCTCGGATTTGGTCTTTCTGCGTTCTTGGTTCGTTCGTTCGTTCGCGACGCAGAGGCGCTCCAAATCCAATACACTGATTTGCTTTCTACAGAATGTGATACTGCGATTCAGAAATATATTGAAGTATTTTATTGGAGAAAATGTGCAATTTATTCCTGAAATTATATCTCACTTCTCTTGTTTGTATGTGTAAAAGTAAGACTCCAAGGGAAAGAGTAAATATAAAATTTAATCCAGAGCATTAATCTTTTAGAGATATATTTAAGTCTTTAGTATTCATAATATTTTTTTTTTGGTCTATAGCCTAGATATTTAAATAATAATAATAATAATAAATGTTTAGAAATAAAAAAATTATTAAATTTAACACTTAAATGGATTTTTTTTTAAGAAATCATTCTGTAATATTGTTTTTATGATACATTACTATTTTATTAAAGATCTAATAGTTAATAAATACATAAAGTGATAAAATTTATAAAATGATGATAAAAGTAACATATGTAATTATTTTTTGTTATTTTGAATTATGAGATAATATAATAATAATTATTTTATTTCACTTCTTATCATTATTTTATATTTTATCTTATTATTATTTTAATTTATATTACCACCTTATATTTTTTTATATTTTTTCATTATCATGGTCAATCTTATTATGGTGAAAATTATCATTAACATTATCTTTTATAATTATCATTGGCACCAAAAAATTATTATCATTCTCATTATATTTATAATGTACAATAAAAATTGAATATGATTAAAGTTTTCAATTTTTAGTTGTCTATTGTTCTTTTAGTGTAATAACTTAATATTAATATCTAGAATATATTTAAAAAATATAATTTTATCTTACAAAGACAATCCAAAATAATCAAATACAAGTGTAAAAGATAAAAAATAGAATAATTGAAACACATAAAAATTTATATCCTAAACCTACTACTGTTAATATTTATGAAAAGAAAAATCTTATCTCAGAAAAGTAAATTTTAAATTCAATTTTGTAAGATGCATTTTATCACGGTTCAATTTTGAGTAATGATTTCGAGAAAACTAATAATATATTATTAATAAATACTATAAAAATGTAAAAAGATATATAAGAGAATAGAATTGTAAATATATAAGAAATATATTTTATAATAGTTAAATTTGTGGGACTAAAATAAGATATATACATATAAGTTACAAAACTTTAAGACATAATCTCTCTTATTTCTTAATAACCTCCTTCACAGTATCTCTAAGAAATATGATAATAATGCTAAAAATCTTTGTGACTTTCACATATACTTATATATAATCCTAAAAAAAAAGATATTAGATGAGTTTTCTTTCTTCATCAACTTTACACGTACAAAACAACTAGAAAAGTCATTAATAAGATGTTACCCTTAATAGTGTGGTTGTCTAATGATTCTCACTTGTAACTCAAATCACTTTATTCATTTTGAATAATTTTCTCACTAATAAGATACCATTAAAATTTCTCCAACTCTATGGTCTTACATAATTTAAGTTTGATGATACTTGAAAAATATTCATCAATGTACAATGTAAAGATCTTCCCCAAGATTGTTATATCTTGTAGTCAACAAAATTGTCAAGTTAGCATTATAGAAAATATGACCACAGACTCAATGTTAAATTCCTAAGACACATAATGAGCATATCTTAGTGTTTATGTTATGGATCAAGCTATCTTTAAGGACTAATTTATAAGTGTGAACTTCTCTATTAAAAGTATATGATGATGATAATCAACATATATCATGGAGATTTAACTCCCCCAATTTCTATGGTGGTCAAACATTACAACCTTGTCCTTCTTTAACATATTGCTCATTTAGATGAAGTTTGTCTCCTTACTATACTATGTGATAGTATCATTCGACCTTTGTTTCATAAGCTTCAATATTCCCATAGCTAGAATACCTCACATGACCATCTTTATCTTATACATATATTTTTGACGTCTTAACATACCCTCATTTTATTCTTTGTGTTACCCATCATTTTTGTCCCACTTTTATGTCTTGTATCTTTTTATACTTCAAATTTTTTGTATTTACCATGTATCTCCTTAATGAAAGTGTGACATAAGATTAATGTTAGGAGTTGAATTTAAAAAGGTGGGAAATTGAACTTTTAAAGATTTTGAAAAGTGGATGAACAATTTTTTTTAACTAAGATAGATCACATAACAAATTAGAGTTTTAGTCTAAGAAAGCTATATTCAATGTTCTTTATTCTTTCAAAATAGATAAAAAAATTATACAAAAAAAATAGTGAAGACCACAAATCTTGTCCGACTTAGCAATAAGTTCATAAATCCTCCGTTTCAAAGATGGTTAAAGCTTCAATAGGCCCTAGTAGCATTTTCTAGGTTCCATTTAGGATAATGAGGATTTTTTGAGAAAATAAAAATCGGAAATTTTTTCGGAAACATTGAATGGTCGTCCATACTCATCACCAAGCAATGGACGATCGTCCATGCCTATTTTCAGCCATGGACGACCGTCCATATTAAATAGACGGTCGTTCATGCCTATTTTAGGTCATGGACGACTGTCCAGTTAAGCCAGACGACTGTCTGCTTTTCCTGACTCGTTTTCCTATAAATAGGACCCTCATTTCTCACTTTTCCACACACCTCACACTCTCCTATATTCTAGAGAACCTATTTTGGGACTTTTGAGCAACTCTGAGTATTATTCCAGAGTACAAGTGATCTTTTGACACTCGAAGAACTTAGTTCTTAATTTTTTGGTTCGAGGGAGGGGTGTCTCTATAGAGAGCGGGGACTACCAAAAAGCGTCCTCAGGTTTAAGATTTATAAAAACTCGCTTCGGAGGTTTTTCTTCATATCTCTTCTCTTTTATCGTTTTCCTTTACTGCTTTCCTTTTGTGTGCATTAGTTAGAGCCATGTAAATAGTCATTTAAATACTGTAATGAATAAATATGGTAGAAGTATAATTTTTATTGTTTTTATTTTTAAGATTATTCCATCATAGGGAATCCGAAAGGGGTGTTATGGGGTGCTAATACATTTCCCACACGTAACTAACTCCCCTACCCAACTCTGATTATAACGGTCAAAGTTGATTTTTCTTAAACCAATGCCTTCTTTTTATTTTCTTTTTCCAATATTTATGGTAAAAACATTGGTGACGACTCCTAAACCCATTTACGAAAATCTCGCTCTTAAGGATAGTTCGGTTATCGGACATCCTAAGAGCGATGACCACATTTTTGAATAAACGCGAGTCATCAAAACCATTATGTCACTCCGACCGTTTTTTTTACGATGGCGACAGATAACGACTCCGCTGAGGAAGTTATGAGAGTTGATCTCATTTAGTGATGGAATAACCTAAAAAAATAGTAGGCTTAAAATTATGCCTTTACCCTTTCTCTGTTTGAATATCATCTTTTACTATATGACTTTGATAATTGTTGTTTGTTTATTTTCCGCAATTGTTTAAAATACAAACTATACACAAACCCTTGCACACACCTCACATGTAATTTCTTATGAAATTATTTTTTAAGAAATTTTGTATAAATTTAAAATTATATATATATATATATATATATATATATATATGTTTTATTTTATTACATAATTAAATGATTATAAAAAAAGTTGTGTTTGCTTATTCGACTAAAAAACTAAGTTAAAACCAAAATTAACATGAAAAGTTTTTTTAAGAGAATTATTTAGTCTTATATCAACATGATCCTTGTGAATTGCAAGACAAAACATAAACAAAACAAAATACTATTATATGAATATAATTATCACAAATGCACCAAATGAAACTATCAAAATGTCTGGAAACATGAGACTCATTTCTATGGAAAACATTATTCCCTTGCATTTTCTCACTTCCACAGTAAATTTCATTTGATTATACAAAGTCACCCGTCATCATTCAGCATGCAACAAAAACAAGAACAAATTATAATGTTATTCCCAAACCGGGCAAATTTTCAAAATTTGTTTGTCATAGATTTTCAATCCTAACAATGCAATGAAAGAAATATTAAAATAAATAAGAGTTGTCTAAAATTCATCAAATAAAATTTTAATCATTGTGAGAATCATATGAAATATTTAAGTCTGTGAATTCAAATGAATAAGGGTGAATGATTAATATCTCAAACATTAATACGTCAAAATAAATTAAATTTAATATTAATAATTCAAAACTTTAAAACTTTATAAAAAATACATAAAAGCAAATCATTATTGTTGTCAAAATCACATCATATATTTAATTTGTTGTAATTTCATTAGCACTTAAAATAATTAAGTTAAATGTTATAATAACTAAAGAATAAAATTTTAAATATTACCATATTTAATTAACATGATCATTGTCATCATTATCAAATTTTCATTTTCCCATATCATATGCTCCACACATAGATATGTGACAAAATCAAGGTTGTTCTGATAACCAAAATATTCATGATAATAACCAGAAATCATGATAAAATCAATGATTAATATTTGTTAAACCTTATTACCCCAACTGTGAATGAACTACAATAAGCAATATATAAACTCATATAGTATTTTTTTTTTTAGAAGATAAAAATCACACTTTTGAACAAAACGCAGTTCAAGGAGCTGAGCAAGGAAACGTTCAACTCATAGCACAAATAACAAAAAAAAAAATCCAAAAAATAAAATAAAATTCAAAGAGTGTTTTCAATCACCACATAACCTTAACCAAACTCATTCCCTCTATACACCTTCACCTTCTTCAAATCACATATCCATGCCTAAATTGTATTGATTAAAGGAAGAAGAGGAGAGAAGAAAAAAATTTACGTTTTTATTTTTATTTTATACTTTAATAACTTCTTATAGTTTTAATTATTTTAAAAATAACTAATTAAAAATATTTTGTTATTTTTCTATAAAAATAATTAAAATATTTTAAAAAAATATTATTTTTAAATTTTGCTGCCATTTTTAAAAATATTATTAAATCTTCTTTTACAAATTTAATTTATAAAAAAATATAGAAAATGATTTTCATTCTTTCCAAATTTTTTAAGAATGTATATTTGAAAAATAAAATAAAACTATAATTATATAATTGAAGAAAATTTTACAGGGATTTCTTATTATTAATTTATTGCAAATAAATTTGTAATAATTTTTTGTGAAATACTTTTTTAGAACAAATTGTAACTATTTTTTTATCAAAAAAATTTGCATAAAAATTCACATGATTTTTTAGTAGTTATTCTTTTTCAATAATATTGGAAAAATCAATAAATATATAAAAAAATTGAGCTTTTTTTTACTACGTTATAACACTCTCAAGGTATATATAAAATAATTTAAAAACTTTTTTAATTAAGAATTGTTCAATGAGGTGAGAAAATATTGTTATAGTGTTCACTTTTAATATATTAAAAATAATTTTAATCCATTGACTTAGGTGTGTAATTATAATGTTTTAATTAATTGAACATTAATTTTAATTTATTAAAGCAAAATGTAAATACGTATAAAAAATTAACAAGTAATTCTAATTTGTTAAAATATTTTTTCGATATAACTCAACAACCATAACAACATTTTGGCATATTGAAAAAGATTTTAATTTATCAAAATTTTGCGGAAGATATTAACTAACGCACAAACACTTTGAAAAAGATAGTTTCCTACTTTACTGATCCAAGATTAATGAAAGAAAGATCAATTATCGCAAACCTAACTTAACAAATAAACGCACAATCATAGACATCATCCTCTTCATTGTGATTAGAAGTATCAAATCCTTGAAATCCATTTTTCAATCAACCAATCTTACTCGACCAACCCTTTGAATACAGTTTACAGTTGTATGGAAGTCTCCAATGTCATTCCAACTTTAAAACCAATAACTTTCCATCATTAACGAATTTGGTGGAGAGTGATTATCTGGTGAGAATTTAGTAAGAATAATAAAGAGTGTTAAAACTTTGCTAAGCTCATATTTCATTTTATATTGTAAAAACACACTACACTGCTTGGCTAATTCCAACTAAAAATAACAATTTAGAAGAAGTACAGAGATGGCATAACCATTGCCATTTATTAATACTTCCTATGCCTCCAACAAAAAATGTTTTGGAACATTCCACTTAATAAAATGAAGAAAAGTTTTATTTTCTTGACATTGTCCATTGCATTTGATGGCGTTCCTGGAAAAATTCCGCAGCTAACTCATGCTGATTCCAGATTTTTGACGAACCTTTTAGCCTGTCACAGAAAACAAAAATACAAAAATGAGATTGAAAATAGCCCAATCTAACAGATTAAAGCAATATGGTTTTGTGAGACTGATAGTATGAAGAGAGTCAATCAAGAATCACACTTGTCATGGTGCTTGAGTTCTTCCATGAAAACAATTTGATTCAATATGTTTGTTTTAAATTAGATCTAGGAAAACAATAATCTTTTTCCAATAGCTTATTAACTCTTTTGAATACTTATCCTACATATACTAAAAAAAATACCCTTTTGTTAATAATTTTGTTTACTAAAATAAATTACATCGATGTCTAAGTCAAATAAATGTGAGTTTTGATACATATGAAGCCAAAATTACCTCAGAAAAGGTTAAGAAGTGAGTTTGGAGAAGGTTTTATCTTTTAAAGAAGAGAATCAGAAAATAGTTTGCCAAGATGTTTCCCTTATCAATAAATTAGTAATCTTGATATTAAACACAACAAAAATTCTTTTGCAAATTTTGGGTTTTGTGACCTCTACCACACAACAGACAAGTATGCTATAAAAATAAACTAGAACTCCATGAGATAGGAGGTGATAAAAAGGCAAGGATAAAAGTTGTACCTGTTCTAGAGTTAAAAACATGATCACATTCCAGGATCCTAGCCGTCCAAAATTTGGAATGAATCCTTTATAAAAAGCAAAAGGTCCCTGCAAACATCAATTCCATAACAAATTAGGTTTGACAAATGATACTTGTTGACACATTCAATAATATTGAAATTGAAAGAATTTTCCTGGATAAATGCCCTCCCTCCCCTTCTCATTCCGCAACAAAGAAACTTAATGTTTTTCTTTTGGCATAAGGGTGAGAAATGAGAATGTATAATGATGTAATGTAATCAAAACTAGAAACTCACAAGGGAGTTTGTTCAGCACATTGTGCTTAGTATTCAACACTCAACAACCACTTAAAATTTGATATGATAAAATGCATTTTGTTAAAAACCAGAGCAACTATATTCACACAAGTTAATATATAAAATTAAAGAAAACAGGAAAGAGAGAAAAATAGTAATAGTGGAAAACAACCCTACATCATTTTTTAATGTCTTGATGAAACAATCAAGGGTGTTTTTGTAACTAGAATCTCCCATCATTCTTGACTTGACCTGTACATACAACAAAATGAAGATAGCACAATGAATTAGGGAATGTTAATAGTACTGAAGAATGAAGAAGCTCATTGAGCAGGTCCAATGAAGAAAGAATAGCAAAAAATGTTGTCAAACAAATCCACCCTGTTTGATCTAAAGATCAGCTGTCAACAACAGATTCTTCTTTTTCTTAAGAATTAGATGTATTAACAAATTCAATCACTTTGTAATTATCCTCGATTTATCAGTTTACCTTAGTTGAATAAAGAAGAAATTCTAAAACTTACGGCAAATTGTTGGATATTATCACACTATGTGTAAAATGACATAATATAAAATGGCAAATCAACTATGTATATTCACAAGTAGACAACAAAAAATTACCACATCAACAGGGGAGCCAACACAGACTGCGAAAAACCCTGCTCCGAGACCAGCAAGAAGATGAGTTAAAACATTGTCGGTGAATCCTGGAATTTTCAAAATAGTCTGCAACAAAAAAAGTTAGGTTATACAAAAATAAAAAGAAGAAAGATTACAAAGTTTACTCCAAAATGAAGTCCAGTAACTTTTATATCACCTGTTTCACTTGATCATAGCTGGCTAATTCAGCAGCATTAATGATGCCATTTCTTGCTATGTTGGGACCAATCCCAGTCCAAAGAGCTCCAACTCCTTCCTATATGTAGGATGCAGGTTGAACAAAATTAATTATGACCAGTAAAAGGACTGAATACATTGTCCCATTTTCACAAACCATATCAAGTTATATTCTAATACCTGTCTGGCTATTGTTGAATAAGCATTTAAAGATCCAGAGTAGCGCCTGGGCACACCAGGGGGCAATTTTCCTTCAGATTGAAGTCTAACTTTCACAAGATCTGTTGGATTGGCCACTGCAATTGCCATAGCACCTGTTGATAACACAAGTTCATGTAGCTCAACATTATAGTATCGAGAATTCTAGACAGAATTCACACTCCACATATTAGGGGAAAAAAAAAATCACATATTAACATATGAAAAAAATCATCACTACAACACAATGTCCTGGGCTTTACCAGTTGTAAATCCAGCGAGAATTTTCTTGGACAATGGAACATCTCCAACATGGTCAGGTCCAACATAGAAATTCTTAACCTGTTATAAACCCCCATGACATGAAGGTCATGAGATCACATAAACAAACAGTAGAAATGAACTGAAGTAAATTAACATTCTCAGCTATAAGGTTTCAAACTCACCGGCTCATATAAAGCAATTCTTAAACCTCCATTTAAACATTGACGATGCAATCCTGGCGCAATCCCCTTCCAAAGTGCTGAAAGACCTTCTTCCCTGGCAATGGTTGCAACGGTTCCAAGCATACCCCTATATTTAGGTAAGGCCACCACATCACCAATTACAGCCTGTTTTTGAAGCTGAAGCCTAACTTTTGCAGTGTCCAAAGGAATAGTACACACCTGTATCAAATTCGAGCAATCATTTCAAACATACAGTTATGTACAAGGACTAAGTATTTGTAAAAGCAATATGACATCTGACAAGTGAACTTAAAACACAAAACAGCATAGTAAGTATATAAAAAGCGGAATCAATTACCAATCTTCACATAGAAAAACAGGACCCAAATTCACTGCTAAGGGAAAATTTTGGTATAAATCTCTAACTGTTTCATGTAAGACATCTAAGGAAACATTACTTGATTATTATGCAATATTTTCACTGTAGCCAAAGTCTAAGATATAATAGGTTAGCGTCATAAATAATGCTTTCAGAATCTTCCCAGCCAAACAGGTATTAGAGTAAATCAATTTATCCCACCCTTCTAGTTCCAAGATCAACAAATCATAGAATAATCAAGGATTCAAATTCGTGGTTGTGGTCATAGTTTTGTCATGATTGCAGCCAATGTGGCCACCATTACAGTTGTAGAGAGAAATAAAAAACCTTGAAGTTATGGCCAAAATAACAGATGCGGAAGGTTTATAAAAGCTTACGAATAATCATCATTCATGCTGAACCTCGAAAAGTAAACAGACAAGTTCGAAGAGTGAAGGCCTTTCATCATCATCAGTTAAAAAAACCGTTCCTCTTTAATCCACAACACTAGAAACTAGCAATTATGTAGGCATTTATACAAGGAAACCATATTTGATCACTAAACAAATTTCCCATATTCAATTCAAAATGGTGGCAAAATCAACTATGGACTGGTTAGACGAAAAAACAAAAAAAGTCACAGCTGCTCATCACATGCATGATTTGTAACAACATAAGCACAATAACCTAATAAACCTTTTAAAAAATGTCCATTGCAGTGAACACTGTAGATAAGATCCCTTACTGTACGTAAAATAAATTATGGGGTCTAAATCCAATAACCAAAAAGACGGGGTTTTAACACTTGATCACAGAAAAGAGAGGTTACCCAGGAGAGAAAGTTTGATTAAATGAATACCCAGATGAGAGTTATTGAAAAGAGAGAGATGTTAAGGTCGTAGATGTACCTCGGCAAAACATGCAGCGAAAGCACTGCTGGCGAAAGTGCCAGCAAAGGAGATGTCGGATTTGGAACTGCCACCACCCACCATTGCTTTGACGAGGCCAAAAAATGTTTAAAACAAAGAAGAGAGAGTTAAAGAAGGAATAAGAAACAAAATGGGTGAAGGAGAAGAAACAGAAGGGCTTCAGAGGAAGAGAAAAATGGTGTTCAGAACAATAGCATTATCGCAGTGAAACATAATATCATGTAGGGGAATTCTTATATACCTCCTTGTTAAATAACTGAATCTATATTAAAATTTAAATATAAAAAATAATATTATAATCCAATTACACTTATTCAGATTTAGAATGATGTGTAATTAGTTAACTTTCTAGAAAATCTTAAGCTAAGAGTGTATAATGCTTTAAAGATTTAATTTACTTATTTTAGAAAGAGAGTTGAATAGTTCCCTGTATTTGCTAAGGCAACTCCATGTTTCAGTTTGAATGTTTCAGCTTGACCCTTTAAATTCACACTATCGTGACTGCACACAATACACAGTCTCAACAAATACTTTATTCATCTCTTATTCTGCATCACCTGCTTTTGTTTCATTAAAAGCATGCCACAGTTTCAAGTTTCTATGGAGCCAATTGAGTAAAATAAAAAGAATCATAAAACTCACAACAATAATATTAGATATGCATTAAACCTACTAAATCTTACATTTGTATTATTATTTTTTGTTGGTTTATATATCATGCCTCATCTCATTCTTTCTACATATTCATATGTGTCTCTATCTGGTTGAAAGATTAGAAAATGAATGCGATCTTATTGTGTGATAGGCATTTTGTTGTCAATTAATAAAGTTTTGATTTTGAGATGACATCATGTGTTAAACTCAGTAATTTTTTACTACAAATAAAATTTATCAATCTTAGCCCTGCAATATTTTATAGATTTAATTATAGTATAATTTGTTTTTATTTCATAATCTAATTAAAGACTAAAATATATGATAAGATTGTTGATTTATTTAAACATATAAAAATGAAATTCTCACTGTATATCATGATGTTCTTATTTATAACATTTTATACAATTTAGACATGTAATATATCGAATTAAATATCAACTACTACATAAGAGTTTCAGTCAAGTAGCCCATGTATATTTAATTCAGTGGTTTTGCATATAAAAAGATTAATACATCTCACTGTTAAACGTTTTTAACGTAAAATTATATAATTGAAATTTATTTATTCACACATTATTTATAAATCCTACAATTGAAGAAATTAGGAGATTTTATAACTTCTATAAAACATCAAATTTCTTTTTCTTATTCCTATGTGTATTTTTTATTAATATTTAATAACAAAAATTGATAAAATGATTCATAATAAAGATAAATTTGGTACATTAGTAATGTTATTTTAAAATTTCAACTGAATTAATTATTTTTATTAATATTTAACTATACTAAAAATGAAATATTTTAAGAATAGAAGTGAGTATCATTAATAATTTAAATTTGATTTTGTCAAAACATTATCAAACTTATAAACGTGTACTACACATCTGGAAGTTCTTAACATAAAATCTCGGATTCAAAGTATGGTGGTGATAGAAATTAATTGTCAGCAAAGTTAATATAGATATAAAATTTTAATGAAAATATGAAAATAAATTTAAAATGTTTCTAAGAAATAGATTAAGAAATAAAGAAGGTTGAAGTACGAATCTATCCTACTACTAGCATTTGATACCCTTATGATAGAAGTGAGGTTAACCATACTTTAGATAAAAAGAAAATATTCCCTTAAACGTTTCGAATTTGTTCGTCTAAAGGATCAGATACTACTGGAAGTAGATCAATGCTCTGCAAAAGAGGGACTATGGCATTTTCATGAACACAAATGCTTGAAACAGACAGAAAAAGTAGCATTTGTTGACATGTGAAGTTGAAATTTAATTAGAAAACGCGCAGCCTGTAGTTTCTGTAGACCAAATTGTGGAACGAATTGTTCTAAATATATTTTATTTTTAAAAATATTTAAATTAATAAATTTTTTATATTATTTAATCTATTTTTACATGTTTTTATTATTTTTAATATTCAAATTCATGTAATGTATAGTAATTTATTGATTAAGTTATTATTAGTAATACAATTTTGTTTTAATTATTTTTTTACTTTTATTTAAAATTAATTATAGTTAAAGAAGATTGTTACGTAAATAGATCTTATACTTAATTATTTGATATTTGAATAAAAATATTATAAAATTAAGAATTAAATTTATTATATAAGACAATGAAACAAATATTTAATTAAAATTTATAATAATTAATAATAATAAATATATTTTATTTTAATTTTTATGAATTGAAGTTTTAAAAAATTAATATTACATTATATCCATTACATAATTTGTCAAAGAATTTTCGTTTTTTAATTATTGTGTGATCAATCCACATATCCCATATTAGTATCGTAAATTTAATGGTTGGTTTTGCTGCGGTTAAGGCAGAAAGCAATAGCACTGAGAGTCTGATACAAAGAAGATTGACTTTGATTAAAAAATAATAAATAAAACATATTTTTTATTATTTAAAAAATTTGTTTTTAATTTAGTAATTTTTTAAAAACTAAAAAATTATTTATTAATGCTTTTATTAAATATATGTTTCTAACAAAGGATTTAGTTTTTAATTTTAAAAAATCATAAAATAATAAAATATAATTATTTTAGTTACCGAATTTTAATATGATGAATTTATTAATATCACTTTAAAATTATATATATATATATATATATATATATATATATATATATATATATATATATATATATATATATATTATGAAGTCACGTAAATATTTAACCTTTGCCGAAATCTTATTTAATGGCCTATTTATGTATGTAATGTGGAAGTGTCGTAGAGGAGGAGATATGTGTTAGTATACCAATTTTATAAGCAGTAAAATAAAAAGTTTAAATATATTTTTCTAAGAGGCTTGTGTCATATTTAACGAACAAATATATAACTTCTAATTATCTACACTGATTAATTTACAAAGGATTGTTATAAATAAAGTCCAAGGGATTATAAAAGTTAAGTAAATACTAGAGATATGTATAAAATGGTATAACATTTCCTGATCAAAATTCACCTCGGCAGTAGGATTATTTTTTATTTTTTTTCTTTGCCTGTAATCCTAACTCAGATTGTATTTATTCTTGATTTTGGGTCGGATCCTCATTTAATATCTTTCTCTCTCCGGTTAAAAACAAGATATTAAGATTTATTTTAAGAATTTTCTCGTGACTAATTAGTTTGTCACGTAACCCATTCAATCATCAGATGATGAGACGAGTTATTTGAACCCAACAACATCTAAATTTATTTAGCTAGACATCACTCTTTGATATTTAATAAAAGAAATTTAAGTTTCAACGTTAATACTAACCATAAATTTTATTTCAAATATTATTTCCTTTGATAAAAAAATATATGTTCTTTTGTTAAACTACTATCTCATTGGTTAGAAACCTAAAAACTATGTGTATAGAGATTCTAGAACGTCAAAAAAGAAATGAAATGTTGACACTTGTTCATTAGCAAAGATACATGGCTATGTAAAGTCGTTACAGCCCACTAGAAACTGAAAAAAAAAATCACATTTACTTATGCGATCCTAAAATCATCGAACTAATTCACTTATTCTCCCTAAATAATAGAAATAAAAAATAGAACAAAAATAAATCAGAATAAAATACTACAAACCTAATATTACCTTCCTTAAACCTAATATTACCTTCCTTAAACCAAAGTTGATGACGAGAGTTAAATAAGTTGAACTTCCTTATTATTAACCAAATCTCGAAGAAAGTGAAATCTCACATTAATGTTGTGTTTGTTTTTTTTCATGAAACATCAAATGTTTGGATAATTATATAGCAAAATTGTTATCACACATAATTTCAATTCAGTTTTACCTTTAACTCCAATTTACTTAAGAATTCTTCCAAGCCAAACACATTGACAAATACAAAGAATTGTTGTCATGTATTCGATCTCAATTGTAGACAATGCAACCATATATTATTTCTTAGAAGCCCAAGACATTGCTCCTATTCCCAACATAAATACAAAAACCAGAAGTGCTTCTTCGGCCATCCAAATTGCCAACATAATCATTATCTATAAAGAGTAGTAGTTTCGAACTATCAATACCTTTATTGTACCAAATCCCAAAATTTACCGTGCCTTTCACATGTCTTAAAATTCTTTTTGCAACAAGTCAATCTATTGTGGTGAGACTGGTCATGAACCTGCCTATCAAATTCACTGTATACATCAAATAAGGCCTTCTACCGGTTAAATACATCAAGCTACCATCCAACTTTTTATATAATGTTTCTTCAACTATCATCCCTTTTGTTTCTGTCAACAAATTTGTTCCTAAAACTATTGGATTTTTCACTACAATACCTCTGGTGCATATCGTGCATATCTTCTTTGGCTGATAAATATGCCATTGGAGCTCTGCTAAACTTCAATGCTAAGAAAATGGTTCATCTTGCTTAAACCAGTCATAACAAACTGCAACATCATAAAATATTTAAAATTATCACACATGATTCTATAATTGCCAATGAATATTAAGTTATCCACATAAAAACTGACTATTTATATTTAAGATATTTTTGCCATGTGACTTGGTGAACAATGTGTGTTCACTATAACACTTTCAAATTGTTTTTCTACAAAGTAGGCTTTAATCTTGTTATAGTATACTCGTGGTACTTATTTAAGGTCATATAATGTTTTTTTTAGCTGAGTTCTACTGTGTCAAAATCTCACCCTCTTCTAATGTTATAGATGAGAACATTACCCAAAGCACATACATATCTTAGTAAAAAAAAGAACTTCATATCATGACTTTCCCATATCTTGTCCTAATAGTTTTAAAATAAAACATATTCATGAAATGTATACTATTTAGAATAATAGTAGGTTAAGTACTACTTAATAGATAAGTTATTATATTTATATTTCTAAAAATAAAAGAAATATACGATTTAGATATTTAAT